AGTTTTGATGTTGATACTACTGCTGATGCAGTATGCGTCTTCAATAAAGATGGATCAGAGTAACGCTTCAAGCATGATCCAGACCCAGCAACATCAAACCTGTTAAACAGCAGAAAATTGATTAAAACTGTGAATGGGTTATATTAATTTTGATGAAAATTTCCATGCATGATCTACTGAAATGTACTTGTCGAGAAGGAAGAGCTGCGGCGGAGCACGGCATTCCTCGTATGAATCCATTATACAATGAGGCAAGTTGCGTGGGGAAATCAGGTCTTCTTTTATTTGCAGATTAGAATGCCATTCCAAGCCTGAAATAATGCACAATTCAGTGCTTGGGATCACCAATAACAGCTTATAGGTCTTATACTAAAAAAAACTAGAGTAAGATGACTGGCCTGAATCATAAAAGAATGTAGAATGATCGGTTTGAGAGAGGATGGGTATCTCAATAGAAGGAAAGTCTGCTTCAAGCTGTTGGAGACGCATGGCCAAAGCATGACCTCGAGCTGCAGTTGTCATAAGTTGTTCATGCAGGCAATGGAATACCTCAGCAGCAAACCTTATTAGTAAGAAGAAAAATTCAAAGGGATTGATTCCATAGCCATAGAGGTTTCATTATCAAGTCTATGCATTTTTTAATGAGATCACCAAAAAGAAGAAACATCATCTCATCAGCCAATAAGAAACTTTGAACTACACCAAATAAGGCCATCTCGATTCCAAATAATAAAACAGCAATTCCACAATGGAGTTTCCATCATCAACGAACATTAGAAAAACCTAGACTTCTTCTGTTCACTGAATTTTGAAGGAAAGGAAAAAAACAAAGAGACCCTAATCCGACGGAACCCAAGTTTGCTACAACTTGAGAGTATATAGCATCGAAATTCAATTCCAAGAAACCATGATTCTCTACACTAAAACCGATAGGGTATTATTGGACCGGCAATGCAAGCGAAATAAAACATACTCAGAGAGGTCGCCAAGCTGGCGCAAAACGCCGACGAGACCAGCCATGGAAGAAGCTTCGAGCAAAGCTTCAGGATCCTCCTTATCGGCGGATTGGTAAAGCTCCTTATCCGCTAAGCCGTACTCGTTGCGTATCTGGTATCTCGTCAATGCCATTGTGCTTCAATCTTAATTAAAAGTAAAACCCTAATTCTCAAATCGGATTCCTCGAGCCTTTTGACTCCATAAAAAGAAGAAACTCTGCAGAACGAACTGCCAAACGCGTCACAAGGAGGAAGATGAAATACTTTTTTAGATTTTTAATTAATTCAATGTTTGGTAACGACGAGAGAGTGGTGGAATTTATATAACGGTCCGTGATTTTCATCCAACGGTCATGATCATCGCTTCACCGTATGGTAGCCGCATGTGATCATAACCTCAGGTAAAAAAGTAAAGTAATTTATTCAACCGGTGAACATGAAAAGTAGTTAAAACCGTTGATTATATATTACACCATCCTCATTAGCCATTACCGGTTCTAGCGAGACCAATGGCCTAGTAATCAATCACACCAAACTCATCAACTATATATTTATTTTATGTATAGCTTATACAACTTTTCAGATTTAATATTTCATCTTCAAATCTTGTTACGATTGGATTATACATTCAATGTTGTGATTTTATATAGTGTAGTGAATAATTAAATTTGACATTGGCTTGTTATGTGAGATCCTTCTTCTCTCATGTGGTAAAACTATCAAGTACAAACTAATATCTCTATCCAATGCTTAAAGAAGGACAAACTTTGCTTAGAATCATAAGATAAGATACAGAAAACATAAATCTATTATAATTATTGCAAATCAATTATATTGTACATTGTCTTCAAGTGGTTGTGGTTGAGATCAGTTAGTGTGTATTGAACCTGCTTTTGATCGTTACAGCCACCTTCACCTAAGTTTTTTTATTTTAGTATTATTGACATTTTTGTATATCATTGACTACCAATAGTGATCAAATAGTGGGAATTTAATATTTTTTTATATTTCTCGGCGATTTATTAGCATAAAATAGCCTTTTTATTTAATTCTTAGAAGGTCTTTTTTGGTTCTTTGATACTGCAGTTGAAAAGCATAACGAAAACAGTATCACGTAGGCTTCCAAGGAAAGATTAAATGATTACTCCATTTCTTTTTGGGTTTCTTTCTTTTTTGGCCAAAGTATACTCCATTATACTTTAAATCTATAAACACACACACACACACAAATATTTTATATTATACCTAAATAATTTTCTTTATAGGATTAAAAATGGTTTGGTATATTGCTAAATTCATCCTAATAATGAGCTTGAGCATAATTCGCTCATGTGTCGTTAAAAAGTCAAACGTCATATGACGACCACAAAAACGAACGATGGTCGACGTCGCAAGTTCTAAATGATTGGGCCTGATGGACTTTTTTTAGTCTAATAAAAGAGACCCAAACTGTTGTAACCCAATTCCATGACCCATATTAAAAAGTGTTGGATAAATGCTAAAATCCACCGCAAGGAGGAATAAATGAAAAGCAGCGTATCAAGTTGAGCAAATGTCACTTTTGAGGACGATGGAAACAGGTCACCAAACACTAGGCTTGTGTTTGGTACCTGCCTCTTCTACATTGGTCGATCGAAAGAATCACTGACCCATAATTTTCTATATTTAAATTTGTATATATCTTAATAATCTGTAATTAAAAACCACAATGTTTGAATACAGCTCAGAAATGGTTGGCTAATTATTTCGAGCTTCGAAATCCTATGGCGCTCGGGATGGTTTACATAGAATTATTACAAGTTTAGTTAGTTTTTTTTTTTGCTATAGTTATACTCTCATGTATTTATACGTATTTCTGTTTGTTTTCTTTTTAGCTATAATTTTTTTTTTTTTTTTTTTTTTTTTTTTTTTTTTTTTTTTTATGCTCATGCCAGCATGTATTATACGTATTTCTTTCATCTATATATTTGTAATCAATCAGACGTATTTGCTGTGGGCGGCAACGGCAAGTCATACAAGCAATCACTTTAAACAGTTATAAAAATACATCTAGAAACCTAGATATTTGATTAATTCTTTTGGGATATATATACTTAACCATTTGTTTATAATCAATAGCTATGATGATTTTGATATCACAGTTACTCTATACATTAGTTTCTGAAGAGATTATTGGTACAAGATAGAGAAAAGAGGAAGAGGGAGTCGACCCCAAAGGCAGTATGATGCCCAATTAAAAACTGACACATTCGACAAGGTACACTTAACCAGGACGTCGCACTTAAATTCCAGTATTTATGTATGTGTCTTGTAGTATCATTTTTTATTTTTTTAAACATGTGTATATTCTGAATCCTTGTAGTATCATTTTATTAGACACTTGATAAAACTTTGCTACATGCAATGTACTTATGGCCCAACACACGTTACTCTCTTGGTTTGAACCCAAAGTAAATTGAATATCATTTGGTTTATCTAATAAACAAGCTGAGATGAGATCATGTAGTTGAGTCCAGTGGCTATTGATCCAAGTGTCTTGATTACAAACTTTTGTGCACCGTGGAGAATTCATTACACTGAGAACCTTAGATCTAACTTGAAATTCAATCCAAAATTTAAACAAGAAATTCAATCGTGTATTGTAGTTATGGCTAATTTATCAATTACTACCTGTTTGCGTTTGAGACTGTTTTTATGTTTAACGACACGTACGTACGTATAATGTGATGGTGTTTTTTTGAACAAATTAACCTATAATCATTTTTATTAAACCAGAACTCGTGGCTTGGCTTCAACAAAGCAATGCACGAAACTGATGGGGCATAGCAACGTGAAAAAGTCGAATATACATATTTGGGGTCAGAATCAGAACAGTGCAAATTAATTATTTTTAGGTTTTAAGAGAATGTCCAAATCCCGACAGTGTGCACGAGGGGTTTAGTTGGATCCAACTTGGCCTCTTTATTGCTCATTTAATGTTACGTGGACTACACATTTCCTCCATTTAGACCATTTGTAATTTTATACTACTATATAGTAGTATTATTATACATTAAATTATCATTGTTCTCTTAACTATAAGTTTCAGTCGTGATTAAAAAAATACTACAAGCTTAAGTCACCATGCAAAGTTTAGGTTAACCCCTGAAAATGTGACTCTTCAGTTTTCAGTTTCGCAATCAAATCCCACAAGGCAGAAACAAGACACTACTATATTATTTTAAATTATGAAGAACATCTTTTTTTTTTCTTTAACAAAAGGTTATATCACTAGAACACTACTATATATTTTAATAAATTATGAAAAATCTTTTTTTTTTCTAACACCAAAGATACATACTAAACCGACTAAACGTTGGTCATTCAATTTCTATTGGCTGGCTCACTCTCAGAATAATTGGACGAATTTAGTGGGAAGATTGAGACATGTTCTGATTGTTCGCTAGAGACAAAATTAATAATAGCAGATGTGTATGCGTCTGGTTCAGGTTCTAACTATGAACTATCTTACGCATGCTTAGTTACTAGATTACTCGGATCATCATTAATAGAACGACAACGACACAAGAGCTTTCCAAATTCCAAGCAACTTTAAAATTCGTTAGATGGTTGGTTTATCAACCATTTTATTTTGTTTTAGCGAACAAACTTAGAGGCTATGATAAAATGCTTTATTCAAATTGGAAGGTTATTCAAACTGAAAAACAATAAAAAGAGAACCACACTCTGCCGGAATAAAGAACTTAGAAATACCTATAAAACCAAACAATATCTGATGTAATTTTAGGGGAAATGTCAGAAAACCAACCTAGATTTTTGCGATATCTAGATTATCACCGACAGAAGAAAAAAGAAAAAAGTTATTTGTCATGGATAAAAGCTGATTGAAAAAAGAACCAAGTCTTAAAATGACCCTTTGTTATGTTGTCTATAAAAGGGACTGAAAACTAAGACAGAAGCACACAACACAAAAATAAGACCTTTCACTTCAAAACCTATCCTGTTCGAAGTCTGAAAAATAAATTTACAAATGGAAGCACAAAACGTAGAGATTTCGACAAGACTTACCCCAGAAATGAAAAACCAGAGAACCATAGAGTTACTCTACAAAGCGTTACAGCAAGGAGACACCTCGACGGTGACCAAAGTGGTGGCCAGTGACGTGGAATGGTGGTTCCATGGACCGCACCATTGTCAACACATGATGAGGCTGCTAACAGGGGAACCACGGAGCCAGGTTTCGTTCAGGTTTGAGCCAAGCAGTGTACAAGTAGTGGTGCCTGGTCATGACTGCGTGATTGCAGAAGGGTGGGAGGGTTCACACGTGTACTGGGTTCACGTGTGGAAGTTGAAAGACGGAGTCGTCACGGAGCTAAGAGAGTATTTCAACACATGGCTCACTGTTACAGACTACAGTCTTGGAGCAATAGGATGGGACATGGGGCGTTGTACGGTTTGGGAGAGCGTACCAAGGGACCTGGCTCGTGGATCGTTGCCTAGCTTGCTGTTAGCTATTTAACTATATATATATATATGGACTAAAGAGTAAATTAAGTAACACAGTTTGTGTCTGGTGGTTTCTATACTTTTATGAATATAGCCTATATATGTTCTAAACAGAGTTATGTGAATATAGCCTACATATGTGTTCTAAACTCCACAGCTTTGTCTACTTATTTTCAGGTCCATCACTCATCATGCTCTAGCTAGTGTAATTGATATCAGAGTAAAATTAACTTACGTTACCTTGATCCTATCACCACTGAATTTTGATTTCTATTTTACAACAATGACAGAGCACTTAATTAAAGAGAATGATGACAACTTACTTGAGTCACTGCAATTCTAGAACGAGCATTGAAAAGGGACTGCTCTGCTAGTGCCTGAGGTTCAAAGCAAAAATAGTTTGATTGTTAATGAGTGGAGTTTTACAGAGAGGAGAAGTTTAGAGAGAGTTAGGAATGTGAAATTAATGTTACTAGTCAAAACTCTTAAGCCAATAGATTGAGAGATCTGTTGGATCAAAACAGTCGTAAAGAATTTTCCGAGCAATCTATTGAGCAAAACCTAGAGAACTGAAAACGAGATGGATTGTAAAATTGTGAGTCGTCTAGGAGGGGATGCGTGTATAAGACGCAGGGGCTTGTAACGAGTCAGTAGACGGAGGTTATTTATGGGCCTTTATTGGGCCTAATAAGTAAAGGGTAACTTACACTGCTCTTTCATCAAAGCATTTTGGGTTTCTACACCAAGCCCGATTCAAGACGTGAACCCAAAAAATGTTCAATTATAATTTTAACAATAATCTTTTTTTTTCCCTCTTTTTTATCCCTCCTTTTAACAATAATCTTAAATGTCGTGTTATTGCTTTTTTAATTTGTCAACATATGTATATAAACGATTAGCTCAAATATTGCATGTTTATAAATATGTATTAAAATCTAAATTATTTTTATTAAAAACATACAATACATTATGTTCTTTTAAATAATATGAATATTTTGTCACTAGATGTTAATATATATATATATATATATATATATATAATATATTATTATTTTGTCACTTGGTCATATTCTTCAATTTTGGCTACAACTCCGTTCTGAGATTCTTTTTAACGATATCTCTGAATTCACCACAAAATAAATGTTGAGGCGTTGAGCCTTATCTGTCGTTTTTTTTTGTTTTTTTTTTTTATATAGGAGAAAAGTTTATAGGCTTTTAGGGATCAGGATGTACCCCCTTAATAATATATGTAGATAATGTAGATCTATAGATATTAATTTTGATAAATAGAGGAGAACAGCTCAGATTAAAACAAAAAAAAAATAATAGATATATAATTAGCACTTAACACTAGTTAAGCGTGACAATAGAATAATTACTTAAAGTCTGCTTTGTGTCGCAACAGTAAGTTCGCATATCTGGTGTAAGTGGCATATTTCGAGTGATATATGTTTGCCACCTACTTTCTCATCGATTTTAAATTAGCATCATCTAATCAAATATTTAGTCCATACTTAACGATGGGGAATTTATATATGATATTATTTTTGCCAATCAAAATCTATATATATTTTTAACAATACCCTTTATCATATTTAGTTTCCATTCATATAATATATTTAAAACGCAATAATAGATTTTGGGCCGATAGACCACATGGTTTGGAAGTTGGAACCATTTCTCTTCGCTACTGCAGCCACATCAATGCCTACGCGCGTCCACGAGACGATACAGTTTGACTAGTTAATTTGTGGGTTAGTATTATTTTGTTGGGATTAGACAAACTAGGGTTTCAAAATCATAATCTTGAAAGACGATGAGTTAGCAATATATTGGCTATATATCTTTTAACGGAAACAATTGAAAATACTATGTAGATCACCTTAAAATAATTGAACCGACAGTTAAAGAGAGTTATGTGCTCGTTGGTGAGATGTCCATTAAATCTGTCTGAATGACAACCAATATTTACATACTTTGTCTTCTATATTTCAACAAGAAATGTGAATTATTATCAATACTTTTATATTTGGTATTGCCAATTACAAGTATTGTCTATACAAATTAGAATGATTAGATTTGCTGATGCATGTTATGATAAACCAAAACTAGAATGGAAATACAAAATAAATTTGTCTAAATCAAGATCACAAAAAGTCATTGATTGGTACTAATCAAATCTGCAATTTGTTTTAGTAAGAATGGTTATAACAAGGAAATATTGCTCAAAAATAACCACCACTTAGTCTAATTTCCCTTCGAATGTTATATCAAGCAACCATGCTAAAGATATAAGAGGCTTCACATGACGTGATTCATGAAAATGAGAACAAATATACATAGTTATTGGCTTATGCTCCAAAGTTCTTAATGCATAATTGACTAATCAATTGTTTAAAAGTTTTTTCATATATTCTTAATTGGTTGATTAAATTTTCCCAATAGAATAGTCAAGTTTAACTTGTTAGAATGGGAATGTGATGTCAATTTTGCTTTACCAATATAAATAATCGAATGGATGTATGAAAATTTGAAAGTGTTGTTGTCTTTTGCATAAAAAAAAACTTTTTGGCACGACTTCGGTTATGGAATTATTCTAAATTTTATCACATAATTGTATTCTCCCCACTCACATCTCCATCACTCTTCTCTTTTACAGTGGAATCAGTGGAATGCCACGTGTCGTTCCCATGATTCGAACAGAATATCCCATAAAAAATTTGCAAGTGCCACACATTTTGAACTACAATTCTACAAATTGGTTATACAAAAAAATCAAGAAAGTTAATAAGATTCGAAGAAACGTTTCATAGTCAATTAGATATCGATCAACCTATATATACACGGTCACGTATCTATATAATCAGGTCCATGCAAGCAACGCAATGAAACTTTTGAAAATGGAGTCATTGTAGAATTGTGTGCTCATAGGCTGTTAAAGATTTCTCATGATCTCTTGAAGGGGACTTGTATTTCTGTCACTACATCCCATCTGTGTTGCCTTTTTCTTTTTACATTTTTCTTACTTTTTTTTTTCTCGAGGAAACGAAAAAGTGTATAAGAGTAAAGAGTGAATTAATCCTCATGGTCATAGACTCACAGATAATTCGTTGATTTGGACATTCGAATGAGAAACAATGAATTTTCCTTAATTCTATCAAATCCATAATTATTAGTTAGATTAATATTAGCCTACCAGGTTTGACAAAATTATGTAACAAATTTGATAATTATCCGAACCATTTTGTGAACGGTTAACATATATTGTACAACATAAAAAACTTTTAATTTAATATGAAAAAGAAAGTTGACCTGACTTGGGCAAGTCGTGAATGGTGAACCTAGACCTTCAATTCAAATTCCTATTCAAAGAGAAAACATTGAAAATCAAGGGTAAAAAAAAAAAAAAAACTGTTTGAAGACAAGAGAAGCATCTCAATGATTTTCATGAGATAGGACCTAGAACTTAGAAGTGGACTTTGATAGAGACTTTAATTAGGGTGGGCAATTTTGAGTCCCACATTGTCGTTTCTCATTCCACACCAACAATCACCATCTTTTTCTACAACAATATTAGAACCGATATATTTCTATTAAACCAATTTTACCGACTCAACCAAAATTTCTTGACATTATATTCACCACTATTATTGCCAGAAAATCAAGAATTTTTATATATTAATAATAGCGGGTAAGTTTTGTTCGTTATGATCTATATACCGATCGAGTAGCAAACGATGCGTGAAAAAAACAAGTCAAAGTTAATAAAGCTTTTGCATGAATATTTCTTGCATCCTAGCAACCGATGATGCAGAAGAGTGCTATATAACAACTCACAGCACATATATATATACATCTAGAGAAACATTAAATGTGTGATATGATCATCCGTATATTTCGCTGATTCGCCCAAAAATATATCCAAAAATCTACAAGCGTATCTATCGTGTGTGTGTATATATATATAAGAAAAGCTACCCAAAAGAAAATTGATATGGCCCCAACGTAATAATGTTATACAGTTAGAATCGGATTAAATGTATGCAACAAACAATGGTAGCTGAGGGTATATAACCCAATAAAATAGTTTTCAATTAACAAAAATTTGACAAAAATGTCTCTGTATGACATATAAAAAAAACTCTCACTGTTAGATATGCAAGATGGGGAATATAGCAAAGTTGGCTCAAATACATTCCTCTTGTTACTGAAAAACTAGCTTTCACCATATAGTTATACTTAGCATTTATATATGAGCTATTTTGAACAGTAGACACTTTCCAGAAGAATAATTTGCTAACTAGGTTTTTTTTTAAAAAAAAATTGCCCTTTATATATATACAAAAGAAAATTGATACTATTAAAAATGAACAGAATAAAATATGGAATGGAGGGAAATAGATCACAAATATAATGGAGTATTTATTTTCAAATATATATCAAATTAGAAAAAATAAACGCTTGAGTTTGCAAAAGAGAGAAAAGTGATTAGTTGGATAAAATTAGATAAAGGAAAAGGGAATGGATTTGATGTAATAATAATTACGACAGCATGATTTTCTTAAGTCCTACCTTAATGTCGAAAAAGAAAAGTCATTGAGCTGTCGGATGGTACTCTTTAATGATTTCACCAGAAATATTTCTCTATATATAGAAGAATATTAAAATCTCTACCTAATTCCAAATTTTTACCTCACTTTTTTTTTCATTGATCAATCGGCTATAATTAGTTTTTTTTTGTGTTCACACTGCTACAATTTGTTCAAATTAAGCATGTAATTATCAAAAGAAACCTCATATAGTGCTGTTAAAAAAAAAACCTCATATAGTAAATTGACATATACATATATATATATACGGACGAGATTAGTATACTACCAAAAACACGGTCGATAACGTCAGTTTTTAAAAGTAAATTTAAAAACCGACGTTAAATAAAAAAAAAATGAAGCAACTTAACGTCAAATAGTGATACGTATAATCCATAGCTTATGCAACCTAAATTCTACATAGGTGTGTTGTGGTCCTCAAGAACATTATTATAAAAATGTGCGTGTACATATGCAAACACACACACACACTTTCTTGGGGATTTTGGGTAGCATGTTCATGGGTCAGCATGCTGTCTCCACTATCTTTTTGATATATTTTTCGGTTTTATTGTGGGAAATTCAAATAAATGCTGTTATCTGGTAATTAGAATCACAACAAAAGTAAATATGGTGAATTATCAATTTGGAATCACGTTTTCAAATATCAAAAACCTACAAGATTTTCTTATTAAAAATTTACAAGATTTGCATTCTAATTAAAGAGAGATCTAGTGTGTAGGTATATCAAAAAAAAAATCTATTGACATACACAATACACACTTTTTTTTTTTGTCAAGGTGCACATATATTTTTTTTTGTTCAAATCAAGACAAATCATACCCTAAGTTAATTAAAATAAATATTTCCATTTCCTATAAATGAGAAAGCACTTAGTACATTCTCTCTCTCTCCCCCCCTCTCTCTCTCTCTCTCCCCCTCTCTCTCTTTCTCTCTCTCTATATATATATCATCCCGGGCCAGTTATGTGGTCGGAGAGTATGATGAAGGTGTGTGCTGAGCAAGATGGAGAAGCAGGGCACGTGCATTACTAGCTCATCTCATTTGCATATATATACACCCTCACCACAAATGCGTGTATATGTGCATAGATATAGATATATATATGGGTGTGGAGTGTGATGATATAAATGAGTTAGTTCTTCATGTGCCCATCTTCACCATCATGACCACTCCACCTTGGTGACGATGACGACGACGATTCCAGTGTTCGTCATATACTCACGCACGTGGGAATATACTTACATCGATAAACACACACGTGTGTGTTGTGTGTGTCAGAGCTAAGCCTAGATCGCGTATTTTGAGGAAGTAGATACCCTCTGCAAAAGTACCTATTACGTACGTACGCAAAGGAAGCTTAATTAGTCTTGGGAATATCAGGTAGGTCTAATTAACAAAGCTTATATATATGTAATCATATATATGAATCTGATCACGCATCTTGATTAGCGACGCACTCATATATAATTAAGCTGTTCATAAACCATATGTGTCATAATGAACATAGTTTCGGTTAGCGAGTATTAGACAGGAGATCCAACTAACTATTCAAAGTCTTTTTCTTTTAAATGAAAATTTACTTATATATGTTGCTAATTCTATTGGGGTATTTTGTCATTAATCAATGTTTCATCTGACTAACTGTCATATCATTTCAAGCAAAGGGTAAATTACTAAAACTAATTTTATGTATAGAGTAGTAACAGCGACCATCTTGAAACTGGGCGATTCTGTCATTCTGACCTAACTAATTAATCATTAATGAGGTTGATATAAATAATAAAACAATAAATGTATAAGATCACCGATTAAATATTAATGAGTAATGTAATTGATTAGTGGAGCATGCGTTCATTTCTTAAAGATTATACTTGCTCTTGCTGGTTTCCTTGTTTGCTCTTTTATTACGGGCATAAATTACTTACAAACACGTTGGCTTGCACGTACACGTTCAAGCGTGCGAGATATACCAGTTACATTTTAATGTTATAAATCACACATTTCAGATTCGTAATTTCATACCGCTCCTTTTCGAATGGTATTTGTATTCAATCTGAAAAATACAGTGTGTATATCAACGTTTTCGATACATTTGTTGCTTTTTTAAGCATACTAGCTATATTGTTTAGCAAAATGTCAAAATGACATTCATGTCGTGATGATTTACTTTCTAACAAAATGAAGTGCTTAGCTAATTAGTTACTTCTTTTAGATTTTTTTTGTTTTGTATAGATGACGAAAGTTCCTTTAAAAAAAATTTTACATCAACATTTTTGTTGTATGTCGCCGAATAAAAACACACATATTCCATAAACGTCCTTATGTATTGGGCTAATATATCTTCCTAGGCCATATACCGGGCTTAACTAATGGCAACAGTATTAAATAGTCAGTGGCCTCAATGTTAGGCGGGCCTAAAATGATGTGAACATTTGATAGATTTTGATTTTAGTAAGTAATAAACATACAAATGGTTTCAATCGGACCAAGAGCTAGCTATACTGTATTTAATTCGTAAAAGGGGAGAGTATTGGCTGGTGGTTGGTCAAGTAGTTGAAAATTTTATTTGGGAGACTACAATTGGAGTATTTTTTTCAATTTGATTTCAGTTCTGTAGGAACATGGAAATTAATTAGTATGGAATCTTTTATTCTGAAATCGTCCATGGTTGAAAAAATATTAATTTGTAAAAGTACGGAAAAGAAAAAAACCAAAAGATATGATTGGAGTGGTAGACGTCGAGGAAGAAGAAAAGAATAAATATATTTGGTTGATTAGCAAAGCTGTATAAAACGACCGTCGACGCGTACGTCGGTATTCGTTGAGTAAAATCTATTTTTTCCGTGTTAAGGTAACACAACGCGTCGTCAGATTTGGACCGTGTTAAAAAAATTGACAAGCGTGTTAAATGTATGAAACAAATTATCCTGATATATTCCTTACTTAATTTCATCAATAATGTAAAATTTGATATATTCGTCTACTTGATGAATAAGAAAAGTGTAACAAGGAAAATAATTAAAATAGCCTCTAAAATCTAATTCTCTTTTTTTTTGTTTGTTCTTAGAGGAAATCTTTATCTTGGAATCTTAATCTAATCTTAAATTAAAGTTTATGCTTGTAGACCTTTTCTCTTTTAAAAGTCAACATATTCGATCAGATATTTATTTCTTTTATAAAGTCTAATAAGACCCTGAAACTTATCTTCACGACATAACGAGACCCAAAAAAAAAGAAAATATTTCAATCAAAGCAAAACAAAAACAAAAAATAGAGAGATCAGTGAATCAATTTTGGAGGAGAAAGAAAAGAATGGAGCAGCCGTACGTGTATGCATACCCACAAGGCACAGGGCCTTCGGGACCTCCGCCTCCACAAGCCGGAGGAGTGATAGTGGATCCAAGGTACTGCGCTCCTTACCCTGTAGATCTAGCGATCGTACGGAAGATGATGAAGTTGACGGACGGCAACTTCGTGATAACGGACGTCAACGGAAACCTGCTGTTCAAGGTGAAGGAACCGGTGTTTGGTCTTCACGACAAGAGGATCTTGCTGGATGGTTCTGGTAATCCTATCGTCACTTTGAGAGAAAAGGTCAGAGATTAGTTTTTAAAAAAACAGAGCACACACACAACATGTATACAAGTAACTAATAGAGAGCTAGGCTTGATATGATTTATTAATAATAGTATATATTGGGTGGGTGATTGCAGATGGTGAGCATGCATGACAGGTGGCAAGTGTTTAGAGGAGGGAGCACGGAGCAGCGTGATCTGCTGTACACGGTGAAAAGAGCGTCAATGCTTCAGCTAAAGACAAAACTTGATGTGTTTTTGGGACACAACAAAGATGAGAAGAGATGTGACTTCAGAGTTAAAGGGAGTTGGCTCGAGCGTTCTTGTGTTGTTTACGCCGGCGAATCTGACGCCATTGTTGCCCAAGTAAGCTCTCTTTCCTTCATTATTAGGCCCATCTCATTTATCAATTTCTATGCATCTCACATGTCTCTTACACAGTTCACATTAAAGTCCAAGCAATGTTTTAATCCGGTTTTGGTCTTTGGTTTACTGTTTTAGAAGCCGGTTTTGATGGAGCTTTTGATTCGGTTTGGATCAAAAGCTAATAAATAATACATTAGCATATGAATTGCGAAGATTTAAGAAAAAAACATTTACTAATAGAAAAAGAAATCAATGGTATGGTTTTTGATGGGCAGATGCATAGGAAGCACACGGTGCAGAGCGTATTCTTGGGAAAAGACAATTTCTCAGTGACTGTTTATCCAAACGTCGATTATGCCTTCATTGCCTCTCTTGTCGTCATTCTCGATGACGTCAACCGCGAAGACCGCGCCGCCTGAGACTCATATATTATCTCAGTTTATAATTATCATCAATAATGTGCTCTTTATTCGTTTTGTCGAACCTATTCGTATTCTCTTAAGTGTTAAACTTTGTGTGATCATTTCAGTTGTAAAATAAGCAAATTATTGCGTCTGTCGTTTATGTTTAATGACTACATCTAGTATTTAGAGTATTTATTTTTTCTTCACATAATATCTATTTTTAGAATATATAACTAATTTTGCATTAATATTTCCATTCTCCTACCAACTGTATATCATTAGAAAAATTCATTTTGAGTGACAGACACATTTCACATACTAATTAAAAAAAAAAAGAACAAAAGAAAGTGCACAAAAAAAAAAAAAAAAAAAGAACAAAAGAAAAATAATCAAACAAATCCATGTGGTAATAAATGCTGGAGGAGTGGGACCGGGTGTAACTAATAAGACATGGCCCAAAAACAAGTGTGAACGAATTTGTCGGATAGCTGACTTTTTTTTTTTTAATCTCTATAAATATATGGCGAGAAATAAGACTCACCTTGTGGAAAAAAGCATTTTTAGACGAGAATTTCAGTGGAATTCGGAAATGAGGCCATCTTCTTCTTCTTCTTCCTCATCCTCTGCTTCTCCTTCGTTTACTTTGTCTTCAGTGACAGTAGCGGTGGACAAAGCCACAAGCGAGCTTCTCCGCACTCCTGATTGGACCATCATCATCGCCATCTGCGATTCCCTCAATTCTAATCGCTGGTAAATCTCACATATCTTTGATGATCTTGCTTATCATCATGAATCCCGATGTTGATGTTGAAATTTTGGCAGGCAATGCAAAGATGCGATCAAAGCCGTGAAGAGAAGATTGCAGCACAAGAGTTCTAAAGTGCAATTACTCACTTTAACGGTACACAACTCTTTGTTTTTCTTTTCATGAATGAATGCTCTGTCTTGTCTCTCGGTTACTTATAACTGCATCCACTATCTTCATCTCCTTAGTTGTTGGAGGCAATGCTCAAAAACTGTGGTGACTTTGTGCATTCTCATATCATTGAGAAACATCTTCTTGAAGATATGGTTAAGATTGTCAAGAAAAAGGTTATTTTTATTTATTCTGAGCTCTCTTTTTAACTTCTCCAAGTCACCCTTTTTTTTCATTTTTTTATTTTATAATCTTGATATGTTTGAGTGTTGAAATTGTGTGTGAAAGGGTGATTTTGAAGTAAGGAACATGATCTTGCTATTGTTGGATACTTGGAATGAAGCATTCAGTGGAGTTTCTTGTAAATACCCTCACTACAATTGGGCATACCAAGAGCTTAAAGTAACCCCACTTTCTTAGAGATTTATCTATCTTTCATTATTTAGCTTATTAGCCTCTCATTCCTTTTGAATCGACAGCGGTGTGGGGTGACATTCCCACAACGTTCCAAAGAAGCACCCCTGATGCTTGCACCACCACCTCCAGTGACACATTCTTCTTCATCATCATCTTCTATGAATTTAATGTCTATCGGTTCATTCAGAAGGCTCGACGAAACTATGGCTACAGAAATTGAGGGCCTAAGGTAAGCTGAGTGTCTATGTTTCTCAAAACAACCTACTATATTTTCAGTTACTTACATTGTTGATTGATTGTTTCAGCTTATCAAGCCTTGAATCCATGAGAAATGTGATGGATCTTGTGAATGACATGGTTCAAGCCGTGAATCCATCTGATAAATCAGTAAGTGTGGTATCAATCCTTATCAACAATCTAATACTATTTAAACCTCTCAATAATCTCTCTGGTTTGGAAATTTATATAATCTTTCACAGGCTATAAAAGATGAGCTAATAGTTGATCTAGTAGAGCAGTGCAGATCTAATCAGAAGAAACTAATGCAGATGCTCACTACAACTGCGTCTGTCTTCTCCACCTTTCTGCTACATCTTCTTCTTCAGCCTAACTTGTTCCTTTTTTTCTTACCTGTTATGCCTTCTTCTTCTCAGTGATGAGGATGTTATGGCACGTGGGCTCGAGCTGAACGACTCTTTGCAGGTAGTGCTCGCGAGACATGACGCTATTGCATCTGGTGTCTCTATTCCTATGTTGGAGGCCCCAGAGACAAGCTCTGCCCTCAAGACTTATGATGTTGATGCTCTTGAGTCTGACTCTGAGTCTTCTTCATCGTCGAGCAGTGAAAGTGAAACAAATGAAAGGGAGGATGTTAAAGATGACTTTGTGCAGCTAGCCAAAAGGTGTTAACCATTCACTCACTAACTCAGACACTAGTATTTGCGAGTCACAGACTAGTTTATAGACATTCTCGAATTTGCAGGCACGCTCTATTAAGTGCCGAACACAGCGATGAAGAAGAAGAAACATTGCTTCTAGGTAACGACGATGAAAATATAGCGGAAACAGAAGCCAAGACACAGTGCAAAGATCTAGCTTTGTTCGACACAACAACAACAACCACCAAGTCAGAGCAGGACATTATTGAACTCCTCAGCCTAACTCTGTCAACAACTGCTCTACCCTCCCCACATACGCAACCTCAAATGCAACCACAAACGCAGCCTCCATCGTTTTTTGCTGATGGTAATATTCTTATGAACAGCTACGTTGTCCCATGGGCACAGTCCCAAGAAGAACCGCAAGTCCCAAAAATGACTCAGTTTGCTCCATCGGGACCTCAGTTTCAGCCATGGCCTCTGCAGCAGCAACAACCGTTTACATACGGTTATCCTCAGCCACAATGGAGCGTTGGCCAAGTAAATAGTAATGACACAACATTGTGGAGCCAAGGATGCAACGAAAATAAGGTTTTTGAGAGAAACTTGCAATACTCAAACTCCTTCCCCGCTAGAGCCACAGGGACATCCGGTGCTGCCTCTGTGCCTACGGTGGTGGACGGGCAGCCGCAGAGGCCGTATGTTCCTCCGTACAAATTGTTTGAAGATCTTAACGTTTTCCGGAACGCAGATGGAGGCGTTAGGAGTAGCAAATGACCTTTGTTGTAATTACGTTATAATAGTTCCAAAAGATTTCAAATTACTACAGTTACAAATTAACAAAGAGAACTAATAAGACTTCCAAGGTGAGGTAGAAATCTTTGGAAACTTAATATATGATCAAGGAATAAATAGTTAAAGTTGACAGAGATCGAACTTTACTTGTGCCATTTTCTTTACCCAAGAATCCAAGATGAATAGACAAATAATAAGAAATATGAAGATGTAAAAAAATACACACACAAGAACTATTTACAAAGCATTTACATGCGTAATATAGCCACAAATTTATTTGGCAAAGCCTCCTCAATTAGTATTGCTTGCATCTTTTCATCGGAGGCTAATTAATCAACTCTACAAATAATACCCAATTTTACCCCAACTCCCTAAATTCACTTTGCATTCACTAACTTACTAGTTGTCATGATCTATCTAGGTGGTTGCGTGTTGTGGTGGGTGTATAAAGAGACGAAGGAGCCAGCAGCTCCGGCAGCTAGCAATACCTGGTAAGGGTGAAAGGCGAGGCAACTGACTGGGCCAATCTTTTGGGCCATGAAGGAAGTGTGGTACTTTATGATCCCAAGTTGTTCTCCCTTAAGGCTGAACACTTTTATTAGCTGTTTGGCTGACCCGCTCGCTATGATTGGAGCGTGTCTATGGACACCCAATGCTGTCAGTGATCCTCGGTGCGCGTCTATCGTTAGGTATGTCTTCTTTGTTATTTTTAGGTCCAGAAACTGAATGTCACCTGCTTGTGATGCGCTCACAATCTGAGACAACAAACATGTCAAGTGAGGAACTAAATGACCTTATGTACTGACTGACGAGAAGCAAATATTTGGGTATGTGTAACCTTTGCCGGATCGAGTCCAGGCTGAAAGCTGAGTCCAACTACTTTTTCTACTCTCTGATGAGGCCGAGTGGCACACACAAGCCTATACATTGGAGAAGTGAGATTTCTTCTAGTCTTTAACTAATAATCTTTGTTACTATGTTTAAAAGCAGAGTAACCGAATTAGATCCAAAGGTGAGAATTAAACAAGCTTAAGTAACTTACAAGTCAGGTGTCCGAACGTCGTAGAGTCTTACAGATCCATCCGCAAAACCAGCAGCAAGTTGACTCCCATGCACTTGAGAAGCCGACTGCAAATAAACACATACACACAAATAAAGTGACCCATCAAGCAAGATCCGACCAGTCCTAGAGATCCTGTCTTCATATAGACAAAAGAAGATCTACATAGTATCTATTTGTAACACAGATATACAAGTTTGCATATGCTAGCTTACAAGGGCTGTGACGCTGCACTCTGATTCAGAGGGCACAGATTTGACGAGCTGTTCTCTCTCCAGGTCCCAAAGCATGATTGATGACGATTCCCCAGAAACATACTGTAGACACCAGTAATGCGTCAAATGCAAAGTAAAGCAAGTTTCACAATTCCAAATATAATTAGATTGCGTGTTGTTAATAAAGTGGCTATATACCAGGTAACCCGACTGCTGTTGCCAGTCCACGACAGCGTTCAGGCCACGTGCACCAGGCTTGTGACCTTGGATTGAAGAAAACCCCGTGACAAGTTTTTGTCTACCCTTTGTTGCGTAGTCTTTCCATATACGGACTGATCCATCGCCTACACAAGATTTCGGAACCACCGGTAAGAGCTTTTAACAGCCATACTCAATCAATAACTAACTTGCAAAAGACACTCTGGCAAGAGTTGGAACATTACATGAGGCAACAAGTAGCAGAGAGTCATCAAGTTCATTGACAAAGCAGAGCTTTGAAATTCCTTTGTCGGGAAAATCGTGATTATCAAAGCCATTAAGAAGAGTTGCTTCCTCGTAATTCCACACTCTGACAGGAAAGACAACTAAACTTAGAGTCCAACAAAGGCAATTAAGTCAAAGAGCAGTTTTTAGATGAAGCAGTGAAAGAGGGATTTCAAGGTGAAGCATTTTATAAATGACAGCACTAGATAGACCGCACTGATCCAACATATGTGTTCCGAGAGATTGACATCTAGAAATGGTAAATTTTACAAGTTGGTGCACCTAAATACCTGGTGTAAGAAATTAGCTAGTATTTAGCCTTATAGAGGGCAACCGGGATACAAATTGTTGATCTGAAGTCTATAATTTTAGGTAAGGCATGAAAAAATTTGCATACCTGATCCGTTCATTCTCATCGGCAGCAACTACAATAGGAGAAAAAGGGTGAAGGAGGGCCGTCTTTGTTCCCGTTTCAAACTTTGTATCCCAATTAGCAATAGGAATATTGTTGATCCCGCTGATTGCTGGTCGAGGACAAAAGAAGGTTGTGATACAGTTCAAGTAACTAGTATAGATATAACACAAGACACAAGATAAACAGATAATAAAAACTTACATGAATGCTGGCATTTTGCAATATGCTCAAGCGAAAACTTTTCTTTCTCTTCTCTTTGGCCTACTATCTCTTCATTAGCATCTGCTCCACCAAGAAGAGGTTTAGAAAAGTAACCACAGCTCCAGTTGTAGATAGTTGATTGTGGAAGCAAACTCCGTTCAGACCCGCTTACGCCTAAAAGCGGATCAGCCAATCCAGAGTCTGGAGAACCCAGCAGATGAGGTCGGAGCTCTAGTGAACAAACTCTCCTCAGTCCAGTTAAATAACTTGTTTGAGGAGGGCTTACCGGAGGAGTCCTAAATGTTAGCGGCAGGTGACCTGTCAACATGAATTTCATGGTTAAATTACTTCAAGTTTATAATGGACAACTATTTCAAGATTCACATCAAATGATGATTCAAAAACACTGCATAACCAGCTTACCTGTATGCATATCAAACCATGAGGATGAGCGAACTAGGCCAGCCAAAGGAGTGTGAGATGCTGATGCTGCAACAATTTGTTCAATCCCAATAACAGATAGCACACGCCGCCCAAGGCTTGCAATACGCGGAGATGGATCTTTAGCTAACGTAAACATAGCCAGAACACACTGCGAATATATAGCATTATCCAGCGGTCTTGGCTGATGGACAACTCCATTGTTGACACCATCATGGATGATTCCAGAATCAGAATGCAAGGAAGAATCATCAGATAATGGAGATCCTTGCATTGGCCCGGAAGAAGCTTCATGGAGGCTGCTTGAGATCCTCCCTTCACGAGCCACTGGTTGGCTATCAGGGCTACCTCTAGTCAGAGAACCCATGTGTGAAGAAACAATTGTTGAAGTTCCAGCGTCGTGAAACTTGGCCATTGAAGGGAAAGAAGTTCGCAGAGAACTTTGGGGCTTCCAATATGAAGCTGCAACTGACTTTAGATGCTGTTTGTGTCCAAAGGCAAACCGTGCGAGAGCTGTGAGACAATAACAAGATATTGAGTGTATTCAGAAGATACATACAATCCAAGCATTACTTTCAAGCTTTCTAAACGGGAGAGATATGAGTTAAAGGGTTATTAACTGATGTTAAAAAAAAAAAAAAGTTATTAATTTGAGTTAATACAGACACTAGAGATCATATAATACTACTAAAAGATAAATCCATATAGGTTTTTTCCTCTGAACTTAATGGCACATGATGCAAATAGTGCCACAATTATGCATGATCAAAAGTTAACATGCTTTGCATACCTACAGCAACCTCTGCTCGGACAAGCGGGCTCCCATCTGAAACTACATCTAAGAGACTTTTTATCATAATATCTTCAATTATAATATTTTCATCATCATCAAATTCTTCGTCACGAACACCTTTACCAGAGTCAAACCCAACATCAAGTAAGGTACCCAAGGCAAAAACAGCAGCAGCCCTGACCTACAAGAGATTGGTGTTGCCTGCGATTAGACTGCTATTTCAAAGCAAAAAAGAAACTGAAATCTGATAAGTTAGCTAAGCTTCAGGCGAAGCACCACCTCTGGTTGGGCCTCGGAAAGCAGAGGTATCAACTTCTCAGAAGCATTTGCCTCCTTACCCATTATCTGGGCCTCCACAAAGTCCTCCCACAACTTTCCAAGACAAAGACAAAGCCATTGAAGAAACAATGGTTCTGGCGGTGGATCACATGGTTGGGTTGCTTCGAGGTGGCCCAGACAAACACCAATTAAATTAGCTTCAAGACAAGATTCTTGGCCTTGTTTGTAGCCATCGACAATAACAGCCAAAACAAACGCAGCCATAGCACGTTGTTCTGGGAATGCATCAGAACTATCTAAAAATCGGATGAAATATATGTGGCCCCGGTCCTTCACAAGATCTACTTGACATGACTATAAAACAAAGAGAAATCTCTCAAACGTTAGCAAAATTAAAAAAATGATAGGAAAACGAAGTGGCACAATAGAACAATGATCAAGATAAGGAACATGTCCCAATGTCCACAGATAGGAGCAAGATGCACATAGAAATGTTAGTCACCATTTTATGGCATTTAGAATTTATCTTAGGAATAATTATATGAACAACTTATATCTTGGTCTTTCTCATTATCAAGAAAACAGAGGCACGTTAATAATACATCCCCAAATGGAACTAGCAGAGATGTAACAAGAAACTAACAAGCAGAGACATAAAAAACTGCTTGTACCTTATCAAATGCAAGAATCTTTGTCCATATGAAAACAAGAATCTGCCGTAGCTCAATAGTTGTTTGCTGCAGCAGCTTTACTACGCAAGGATATATTCCAACGGATAAGGCCTATAAAAATATTCACTTCAAGTCAGGACATACACAAAAGATAACATAGGAGAAGAAACGTCTAAGAACAAGGGAAAAACAGGACTTCAAGGCATTAGAGGTACCAAATCAACAGCCCAAGGACCCATATCAAGAAATCGTCCAAGAAGTACAAGAGCACGAAACCGATGGCACTGGCTAAGTAAGACCTGATACAAATCAGATTCCAAGTAAGCTAAGATGCTAAGATATAAACAGATATTAGATGGAAGAGGAAGAATGAAGCCAATGATTTGCTCCTTAGATCATCAATACGAAAGCAGCAGTGTAAATAAATGAAAAATAGATTTGAATAATTGCTCATGGACCATCAGAAAAGGGCCTTTTTAAAAAACAAAAGGAAGGGTAAATTTAGGGTTCAGGTGGCACCTGAAGAACAATAGGCAACTGCTCCGGTGGCTTCTTATGCTCAGATCCATGATCAAGCCAGACCTCAAAAGCTGTCAGTTGCTCAGTAAAAAATAGACTTGGCTAGAAAAATAAGAGTAACAAGCATTATCAACAATACAGTCATCATACCGAATCATAATTACAAGGAAATAATGGACAAAACAAACCTGAAACTCCGTATTTGAGTCCAGAAAAAGTTTAGGAAGCTGAGAAAGGCAGATTTCAGCAGCCATGTCCCATGCATCCCTGGAAAACAGCTATTAGCTGAGGTAAAGAGCTCACATTCACAATTCATCAAAATGCAAATTAGGGATAACGTCCAATACCACATATGATGCTGATGCGTAGGAGGTAGCATAGGATGGGATATTGGGGTACAATTCCCGGACCGCATTATCCTCTCAGCAAGTAAGAAATTCCGGAAAAGGCTAGCAACCAACAAGTCCTGTCTGAATAATCTCTGGAAAAGTTCTGTGGGGTAAAACTAACTTCATGAGGAATGGAGAAAAACAAACAAAAAGTCAAACTTGAGAGTTCGGGGCCTTGATACTATTTTTTGTCAACAATTTTGCACTGAATCATTAGGTGGAAAGTTTGGGAAGTACCGCGAGGAAGCACATTCCAGGCAATGGTGTCCGTGACTGCAGTAAAGATCCAGTTCAACTCTCCTAACAATGTTTTGCGGTCATTTTGGCGGCCGGGAATTCTATCAATAAGTGATTCATCTATATATTCCTTCAGAAGAGAACGTCTGCAGAACCTGCAAAAAAAAAGCCTCTGTGAAACATATAAAGTAACCATATATCCTGATTAAGTCAACTTTCGGGAATTGCTGCATCAGCCAACCTTCAAACTAAAAACATATAAAGTAAGGTATTCTATCCATCATATGTTCGATCTTACCTATGGAGAAAGCAAGCACGTGCTAACTAAATTTTTTTGATGGAGTAACACCACGTTTCAGACAGAAGAAAAGGTGACCCTCAAGTACTTAAAGAAGACAGAGATTAAAAGAGAAACTTACCATTTCAATGCGATCTTAATAGGTGTCGTGAGGCAAGAAGTAAACACGTCAGCTGGAAATTCAACACTCTGAGGAAGTGTCTCATGTACATCACAAGCAGCCAGTAGAATGCAGTCTTTCGGGGGCCCAGACGAGCCAGAAGATTCCCCATCGTGAAGCTACCGTAAAGAGTGAAACAATTTGATCATCATACGAAACGCCAATTGTAGAACCAAGCCCTAAACTCAGTAGGTACAATACAATATGAGTAATTTGTTTGTGGTTTTACCTCAGCGAAGGCATTGACAATGACCCTAGCAGCAGAGCAGTCAAAAACGTAAATTGCGGGTGTCTTCAACCAGGAATCAAGTTCGCTAACTGGCAAGGGAATGTACTGCGTAAAATTCTGCAGACACAAGATGGATAGGTGGCTGTTAAGAGACAAGAAGAACATGGAAAGTATAGAAAGAAAGCAAGGAAAAAGTGACCTTATTGTAAACCCAGATTTCACCATTAGGTGTAGGTTTAGGGACACCATGGCCGTTATAATGAAACAAAACTCGCTCAGTCTTAGCAGTTTTCCGGCAAGACAAGCACAGCTTCCTGACATCGTCCTTTGTAGGATCCAGTTCCACCTTATATCGAGCCTGATAAAAAATGTCATAGACTACAAATGAAGAGGAAGCAAACTCTCAAGAAAGAAAAGAGCTGGAAATGAAGTAATCACCCGAGGCAGCCATCTCTCGTACTGAATGCTCAAGCTTTGGCCTATAGTCTCAAGAGCTCTTCTTGGCGGATACATAGAAAATGGATCTGCCATCAAAACAGACGAAAAGAAATATGATTGCGGGAAACATTGAAAGAATGGGATAAGAAAGAGTAAGGAGAGAGGTGGACCTATCCAGCATTCCAGTGTTGCGCATGGAGAAATCTTAATAACATCAGGGGGATCAACGGTAATGTGCAAACACATAACTAGAGCTACACATCCTGTTTTCATCTGCAAATCAAAAAGGAACCTGAGACTAAATTACATTGAATTGATTGATGCAGACAATTGGGACCAATGCTTCATCGAAACTTACTCGCTCTTTAAGGCGCCATCTGGGGGATTGGACGATGTCTAAGGCCTCGGAGGCGTCGTGTCTAAGGTCGCAGAGCACAAGAGTCTGAGGCAAGTATGCCATGCTTGTGGCGGCGGAGAGATTCTCATAGCTGCCGCTAGCGACCGTGGGAGAGGCGATGATGGACATGCGGGAATCATCGTGAGTGGAGGCGCAGTCGTCGTCGTTGTAGCGGTGATTGGTGACAACGGTAACGGAAGATTGAGAGAGCCTGGAGACCATCAAGTCCCCTAATGCCATCCAAAGGAGAATGCCAAATCAATCAACAAAGTACAGCTCGTAAGGACGGAGAAGACTGAAGCGGAAACCCTAGTAACACCGGAGAAGAGAGGAAGGAGAGGGAGAGTGAGGTGGTGGTGGTGGTGGCGGCGGCACAAAGAGAGAAGTGTGGAGAGATGCCAAATTTTGGGATTTTGTCATCATCAGAGGAAAGGGGAAAGTCGTCAATGCGTTTTGTCTCCCTCCTCTCCTCTCCTCTCCTCTCTTCTCTTTTTTCTTCTCTTTTTAATTGATTGATGATTTATATATACCACCTGGAAATCAACATATTTTTTACTTTTTCAATACATAAATTTAAGGAAAATATTGCTGGACTTCTATATTTCTATTTTTCTTAAATTACAATATAAATTATTCAATGATTTATTTCCATGTTATTTTCAGATTATAATTTATATTTAGGATTCTTTTCTGTGTGTTTGATTAATTTCAAAATTCAAGTCTTTTCTTTATAATTAAAAATTTAACTAGCTTTTTAGTATTTTAAGATAAATCGTTTTGTAATAATGCATTACAAAATTGAATAAAAGATAGAGAGAGAGAGGTGAAATAAGGTTAGAAATGCCTAAACGTAAGGTTGAGACGTCCGGTTCGAAGCTTGGACTCATTGAGTAGAGACATGGGAGCTGAGTTTGGTATGATGGACTTGACCCCATGGAACATCATCCTAGATTCTCCCCCGAATATCAACACATCTCCTGATTCTAATATCACTCCTTCTGCTTCTTCTACGTCTCTTTTCTCTCCGTACAAGAACTCTGCAGAATCACCTATTGAGAAGGAGACTATCGGCAACCCTTTTACTATACTCTCTTGGCTTTCGTCACGGTCCTGCCATTATTATACCAATACACATTATCAGTGTCGACCACATGACAAGAGAACCCTTCAATGAGGTTTAAAGTCAAATTACACACCTGGTGGAGACCAAGTCTTCCACTTTCTGAGTAGAAGTTGACTATGCAAATGTCTGGTGACATCACTGGAAGTATCCTCTCTGCATCTTCTGTTCCTGATTCTCTGTCGATGAGAGCATGTGCTTCCCGGATCGCCTCTTCTACCAAGACACTAAATGCAACAGGGATGTCGGGTGCTTTACTATCTATGTCAGTGTTTTTACTGTACTTGGTCTGTGGATCCCAGTTTCTCCCAAGGCACATCATTTGCAGATGAAGCTTTGAACCAACTCTATATCCCGGTTGGTAAAATCCTGCGGGCTTAACACCAAGTTCTCGGCATGTTTTCACAATGTCAACCTGTAAGCATGTACAGCTCTTTACTTTACTAGAGAAATATGTAGATTATGTGGTCATTTTCACAGTTTTACCTGTATATCATGCGTAAGGAAGTCTTTAAGAAGCACCATTCCAGGCCTCAGAACTCTGTGTTTGTTACTAACTTCAACAGTTTCCCCGTTTGTTTCATCCGCCAAAGCCCAATCGTTTATGCTTGTATCATTTCTCTCGATGACTGAAGAACAAATGTCGAAAGGCGGATCCTCTTTCCTCTTAGGACTTTGAACCCTACTCTTGAATCCAGAATTTCTGTGATTCCTAACCTTGCGGATTTTCAAATTATGAGATTGTGAACTCTTACTCGGAGAAGAAGGGTTGGTAGAATCAAGCTCAACAACACTTGTTCGTGAGCCAGTACCAGCGGCAACCTCAAAAGTTGTCACATTCGCTTCTTCATCTAAAGACCGTGAAGCCCGGCTCCTCCTTGTACCTTGATCCCTATGCTTACATCCAAAATTCGTCTGCAAAGACAAAGCATCCTTACCCCTTGTCCAATTTTGAAACTGTGAACTTTTACAGGGATTGGTAGAACCAAGATCAACCTCACTTGTTGGTGAAACCTTCTTCTTCTTAGAGCCGCCAGTAAGTGGTGGAAATTGCTCGTCATAATCATTGAGTGATTCAAACGATGTAGTCTGCTTTACAGAATTAACACAATGTGTGTTCCTTTAGATAATAATTTGATTGGAGTGATCATAGGAAAATCACTGTGCTTGATAGGGTTTTACTTAAAGGCTCAAATTCATGCCACTATACATTGAATACAAACTGTGAAGGAAGAAAGGATTTTCAATCAAATTCAAGCGATCAGCGAAACTAGATAAAAAGGAAATCTAAGAGCAATAAGCTAAAACGATCACTCACTTGCGTCTTTCGAATCGGAGAGGAACTCATTATCTTCCTCGCCGACGGAGAATACATCCGAAGGAGGATCTGGTGGCGGGAAGTAGGAGAAAACGAGCGATAGAGAGACTTCATCATAGTCGATTTATCGGCGACGAAAACAGTCGCATCGTCTTCTACGCCGTCGGCCAAGAGTCTTCTTTTTAATTAAGTACGTTGATTTTCCCGATAACTAACTCCAAATTACACTATTTTAATTACATGGGCCCATGGGCCTCGTTACATAGATACCAAGGGCCTTCCACATTAATTAATTTGTGGGAGGGAAATGAGTTTTCTACGCGCACGACAAGCGAGTCAGGAACACGCTCCAATGGCAGCCGCCGACACCTTCCTTAACTTATTAACTCACATACTTTAGTGCTAAAATTTTGTTTAGTGTCAGTATTCAAATGAATTGTTACATCTAAGAAGAATAAAAAGTAAATTAAAATTTTGACTCTAAAACCTACCAGATGATGTAGAAAGACGTGTATATTTTAGTATCTTTTAAAATGGACCAAATGATTCTGCTATTTCCAGTGTGAGGAGGTTGTAGAAAACCAATCATATTCGACAAAAAATCAATTAAGAAGAAACCAACCACCAAACCCCATTCATTAATTTGCTTTGCTTGGAAGACAGCTATATTTACACAAAAGAAGGCTTCTTCAAACTCACAATTACATTTTTACACGGAACCATCCATGTACAAAAGCCAAAATGAATATTGAATACTTAATTATAAAAGTTTTAGTCATGCACTTAAACCAAAGTGAATGCGACAGTTACTATAATAATCTTCTCATCAATTTACGTAACTCTTGTAACTGTTCATTCCCTTATATGTATAACAAAAAGGAAAACGTATGATATGATTTAGAGTTGCGTTACCGACACAAACTGATTAAATATTATAATAATAACACAATGGAACACAAAATATACTAATATATGAAAAAAACATTTGTAAAATTAATTTAAACGTTTTATTTTTTTCCCAAATTTTCTAGCGAAATTAGCAGATGAAACATCTGCGGATTCCGAAGCAAGAGGTGGATTGTGATCGCTGAATGGGGTAGTCAGCAGAAGAGTCGAAGGATGAAAATCTTCGCATGACGTTCCTTTCCGACTGAAACTTGAACAGATCGTACTCATTCTCATCGATCAACACTCTCTCCGACATAGATGGTGGTGACGATGCCGACAGTTTCTTGGCCTTGCTACTATGATCGCCCGATAACCAGAAGAGCTTGGTCGGGATTAGTGCGAGGATTTTCTTGGTGGAGTTTTTGGAACGGCGCCGGATTTGGTCACCGGAGAAAGAGAAATGAGACGGCGGAGGAGTGAGAGGTGGCAGAGTAGGTAGCTCAGAGGATGGGTGTTTGGGTGTGCCTGGATGAGATTCCCATTCGAAAGGGACGGAACCGGCGGCTCCGTCGTAGTAGTAAATTCTAAAGGAAGGACAGGCTGATGCTCCTGTTGCCGGCGACGAAAAGCGTTGTTTGGTCGACGGTAACTTATCGGAGAAGGTGGCCGTGTCATGCTTTCTCAGTGACAGTGAAGCTCCCCGCTCAGATCCCGCGTTTGGCATTGTTGTCTTTGGAGAGTGAGAGAGTGAGAGAGAGAAGGAAAGAGATCTAGAGATATGTGCATGAGACATATGGAGTCAATCTATCATGTATATATGGGTGCCTGATGTCTTTGGTACGGTTTTTACTTTTGGGCTTATTTGTTTGGCTCTGGTGTCTATAGACTATAGAAACTATACATTAAATGCAAAATGTAATAATAATAATGAAATAATAGTGCGGTTAGTTAGCTCTCATAGTTAGAACTTATAAAGATATATCTCAAAGTGTACGTGTTGGTCCAATCCTACAAAGGCAATAACCACTCGATGGGTATATAAAGTCATCACAACACTACGTATTAAGACCCTTGAACACTAAGTAATGCTACCGGGTACAAAAGAAAACACTAGCATATATGTATGATGAGGAGATCTAAATACGTCATACTCATGGCAAGATATTTGTAAAGCAATCACGATTCATCCACAAGAACATTTACATTACAAACCAAATATACATAACTTAAACACAAACAAGCGCCCACCGGTTTATTAAAAAAGGTGTGGTTATTGGAGAAAAGCATTTATTTGGAGAGTAGGACCATTGATGAAAACAATATGAATTGAATAGTTGGGGTTTTCTGATTAAATTGGAAAACAGAATTATTATGACTAAACGAGCCACGACCCATGCATCCTACATGTGCTCCACATACCTCCGAGCATTGCTTTCCTTAATATACATACACTGATACACCCCATGGTCGGTCCATTCTATTGCATTAATTTCTTTCAATGTCATATTCATATTTACACCCTCATTAGAATATACATTTCTTCGTTATTACGTTGCTTCAACATCCAAAAACAAAAAAAATATCACGACCACCAACATTATTGTTACTTAGGACGACAATTGCAGATATTTACACGTACGTCTGTATGTAGGATTTTTGAGTTGGTTCTCATAAAGACTGAAAGTATATTTTTGAGTTTAAATTATATTCAAGATAAAAAAACAATTACTATAATCGAACGATCAAGGAGTTGAGAAATTAAATTACTAGAGTATGATCTTATACACAAGTCAACACACAATTACATGATGGCAAGGATGATTCGGAATAGAGCAGCAGCCTAGATCACAACACTATAGTTAAAGGTTAAACACGAAGACATATGTATATAATTACATTTTCTTTCGTCCATTAAAGAAATATGAGAGGAAATAAAATAAAATAAAAATTGAAGGTTTAAGGTTTAAAACCAACTACCAAATTTCTCATTTGCTGGTATGAAAAATATATATGAAAATTTAAAAGTAAATTTTAAACAACAGCCCTAATTAGATTTGAAGAAAAATAAAAAAAGAAAGGACCAATCATATGTTAGACAAAAAAGAAGGGCCAATCATAAAATTCTGTTACTATGGATAGCTAAATGAGAGGAGACTCTTGCTTTTTTAGCAAAAAAAAGAAAAGAAAAAAAAAAGAGTTTTTATATATTTTATATTTGATAGAGCAGAGCAGCATCGAAGATCGGTTGCTCTCTTTCATTAATCAGATCTAATCGACCCATCGGAGGCCGTGTAAGTAAGCTCTTCTTCTTCATCTTTCTCTTCTGTTTGGATTCTGTGGATTACGATCTTTTAGCACATATGAATTTCAACCTAAAACTGTTGACAAAATAATATTCTCAACTCAAAATCGGAATCCCCAAATTGTCTGTTGACTTTTTAATTCGGCGATCTCCAGATCGGTTTTTGATCCATTTATTATTAAATTTTGATATGTATATAGATTTCAGGAGGAAGCAATCATAACCATGGGCGGTAGATTCGGAGTCCTCTTCTTCCTCTTGGGGTTATTAACCTGCTGGTCTTGTGACGCTACAACCCCGATTCTTCTCCAACCCTTGGGTAAGATTTATTAAATATTTGACATACACGTGTGCATCTCTAGAGTCTCTCTTGCACCTGTTTCTAATTCACTCGTTACAATTTTGTTAAAATCTGGTCACTTTATTAGTTGAATCATAATCATTTGGTAAAAGATTACAAATTATAGAGATCCTAATGTATGATTGTTTTAGAAGGGGCTTCACCATATATATATTCGTGTTGATCTCCTCCTATGTACATGCTTGTTTCATTTGCAGAATCAGCTCACGGTGACAACCAAGTCTGTGAATTGTGTGAAAAGTATGTTACGCTTGCCATTGATTACCTTCAAGATTACGACAACCAGAATGCACTTGTTGAGGCCCTTCATATCAGCTGCTCTCAGATTCCTCCTCTCAAAAAACAGGTCTTCCCCTCTCCTCAACTCACTTCACAATCTCCTTTGACTTCTTCTTGTTTGTGATTTTCGTGTGTTCTTTTTGATGCAGTGTCTTTCGATGGTAGATCATTACACCCAACTTTTCTTCACACAAGTCTCTACTATCAAATCAGACCAAATCTGCAAAAAGCTTAACCTCTGTCAAGCTGTGACACCGGCCTTTGCTTCTGAAGTCCATCAAGGAAACTGCGAGGCTTGCCGCCAGACTGTCTCCGAGGTTGTCACCAAACTCAAGGATCCTCAGACTAAGGTTTGCCACCTTCCTTCTACTATCACAAACCTACTGTGTCTCGCAAACCTTTACTAAGAATTATATCAGTTGAGATATTATTATTGCTGCTCAAGATATACTTTTGCCTTGTGAATGTTGCAGCTGAAGATAATTCGGTTACTTCTCAAGGAATGCAAGTCGCTTAACAATTACCAGGACAAGGTAAGCTAACTAACCAAAGAATGCCTGCAAAGCTCTCTCTAATGATTTTTAGATGTACAAATATAAGCGAGTTTTGTGATACTTTTATCAGATAAAAAATAATGTGATTGTTTATGATGGTGAATAGTGCAAGAAGATGGTATTCGAGTACGGGCCTCTGATGCTTACGGATTTGGAGAAGTTTCTGGAGAAGAAAGACGTCTGCTCTATCCTCCACGTCTGTCCAGGTCCAGCCACCCACCACATTCCTGCCGTGGAGGCATTGGCAGATTCGTAAATTCAGCAACCTGTTTTCGTGGTCATTTGGTCACACACATACATACCATGCCGTGGCATATCATCGTCGTGCTAATTTAAGTTGGTAACCAGTGGTCATGTAAATACTGATGATATATAAAAACATAAATACGTGATGATTGATTCTTGTGTGATTTGAAAAGAACGTTGTATAAAGGCCCATTGTCCATTTATGGGCTTTTTTGGCTCATTTATACATTACATTGCCCTTGTTGAATGTTGAGTAGTCTCTGATTTTCTCTAAAACGTTACGCTGTTGTGTACTCACTCGCACATCATTCATTTTCTTCTCTGAACCAGTTGGCAAAAAGTTAGGGGCCGCCAAGCTGTTTTATGTTCCAGCCTACGTAGACGGTCCCACAAGCGAATAAATGTCAGACACGTGTATAAAAAAGGACAAAGAGAGCAAGTGTCACCGTATCTATACAGCTACCATTAGAGGATATTCTTGCTTACGTGTCACCTCGTCACTGGTACATACTCCCTCTGTTTCATAAAGAGTGTCGTTTTAGAGTTTTGCACACAGATTAAGAAAACATTAAATTTTTTGTTTTTTCTAAACAAAAACATCATTACCTATATACTTAAACACAATCTGCCCAATAGTAAAACAATCTGCAGAATACTAATAGTCATAAAACATAAAAAATCATTAAATTTTGCATTGAAAACCTAAAACGACACTCTTTGTGAAACAAAAATAAAACCTTAAAACGACACTCTTTGTGAAACGGAGGGAGTATCAATCTTTCATCAACACTAGTCTCGGAAACAAATTGTATACTATTAATAAGTCTGTTGACTGTATGTATATTCAGAATTATGTGATTCATGAACTAAAAGTGAGTGATTTGTAACCTTTTATAACACAAAAAGAACAGTGTACATATATCCAATGTAGTGAAACAAATCCTTTTATTGGGAAATAAAATTAAATGTGTAAATGAAAATTCCGTAAAACAAACTTTAATGCTGGATATCGTATAAAATCTCTTTAGCTGGAAACTAAACAAAAGTTAACAAAAGGAAAAGAAGAAGAAAAGAAAAAAAACTAAGTTTGGTTAGTGTGTAATGATGAGGAAAGATAAGTTATTTAAAAGGTTGTTAGAACTAGAAGGAAGAAATAATTAAAAGTAGCAAATTGCAAAGACGGAAAAGATGATGACAAAAAATGGTTAGTAACGACCAAAAGGTAAAACATACAGGTTGGCTGTTTCTATTAAATTAGTAAAATCCCAAAATGGCATTTTCGCAAATTCAGAGATATCATCATCAACTTGTGTTTGTTGGCCTTTGGCCGCCGTTGTAATATAAAGGAAGGGGCTTTCTTCTACTTTTTCTCTATTTTGCATATACTTGTCTCTTCGCTTTCCGTAGCTCTTTCGCGCAAGCATTATAATTGAGGTAATTCTTTCTTCGATTCTGGTTCCAGATTTCGCGATTGAGAGAGCTTTCTCTTAACAAATCTAGATTTCGATACATAATCTGAATAATATTGTTTCTCTGGTCGATCCGATCTGTTTGTTTCGTTCCTAGTTTAGATTTCGTCCCCGTTTGTAGCTCAATCGCTTTGCATCTACGTTTGGTGTTCAATCGATTTCTGGTGTTTAGGAGCAAACTAGGCTTTTATCTCTCTATGAAAATAGATACGCGATTTCTCACTACTTGTGTCATTGATGGTTTGCTCTCTATATTTTCAGGTAGTAGTGAGTGTTAATCAAGAAGAAGAGTGTACAAATTCGAAAGCCAGGGAATGCAGAAACATGTATTTGAAAGCTGAACACAAGTGCTCTACACCCTCCTCCTCTCAGATCCCTTCTCCCTTTGGGCCCTTGTTCTCCCTCTTCCCTCATGCGCACACCCGCTTTCTAAACCCCTGGTTCTACACCTTCCAGCCTTCTTCTTCTCAGAATGCTAGAAAAAACGCCACTTGGAAGCATGATCTTTGCGAAGACGGTTGATCGTCTTCTCTCCTCCTGAGTTCCTCTACCTGTCTTTATGTTGTCTGCATTTTAGTATATTCTAGGGTTGGTCTTTTTATAGTCTAGTAGTAGTGCTCTAAGCTAATCAGTGAGTCAATGGAGAAGAAAGGGTCTGTGCTGATGCTCCGTTATGAGGTCGGCAAGTTTCTTGGTCAGGGTACCTTTGCTAAGGTATACCATGCTAGGAATTTGAAAACTGGTGATAGTGTTGCTATTAAGGTCATCGACAAAGAAAGAATCCTCAAAGTTGGCATGACCGAGCAGATTAAGCGAGAGATCTCTGTCATGAGACTCTTGCGGCATCCTAACATCGTCGAGTTCCATGAAGTCATGGCCACCAAATCTAAAATCTACTTCGTGATGGAGCATGTTAAGGGTGGTGAGCTCTTCAACAAAGTGTCAAGTGGGAAGCTAAGAGAAGATGTTGCAAGAAAGTACTTTCAACAGCTTGTACGCGCTGTTGACTACTGTCACAGCCGTGGAGTATGCCACAGGGACCTCAAGCCAGAGAATCTCTTGTTGGATGAGCAAGGGAATCTTAAGGTCTCTGATTTTGGTCTCAGCGCTCTTGCTGACTCTAGAAGGCAAGATGGGTTGTTGCACACTACATGTGGGACCCCTGCATATGTTGCACCGGAGGTCATAAGCAGGAGAGGCTATGATGGGTTTAAAGCGGATGTGTGGTCCTGTGGAGTTATATTGTTCGTCTTGCTCGCTGGATATCTCCCTTTCCGTGATTCCAATCTCATGGAGCTGTATAAGAAGATAGGCAAAGCTGAGGTCAAGTTCCCCAACTGGCTTGCTCCGGGGGCAAAGAGATTGCTCAAGAGGATCTTGGATCCTAACCCGAACACAAGGGTATCAACTGAGAAAATAATGAAGAGCTCTTGGTTCCGTAAAGGCCTGCAACCGCAAGAGGAGGAGAAAGAGTCAGTTGACGAGGAGACAGAAGTGGACGCAGAGGCAAACGCAAGTGCAGAGAAGGAAAAGAAGCGGTGTATCAACCTGAACGCGTTTGAGATAATATCGTTGTCGACGGGGTTTGATCTCTCGGGGCTGTTCGAGAAGGGAGAGGAGAAGGAGGAGATGAGGTTTACATCGAACAGAGAGGCATCTGAGATAACAGAGAAGCTGGTGGAGATAGGGAAGGAGCTTAAGATGAAAGTGAGGAAGAAGGAACAAGAATGGAGGGTGACAATGTCGGCTGAGGCTACAGTGGTGGAAACGGAGGTGTTTGAGATTGCACCGAGCTATCACATGGTGGTGCTAAAGAAGAGCGGTGGAGATACGACGGAGTATAAGAGAGTCATGAAGGAGAGTATAAGACCGGCTTTGATCGACATTGTATTAGCTTGGCACTGAAACATATTCTATTCTCTTTATGTGTTTTCTTTTAAATGTTATTCTTGTTTTTGTTTTGCCAATGTATTTTCTCTCCTCAAGTCTCATCTTAAGACGTGTTTCGAGACGTCAGTGTAACAATTATATGAGGACCAATTATATAGTTTGAGTTTATGTCGGCCTCATGTAACAAAATAAATAGATTTTTTATCAAATAAATAAAAGAAATTGTGCCTTAATAAATAAGCCAATAGACCGACCACGCGTTTAGGAAGCATTGTACTATTTTCTTATCATTTCGTATTATTGTAGTCTTTTAGATGATGTGTAATTGTGTATAAAACAAAACAAAAAGACCATTTTTTTGGTGTGTTAACAAAGTCAAAATGTAATAACTCAATTTACGCCACATAATTTGTTAATGGTGTGTTTTCTTTTCATATGAGAAAAAGAATCCAATGGTAAGATTAGTGTTCATACATGGGTTGGAAAATGACAAAATGTCTTTAATTGTTGGATGATTGTGAGAGCCGAGAGGCCCGATTCGAGAAGACGACTAAAAGGGACAAAGCTCATTGAATTCACGGCCTCCAGCGGACCACGCTCGGCCCGTAATCGGATATACACCATACATTTATCAGTTGGTCAAATCAAAACCTTTAATCATAGATGAATGCAGAGTATAGTATATTTTTCTAAGGGTTTTGGTTAATCCGCTTCTTTTAGTGGGCCAACCAATTTTGGATGGAAGGAGAACCAAGGAAACATAACGTGCTCATCAGATTTTTGCCTTTGTGTGTTTCCTATTTTGTTTATACAATCATGTTTTCTTTTTATATCCTTTATCCAAAGGGTTAATTAGTTAGATATAACCACAATTAAGTAATTAATTAACCCATAACAAGTGCTTGAAAAGTGTATGATGTGATTGTGTGGAGTAAAATGGATAATTATATATAGATCATGGAGCCTACAAATTATATATTGCATTGAAAAGGTGATATAAATGTTGATTACAGTAATTATAACTGCTAAAGTTGAAAGTATTGAATTATGGATTCAATGTGGATACCCTTGATAAAGAAATTATTGATGAGAATTATTGGTGTATCATGTATGATATTATTATATATACCACAGTCCACAGCCACATGCGATAGGATTAAATAAAGTCCACCAGAAACATCAATTTTGATAAGGACAACCTCTTTACTTATCAAAAAGGTGAAAGTAGATCAGTTTGTTCATGGCTCAAATCTGGACAGTTGGCTTTTTACATAATGACATTTTACTTGCAAATTTTCTTTTTTAATAGGTGAATGTGTTTTTTTTTTTTTTTACATTATTACATATAAATGTATGTTAAATCAATTGGTGTTCCACCATATTGAATAGCTAATTCTAAAGTAATGGTTAAGGCATTAAAGAAAGAGTGTCTTGTACACAGCATTACTTCACATCCGCGATACGTAGTGGCCATTTAAAACAAGTAATACATTTTTTGATTTTCTTTTTTTCATTTATGTATAAATATAATTATGATTACATAAGATAAGAAGAAGATACATACTTGCCAACTAAAAATTAAGATTTGTCGAGAAATTTCCTGAATAATTATGTCAGAGATATTCTCCGGGTAAAAAAAAAACAATTACAGATAACCCGGGATATATATTTTTTTTTAATTATTATTTGGATAATTATTTTGACAGATACCTAAACTACGACGTCGTATTTACTAGAGATGATGGTTCATGAGGAGGGTCCGTCTGGTCTGGTTCGTGCACAAGCTCGACGAAGAAAGGCCTGAGTGTATCTGTCCATAGATCTCGTCCAGATGCAGCGGCTCTTTGCCTCTTCCTCACCTCTATCATAACCAGCTCGTCCGTTAGCTGGTTTATCTCGACCACCATCGCGAAATTACCTTTTTGCCCTTCAATCTTCATCCCCCACGCTTCCTTCTTCGTCACCGTCAGATTCTCCGCCGCCACGATCTCTTCCAGCTTCTCAACCACCCTCTCCGCCGTCCACGCCGACACGAACCGTTCCACTCGGTCGTACTTTCTAGCGTCGCCGAACAGACCGGAGAGATTGAATCCTGGAGATCCGGAGATGATGTCGAATGCGTTCAACCTCCTTGCTCCCATCTCGCCGTCGATATCATCCGCCGGGAGTTTCATGTCGGAGTCCTCGAGGTGGAATTTGGACATCCGATCGTCGTAGCCCTGTTTGAACCAGGGATCGTGGATGATCTCTTCGATAGTGATCCTCGTCTGCGGATTCGTGTCGAGAAGCCGAGTCAGAAGTCGCCGGAGATCCGGTGAGGTCCACTTGGGAATGCGAAACTCTCCCTTGTAGATTTTCCGGTACATGACCATGAGATTATGGTCGTTGAAAGGCAGATAACCGGCGTTGAGAACAAACAATATGATTCCGCATGACCAAATGTCGATTTTAGCACCGTCGTAGCCTTTCTTAGCCAGAACCTCCGGCGCCACGTATGCCGGAGTACCACAGAGAGTGTGGAGGAGACCGTCGGGTCGGATCTGATCGGTAAGAGCGCTGAGCCCGAAATCAGAAATCTTCAAATCGAGCTTCTCGTCGAGGAGGAGATTCTCAGGTTTGAGGTCACGGTGAAAGATGCCGCGGGAGTGGCAGTATCCGACGGCGGAGATGAGCTGCTGGAAATAGCGACGGCTGAGATCCTCGCAGAACCTGCCCTTGGAGACTTTGGCGAAGAGCTCACCGCCTTTGGCGAATTCCATGACGAAGAAGATCTTGGATTTGGTGGCGAGGACCTCGAACAGGCGCACGATAGAAGGGTGGCGGAGACGGTGCATGATAGCGATCTCCCTCTGAATGTTGCCATTGAGTCCTCCTTTCTGCAGCCGTTGTTTGCTCACCACTTTGATCGCAACGCTCTGACCCGTCGCTGTGTTCCTCCCGTGGTACACTTTAGCGAAGGCGCCGCATCCCACCAATTTACCGACCTCGTACTTGCCGAAGAGCTGTCCACGGCGGTTCTCCGGCGGGAATTCCACCGTGTCAGAATCTACCATTAAAAGAGAATCTGCAAGGTCAATTACGGTACCCAGAAAATGAGGTCAGCGTAAACATAGCGAATGAATCAACGCCGTAGAAAAAGTCTGAGAGAGAGAGTGTGTTTATTAATAGAAGAAGCGAAAGGAAAAACTAATAGTTTGAAAAAGTAAAAGATATGAACAAAAGTAACAGATATTTTTTAGAGATCCGTTAGTAGGATCTTCTTTTTAACAGAGAAAACAAAAGAAAGAGAGACAGATAGACAAATTGGGATTCGGATAAGAGATAAGCTAAGCTCTGTATCGAGTTGTTACATATATATTAGGCAGGGGCTGTCTTGAGGTAGGAGATGAGGGTATTTCTGTCAATTAATCAGATTCTTTTTTCCTAATTTTCTTCTTATTTTTTCCTTGTAAACGACGTGGGAGATTTTCTGTTTTGTTTTTTTAATATTTTTCATATAAAAAAGAAGAAGAAGAAGATGTGGACAAGAAGTTGAATTAGAACCATACAGGTGTCCCGTCGCTGTTGTCGTGTTGATTTGGTATCTCCGAGGGTTTTGGCTGTAGAATGATACGAGTATTTCACATGTATATTCGTCGTATCTTCGGCTATTGCTATAATATTATTCTTACAAGGAGAACATAACAACATGTTTCTTCAAATATTGTTGAATATTAGTATTATATGGTCAACTCAAAACGGTGAATTGTTCTTTGGACTATAGCCGAACAAACTCCAGTTATTCAACCTGGCAGCATACTATATTCAGCACAAAACACTTATTAACCGTTCCAGCTCAATTCATTTTATCATCAATCGTGATTAAGTGTTTTTGAACATCCAAATTCGCTTAGTTCAAGTCTCATATTTTAGCACCAAGCTATATATTGCGGTTCACAGGTACGGTCTACGTACAACTCCCCCCTGCTAAAGGATTGGATTCGTCCTAGAATCACTGATATTTCATAATCTTCCTGTTAATCCTACCTTCATTAATCTTTGTTATGATTCTTATGTTTAGTTTCCCACTCCATCACCGTCCCAAAAAACTTGAATCATTTTTTTTAAATTATTATCAAATTTAACCAATACTTGGGAAAATATGTTTCATGCTTTTTGTATACATTTTACAGTTGTTTATTTCAATATTTTTGCGGAAATATATTTGCTTCTTGTGGAATCATTAAATTATACATTTGGAAACCATGTGTCGTTTCTATTTAAAAAATTACAGTTGTTTTTTTCCCATATTTGTGGGAAAATATATCGAGTCTTATGGGAAAATTAATATATTTGATGCTTTCTGAAAAGGAAAAAAAATATGTATATATATATAAGACTTATTTTCAATATATGTTTCACATTATAAAGTATAAATAGTGCTCTTGAAAAAGAAATTTGACTTCGCCCAACATAAAAAATAAAAACAAATTTGATTAATATTTTAACATTATCTCATTGGTTTTTTTCTAATGGTTAATAGTTTCTTTCTTACTTAGCTAACTTGGGAAGTCAGTATAATTAGTATGATCACTATCCACAACCACACTGTCACTAATTATGTTTTCTCAGACTTAATATTTCACATAGAAATTTTTATTTAAAAAAAAAGAAAGAAAAAAAGAAGAAGACAGAACTCATCTCTCTTTTTTTTATATATATAATGCAAGGCTCTTATTTAATCTTCTGAAGCTGTGGTCAAAGTTTAATACCAAAAAAAAGATAAAAATTTTAGTGTCAATTTTTATAGAAAAGCTACCACGTGATCTACTCACCGCATACACGGCGTCGACAAAAATATAACCAATTTTAATTCATTTTGTAATTTATCCAAAAAAACACAAACTTTCAAAGATAAATCGTACGTTACTATTTTCGCTGTCACGCTGTGCCCATTTGTACATATATATAAGCCACACATAAATTAGTACTATTATACATAAAACCAAATCAACAGCTTTTTTAATAGATACAAATACACTAAAAGACATGTACGGGAATCGAAAAAGAAAAAAGAAAAAAAAAAAACAACAAATCACCGCGTGAATAATATGTACGAAAGATTTCATTTGATTTTTTTTTTCTGATGCTATTTCAGAGAAGCTTCTTTCGGAAAAAAAAAAAGAAAGAAAGAGGAAGAAAGAAGCTCGTTAAATAATAACGAAATCAAGGTTCTGTCAATAAAAATGGACAAATATAATTGCCCCTTTTCTTTCGTTGGTTCGAAAGGTTGTTCCAATCAAAATATCTACTGATTTTAATACATTATTAATTTAGCTTGTTATTTTTTATCCCATGCAAGATTAATATGACCAAAATTGTAACCCATTTTACGACAAAAGTTAACAATCTATCAATATCGTTATGGTTGTAACAATATATAATATATGAACTCAACATAAATAATCTTGATCTCGTCGAAAAAAGGAAAAAAAAAACTTTTGAAGTAATTAACAAAATAGAACATAAATAAAAATAATTTTAAAAATGGAATATATGAGGTACATGTTATAAACACACGTAATGCAAGAATAAAGAATAAACGAAGGCTGCAAGAAGAAAAATAAATGGCTTTTGCGCAGAAGAAAGAAACGTACGATAACAAATAATTGATATCTCCCGTAAGCATTGTCTTACGTTTGTAAATGGTCTGTCGACTGTATAATTTAATTTACATTAATTCAACATCTAATTATAGTATTTGTCCGTCCACGAGTCACGATATGTATTGATATCGTAAAACCAATTCTTTTGTTAAACTTTATTTCTGGTAACATGGATTTACATATAACCCTTTACTCCTTTCGTTTCATCATGAAGATCAATTACAAACACTTCAAAACACACAACATTTGTTTCTTTCTCAATCTTAATAGACACACTCTTATGTCTATATTCAAGTGCAAGAAATACTAGTATAAAACTAACTAATGCTTACATCATATGTTTGGTCTGACGATACCCTGATGTTGAAATCTCTTCAATATTCTGGTTCTTATGAATCATTTTCATACATATTTAAAAATTTTAATACACAAATACACGTTGAAATAATTTTTATGGACTTTAAAAATTATGTTGAGTATGTGGAGTGAGTCAGCATAAGTCGGGATAATTTTGTCTGCTTCCTCGCAAATAATTAATTAAACGGTGATGTACATATTTAACTAATTAAATGTCTGTTTTTTTTAATCATATAGTTTATAGTCATCGCGTAATATACAAATCAGATGACAAGGCTGAACCTCACTGATCGTGAGATTGCTTTTTGTTGACCAACAAAATAAGTTTATTAAGTGAATTCGAATTATCATACGCAACGAAGTCGTAATACATAATAAAGAAATTAGTCGAAGTTAATTCTATAAAAAAAAAAAAAAAACTATACAACAACCCATAAATGACAATATATCAAGTAACGCAAAGATAATACTATATTTATGGAATTCCAGCAGAAAAAAAAAGAGATCTTGGTTTCAATATTCAACTGTGAAAGTTGTTGATTTAATCCTACAGGTTCATTGATCCATCACTAGTATTGTCAAATGTTGATTGTGGATTTTTTTTAAAAAAGAAAGATTATAAACCAATAACCCAAACTTTCGTGGGTTTGAAAAATAAATAATGGAACAACGTGATTATGCAGCACTCACTGAATAATCTATAGAAGTCTGATGATGTAATCATTGATCAAACCCAATAACTACACTACTACAGTGATTTTAAAACACGTTTAAGGTAATACCAACAAATTAATATAGTATTGTTTTAATACCAAACACAAATTGGCTCCGTTACAAGACATTTAGCTGCAGTATCAACAACACAAAAATCATATATCCCTCAGAAAGCCCAATAAATGGCTTGTTGGCAGTTCATCTATACTAATGCCCAAATGCTTTTTCTTGTATATTAGCCCTTCCGACGGAACTATTAATCTCATAAGAAAGCCCAATTGATATTCTATTGGCCCAAATGCTTTGCTTGTTTTTTTTTTTTTGGGTCCGAGATAGGAAAAACTATTTGGGTTATAATATTATTCAGCCAGTGTTGGATTTAGACCCAAGAAAAAAACATGGTCGCTACCAAAAATCATGAAACTTAGAACAGAAAATTCAATGTTCCCGTGTCCAATAGTTTTAATAAAAACATAAAGGATGTGAGTTGATTGATATAAAAAAAGCAAAATATATACACTGGCACTTGGAAGACATCATTACAATAATTAATCCAAATTTAGTTATGCTTAGTCTGTGCATTAAGGCATTGCGTATGAGTGGTGCCATTGCAATCCATATAAGCTATATTCTATTGTTTCTCAATTTAAATAGATACCCAATAGCCAATATATTAATTTGACATTGGGAATTGCGTGATGATTCTTGATTTGTTTTGTGGATCTTTTCTTGTGGTTGACAACAACAAAATAAAAATAAGAAGAAGAAATTATTTTATTGAAATGAAATTTATATAAATCTAAACAATAACCTTTCTATGTAAATTTGTAAAATGCAAACATCTCAGAAATTGCTTTAAAGGGAAACTACTTGTTTAAAATAAAGGAAAGCTAACTTTGGTGGTAATGGAAACATATTGTTATATAATTCTTAATGTGCTAGTATTGAATAATTCACCGAAAATTGGAGAGAGGCAGCTCAGCAGATTCAATAATAATTTTATGATAAAACTAGAATGATTAGTTATGGAGTATATTTAAATATATTGAAAAAGCGAAGACGAGATCAATTCTCTCTAACAAACTTGTACCAACTGTTGCATTCTTATGTCATCAAAATGAAGACCTTATCTTCATTATTCTTACATTTCTTATATATATTGTAATCAATCAGTGTTGCTCGACAACTCACGAGCCGTGTGTTGTTCTTAAAAATGTAATTAGGGAAGAAAATCCAAAAGCAGTCATTAAATAACTAAAACTGGTTTAAATAAAATAAGCAAAGGTGGGATTGTTCTGACTCGTGAAATAAAAATGGGTTTGGTCTCATTTGGGCTAAAAACATTACCATATGTTATAATGGTAGTAAATAATAAAAAAATGCAAATAAAGAAGAGAAGAAGTCAAAGAGAAGGGAATGTTTGACCTCTTGCCTCTGGGGCTCCTCTGTAATCTATAAGGCGGCTTTGTCCTCTGTGCGACTGACTGACTTCTTCTGACGGCTCCGTCCACCGTCGTCTCTTCTTCCGTTACGACTTTTTCTTTTAATTTAAATTATTTAAAACCAAAAAGAAAAGTGAAACGACGCCAGCTCCTCCTCTCTGCGTAAACCAACCAAAATAACTACAACAACTCTCTTTCTTTCTTTCTTCTTCCTTTTCTCTTTTCCATTCCTAACCAAACAAAAGTCCTTTCTTTCTTCCTCATGGCTGTTACTCTTGATTCTGCTTTTCCGGCGAGAAAACGTCGGCCTTTGGTCGTCGGATCTTTCGAATCTCCCAAGCTTTCTGATGCCAAACTAACTCGGTCTCTGTTCCTGGCCTCTCATGAGATTTCTTCTATGCAGCCTCTCCGCTTCATCCTCCGACGCAATTCTCTCTCCCTCATTCGCAAAGTCAAGATACTAGCTTCCGTCTTCGATGAGCTTCTTCTCCGTTCCCAACTGCTCCTCTACTCTCAATCCGCTCAGCTCTGCTTCGAGGAAATGCAAATCGTTATGCAACGTATCAAGTCTTTGATCGATGACTGCTCTCGTGTTAGCAAACTCTGGTTACTCTTGCAGATCGATATCGTTGCCTTCAACTTCCACGAGCTCGTCACCGATTTGTCCACCGTTCTTGATATTTTACCGGTCCATGAATTTGACTTAAGCGACGACGCCCAGGATCTCATCTCTCTCCTTAGAAACCAATGCTCCGACTCTGTTCAGTTCGTCGATGCCCGCGACGATGCTCTCCGTCGTAAAGTCACCGAGACGATCGCCGGAATCAAGCACCAGATCTCACCGGATCACTCTAGTCTTATCGAGATTTTCAACGACCTTGGTTTTACCGATTCTGCTTGTTTGACCGACGAAATCCAGAGATTGGAGGACGAAATTCAGGATCAGATCGACGACAGATCCAAATCCGCAGCCGCTTCTCTCATCGGACTCGTGCGTTACTCTAAGTGCGTCTTATACGGTCCCTCTATGCCGGCTCCCGATTTCCGCCGTCACCAATCCTTATCCGACGCAAACATCCCCGCGGATTTTCGGTGTCCGATCACCCTCGAGCTGATGCGGGATCCAGTGGTCGTCTCCACCGGTCAGACATACGATCGAGAGTCGATCGATCTATGGATCCAATCGGGGCACAACACGTGTCCGAAAACAGGTCAAGTCCTCAAACACACCAGCCTCATTCAAAACCGTGCCTTGAAGAACCTGATCGTTTTGTGGTGCCGCGATCAGAAGATACCCTTCGAGCTATACGGTGACGGCGGCGGAGAACCTGCGCCGTGCAAGGAGGCGGTCGAGTTTACGAAGATGATGGTTTCGTTTCTCATCGAGAAGCTCTCCTTGGCAGATTCTAACGGTGTCGTTTTTGAGCTCCGGGCGCTAGCCAAGTCGGACACGGTGGCCCGAGCCTGCATAGCCGAGGCTGGAGCCATACCGAAGCTGGTACGCTATCTAGCCACGGAGTGCCCGAGTCTTCAGATAAATGCCGTTACGACGATCCTAAACCTCTCCATCCTGGAACAGAACAAAACGAGGATCATGGAAACTGAAGGAGCGTTAAACGGCGTCATCGAGGTTCTTCGTTCGGGCGCCACGTGGGAGGCTAAGGCTAACGCCGCAGCGACTCTTTTCAGTTTGGCGGGCGTCTCGGCCTACCGAAGAAGACTCGGGAGAAAAGCACGTGTCGTAAGCGGATTGGTTGACTTGGCTAAACAGGGCCCCACCAGCTCTAAGAGAGACGCCCTCGTGGCGATCCTGAACCTGGTGGCTGAGAGAGAGAACGTGGGGAGGTTCGTTGAAGCTGGAGTAATGGAAGCAGCCGGAGATGCATTCCAGGAGCTACCGGAGGAAGCGGTGGCTGTCGTGGAGGCGGTGGTCAGGAGGGGAGGACTCATGGCGGTTTCAGCTGCTTTCAGTTTGATACGGCATTTGGGGGAGGTGATGAGGGAAGGAGCGGACACCACAAGGGAGAGCGCGGCGGCGACGCTGGTCACGATGTGTCGGAAAGGGGGGTCGGAGCTAGTGGCGGAGATGGCGGCGATTCCAGGGATAGAGAGGGTTATATGGGAGATGATAGGAGCTGGAACGGCCAGGGGAGGGAGGAAAGCGGCGTCGTTGATGAGATATCTAAGGCGGTGGGCCGCCGGAGATACACATGACACGGCGGCGGAGACGCAGAGCATTGTAGTGCCAACGCCAAGTAGGATTTTTAGTCCAGTTTTATGATATTTTTTATTTTTCCCTCCTCTTCTGTGTAAAGGTTCAAAGGTTTTTTTTTTTTTTTTTTTGGGATGATTTGAAAAGAAAGTGATTCTTTTACAAAGAAGTAAAAGCTGCTGCAATTGTAAATGTAATTCGAGAAAGGAAAAAAAAAAAACGAGAGGTTTTCCTTCTAGATGAACTCTTTACACAGTGTTATGATGCTTGTTATTTACTTATCTCTCATAGCTCATAGTCAAATGTTTTAACCGGAACTAGAAGATAATCCGGGCTACGCCCGGTATTTGTGAATTAATAATTTTGTGTTATCAAAAGTTAACTTTAAATTAGTTTATCATCGTATGTGACTATAAATATATTAAAATAGTATCTCAAATTTGTTTAAGAGAATTCTTATGAATTCAAGGTAATCACTATCCAGCCAAGTACTTGTCCTCAATGGACCAGTCTTTATTGCTTAACATTCCCCAATCACTGTTTTGGTTAGGAAATGATCCAGCGAGTTAACTTGTCACCATGTAATACCACTTCTCACTCTAAAATCTGTACATACACAAATAACGTTGAGCACCATGTTAATTCTTGTTACCGTTGGATCACACTTAGCTTGAACACCTATTGAAGGTAAACGTACTTAACCTAAGCTCCTTAGGCCTTTGAAAAATATTTGATGAATCATATGTTTACCAGATCATGTTTATTTTGGATATTAGTAATTCTAGAATGTAGACTCTGCTACCATACTCTTGTTTGGTTTACATTTTTGTTTATCGATAGTATACTAAATCAGTAAAATTTAGTATATTAGTAATTGAAGAATGTAGATGATTTTTATCTTCATTCGTTTACCTCGACACGAAGACTAATCCTTTTATCTACTATGAAACACAAAAGAACCCTAAACACTAATCCTAGCGAGCTTGGAAATTCTGCAAACAAAGATAATATTAAAGCACTATTTCTCTATTTTCATTTGGCAGTCAACTAATATGTTGCCTCGACACGTTTATTCAATTAACGCTACATCAATAGAATCTGTTATCAAATGTTTGGTTGATATCAGGATTTCTTCTAGGCTAATCAATACCGGAATATGGGGCGAGACTAAACATATGTTAAAGGATTGATCCAAAAATAACTAATTAAGCCATAAGAAACTGAGTTTGTGTACCTGAGATTTCTGTCTCTTTTTGTGAAGATTTATTGATAACCCATGGTGATTCCTAACGATTCAGCACAGAGACTCCTCCGTGGTTTAGAAAAAATGACACCGGAGAGTTGGGACAGATTCCATTGAAACAGAAATTTGACGTCTAATATCCAGAGACAGCGAGGGAATAAAAGAAAATGATGAGGAGCTCTGAAAAATTGATTTATGTGGAGTAAACGATCTGGATTCAAGGGAACATGCACACAAACGTTACAAACTTACAATCAATTAGAGGAAGATGAGTCGTTTATTGACGCTTCTTTAGAGACGTCTTCTCCATAAGACCCTAGATGACGTGGCATGTTTTTTTGAGGAATGATAGCGATGATGACGTGGCAGCGTAAGATAGAAACTTAAAATGATGAGGTGGATGGCCTGAGAAGCCTCAATGAACTTCTTTTATTAGTAAGAAATTAATAAAAATCTTGAAAGCGTATTAGAGTTATCATATACTATGTGTGTTAGGTAAAAGACAAAAGAATTGGCACAAAAATTCAACAGAAAAGACAGAGCAAATCCACGAGATATGCACACAAGCATGTTCCAAAAGGAGTGATAATGATTGGAAATGGAACTGATTGCAAACAGCAACAATCTTTCTTTCTTTCTAGAGAAGCAAACCTCTCTCTCTCTCTCTCTTTTTTTCTTAACGTTTTTGGATCTTTCAAAGCATTAAAATATCTTCTTCTTCTTTTTTATCCCTCTTTGTTTAACGGTTCATTTTATTACAGAACCAGAAAACACATACGAAGAAAGAAGTAAGGGAGTTGAGAATTCATGAAGCAGAGGGAGAGACATGAAATATGTTGAAACCAAAGAGTGAGGTTAGAGTTTGTCATCGAACCAGAGCTAGCAGCGGCTACCATTACCAACTGTATATCTGAAAAAAACTCTAGCTATAATTTGTTTAGAGATCTAACTACCGAAATTATCAGACGAGAGGATTTTTTCTATATGGTCCCCATTCGTTTGTCCCTTCCTTCTCCAATATATGATGAGTAGTACCAGATGTTCAAAGGAAAAGCGGATCTGAATTAATTTCTTACAACCATGAGAAAACCATGGCAGAAATACATAGAAATGTAACGTGGTGTAATAATAAATCCATGAATATGTTGGAAAGAGGGTTTAGTGTCCGCCCTTTGTAACTAAGATGGTAAATTGGTGTTCCTCTAAAATTATTATTTTTGGTTTCAATTTGACAGATTCTTTCTTTAGTTAGAGTTAAAAAATTAAGGAAGAGGATATAAATTATAAGAGGTGCTATCGTTTCGTGAAACTATTTGGGCCGATCAACATAAGGCCCATTTGAAAATTTTGTTTGTTTCTGCAAGAGAGTCCAAGCGTGCGGTAATGTTTGAAAATTGAAAACATGTTTATTTTAAACTATCTGCTTTCTTTATTAGTGCGAAACTCAAACACCTACTTACGGAAACTATATGGAACACAATAATACTTCTTTTTGTTTGACGTTATCGATACAACTTTATGATATCGTGGTGCACATTTCAAAAGGATTACAATGACCTCGATTAAACTAGTACTAGTTAGCACAAACAAAAAGGCTCTATTATAAAGTACACACTACTTGTATTTCTAAAACATATAATAAAAGTGTCAGTGTCAAAATGTCAATGTAATTTAAATTAAGGGGAATTGAAAGGGCCAACATAATCTAACACAAAATCAATAAAAATGGTGGAGGATCTCTCACTCACACACCTTTATTACCTTTATTTTTCCACGTAAGTGGGCCTCACCCCTCACACAAACCTCTCTCCTTTTATAAATTCTCCACTCTTCACACTCTCACTTTTGTTCATCTCAAAGAAAACAAAAGAATCAGTAGAGAGAGTCAGAGATAATGGGTGGTAATAGTTATCGGTTTAAGCTATCGGAGTTAGTCCCTAACGCATGGTTTTACAAACTTAAAGACATGGCCAAATCTAAGAAGAAGAAACTTCAGAGCCAACCAAACAGCACCTCCTCCTCCTCCAAGAAGAAACACCACGCAGTCCCTACTCCTACGTCCACGACGGCACGCAGTCCTAGGCCTCCTAGGCGCTCTTCTCACTCTTCCAAACCGCTGCTACCCTCCCATACGCCCAGAAAGTCCTCCGGGAACCGTCTTCGTCACCGAGCCACCGTCGACTCTAAGTCATCCACGACTTCGGGAGACACCACTGCCACAGAAACTGGTTCTTTCTCACCGGAGTTTCGCTCGGATCAAGTTCTCCTCCCCGACGAGTCATTAACGGGCTCATGGCATAGCCCTGGCAGCTCCAAGTTATCCAAACCCGCAGCCTTTACGCCGCCGCCGGAACTCGATCTCCGGCCCATCATTACCAAACCGGCCGCCACCGAACGGAAAACGGCGGTTGCTTCTCCGGCAGGGGTGAGACTTAGAATGCGGTCGCCGCGAATCTCGGTGAGCAGCAGCGCAAGGAGAAGCGGGTCGTCGGCGAGGAGGAGCAGGGCTGTGGTGAAGGCGTCGGTGGATCCGAAGAGAGATTTTAAGGAATCGATGGAGGAGATGATCGCTGAGAACAAGATAAGAGCGACAAAGGATCTAGAGGAGCTTTTGGCTTGCTATCTGTGTCTCAATTCAGACGAGTATCACGCTATTATCATCAATGTCTTCAAGCAAATCTGGCTTGATCTTAATCTTACACCCCATTCCAACAAATAATAACTATGTCTTTTTTTTAACATCTTTCCTTAGATAATTAATAATCTTCTCTACTGAATAAATGTAAATATATATGATTATTCTTGTACTAACTATTTATATGTGGTCTATACTCTAGTGAGAGCCTACAGAGTCTTGTACTTGTATAACGGCCATTCGTTGATATCAAGTACATGAATTTCTATCCCAATTGGCACTCTTCACGGACAAACAAGTAATCTTACTTTGCACGGACAAACAAGTACTGTTGCTGCTTTAAAACAAATTTAATGTGGACGACTCTATTAATATTATCTACTTCTGCGTCATGAATCATAATACTATACAGCTCTCTCATGAATGTCTAAAATATAGTAAGAGATTTTAAAATGATTGGAAATTCATTGTGATCATTATGAGTATGCAAGTGTACATGTTGAGAACAATTACTTGCATGTTATGAAGTTGAGACAAAAACGATAGACTAATAATATAATAAACGTTCTATATTTAGTGTATCCATTATACATACTATTAGACCTACGATACCGACAATTCATTGAAACAGCATCTGCGGTATTTTCATACCTAACTTTGGATATGTGTGTACGTGTGCATTTCTCAATTTCACATCTATATTTATTTATTTCTTTTTGTGTAATTCATTTTTCCCCTTTTTTTTTACCACCATGTATTGTTTTCTGTATAATAGTATATGCATGCATTGCATACCGCATACAAACAAGCGTGCGACAAGCAAGAAGAAAACAAAACGTTTTTACTTTAGGCATATAAGTGCCAAAGAAAACCATATATTCAATTGGGCTGTTTTATTTATTGATTTCAGTGATGGGTGACAAATGACGAGAATATATAGAAAAAAAGAAGTACTAACATATCGACAAAAAACGATAATTTAAATATTATAGAGAAAAATAAATAGTACTAATGAATAGTTCGTATATATGGACAAACTTTTGCTTCTGTGTCTTATAGTTGTATCGTTATCATGCTATTAACGTCATTTTGATTTATGTAATCTTCGATGAAATTTGGTTTAATAGAGCCATAGAGGTAATTATACATCAATCGTGAGAAAAAAATGTGGAATTTTAGAAAAATAGACATTGGAAAGGAATCTCACGCGACATTAACCTGACAAAAGTATATTTTTAGGTTACGGGTTTCCAAGGAGAGAAGCAGGTTACAAAACGAAACTTGCTCTTTGATTTTTCACCGATATTTTTCAACGCATTCAATTCCTCAATACACAATAATCTCTTACTAACATATTTTATACCATGAAGGTTGTATTCAATTATTAATAAAACATTAAAACTAAACAAATAATCATTTGCTGTGAATAAATTTATAATTATGCGGTAAGATTTTCGTTGAAATATACAAAACATCAATCTACTCGGAAAGAAAACGTAAAAATATTTATATAAGTGTGTGGAGTCCAAAAAAAAAAAAAGGTGTGCGGAGTTAAGTGTTGCACAAAAGTGAATATTACACTCACTGAAGTTCAAATGAGGGACAAAAAAAGGTGAAGTAAAAAGCACCCCAAAATCTATCTATCTTTATCGTTCAAAAATCTTTTTCTCAATATGAGAACACACACAAAAAATAGTTCAAAAACTTTGTCGGGCACGCCGGCCATGTACTACAACGATTTTTGTTTAAACAAAAGTTAAAAAATTTCAACAAAATTTTAAATATAATTTTCGATAACATCGAAGAACGCACCATGCTAGTAGTAGTACACCATATATATGGACCGTTATTATTCATTTTTTAATATTAATTTCTTCTTTTAAAACATTGACTTACCAAATTAGTTCGGTCAAAATCAACAATTTACAAAGATCTGGTTTATTAGAAACAAATAAAATGTATAATAATGTGTTTCTTTACTAGTGGTGGCCAGTGATATCTCCGTGTGATGTACCCACCGCTATGAATTTTCAAAATCAGCATTCTAAATATAATAATATTGATTTTTGGACATGACTTTACTATAACATGATATCAAACATACATTTACTTGTTTCCCGGCCCGGTAATAGTACATTTCGCATATAATACCATTCCACAACGAAAAGGTCACTTGGAAAATGAATTATGATCCCTTTGTAAAAATTAAGAAAGAGTATCTTGTTAGAACTGCGACGTATCATGGACGCGTTTTCTATTTGGAATGATATATAAAAGTTGTTTTTATTCGATTGTCTCTCCTTACTTATATCACTAGCACATTTTAAGATAAAGTTGTAAATAATCCACAAGGCACGACTTTCTTCTTTCGTGAAATTTTTGTAAAGTAGGGCCGCCATTTCATAATTACACAAGATAGAGAACACGTCAACGAATTTATTAGTATGTTTTTTTTTTCTTTTTTAAAAATATAAAACTATTAGGATTGAAATGGAAATCAAGCCGAATAGTTGTTGCAAATAATAAAAAAGGAGTATATGAAACTAAAACGGAACTGTATAAACCTAACCGAGTGACATTATTAAAACAAGTTTGTACCTACTTAATTGGACAACGTTACCTTGATTATTTGGAGTTTAGCTGCGAATCATCTCTGCGTTAAATAAATTGGAAAAGTTTAGCTGCGAATCATCTCTGCGTTAAATAAATTGGAAAAACAGTTACTGTATGAGAAATTATTCGTGTTATATAATTAAAGAAGCTGATCGATTGCGAAGAAGATGTAATAATGGCGAAGAATTGTCGGTGAGCCGCAAGTGGAGACTTGGTCAACGACCATTTAACCGAACTTGCCTTGCGATCCGACATTATCACCGGAGATTCTGCGTCTTGTGACCTTTGTCTCTCCGCCGTCCAATTTTTCATTTTGAATCAAATTAAAGTATTACAGTACTAAACACCAAAAAAAAGAAAACTACTACTCCCTTATATCGGGTTTTCGTTTTGCAAGAAAATCACTCAACTTCACAGTTTCTCAGTGAATTTACTCGAACGGATTCTTTTGGCTATTAATGGTACCTCGTGTGGTGAGTTATTATAGTTCCACCACATCATAGGAACAAAACAAATTTGATATATATTTATATATATATATATATATATATATTTGTCTTTATATAGTTAATTAGGATGATTTGAAATCAGTTACCGTTCGTAACAATGCAGTAAAAATGACTTGGCAAACATCAAGTCGTACCTAGCAAACATTATGTATGATTGTGTCCTTTTCGGGTCCTAATTACTGCATATATTCTTAATCTTATACTATATGTATTCAATTTAAGGATGAGGCGAAAAGCAAAATCAAGTTACCACTATGCACGTGTCATGGACTTCGTGCATTGCATAGTAGATACTCTTTTTTCTTTCTTTATTTTCTTCTATTTATTCATCACACAATAGTATAACAAGACGTCTCATCCAACAAAAACGAGTAAATAAAGCACAACTAAAGATGCTAATGGTTGTCGCAGTTGAGATGGACAAATCTATTTTCGCTGTTTTTTGTTTATCATTCATAAATTATAGTTCATAGTAGTATGATCTGAGAAAAATAAAAAAAATTCGCTGCTAACCAACTACAAACCGTTTTTCGTAAAGATAAATTTAGTCTACGGCAATTTATTGTTTGCCTCAAAAATATAATGATCTAATCCGCCAAATGTTTAGTCCGCTAAGAAAAACAAAACAAACAAGAGACTATTTTGTATTATGTTATTTATTATTTTACCTATCATAGCTCCGTCAATTGTCAAATCTCTTTTTTGGATTTGACTCTTGTGTGAAATAAATCACATTTTAATATTATTTTCGTTTTTATTTGGATATATAAAAACAATTTACACAACCTGTCTGTGGCTCTGTGCCCATCACTCTTATAGATTGTTTTTTATTTTTACTTTTAAGTTAATCGAAGAATTAGTTAAAAATCAAAACATTTTTTTTGTGGATATACATTAGTTTGATCGAAGATGAGTACCCAATTTTATTCACGTTCATAGATTTCATTTTGTACATGCAAATTTGAATCGCATTTAAATTACTGAAATATTGTTTTTTTTTTTTGGTCATGGAAAGACAAACTTTCATTAAGAAAAAACAGGGGATTACAAAGAAGTAGATTGGCCTAGGGTCATCGACCTAATGGCTGTTTTGGCAAGATCATCAGCACATGTATTTTCTGATCTTGGAATGTTTCTAAAAGATATAGAGTGAAAAGGTTTAGCAAAGTTTAAGATGTCTTCAATGACTCCTATCATGTTGATCGGTGATTTCCGCGTGTTGATGGCCGTGATGGCAACTTTTGAGTCAGATTCGATGATGATCTTGTCCTGGTGATGGTTTTGAAGAGATAAAATGGCTTCAAGGATGCACAAAGCCTCTGCTTCACATGAGCTTTTGATATAGGGGACTGGTTTGCAATTTCTTGATTTGACTTCATGGGCTCTGTTGAGCACCACCCATCCCAGACCAGCATTCTTGCTTTGGTCGTGCCAGGCTGCATCAGTTTGACAAATTAGAGTACCTGATGGTAGATCTTCCTGCTCTGTTTCTTGTCGTGTGCTGGGCCTGATTGATGTTCGCTGTGTCCGTACCGTTGTCGTTGTCGGTTCTGTTTCCTTTTGTGCCTTCTTCCACTCCTCTTCCGATGACATTGCTAAATGGATAGTCTCTGCTTCAGGTATAATGCGTTTGTCGAAGATTTTTTTGTTTCGACTAGACCACAGTGCCCACATAATCCAAGGAGCAGAGACTGCTCTGTTCATGGTAGTAGGAGGCGTCTGCTGCAGTTTATTGCAGATTGCTAATCCTGATCTCAAATCTGTTATGGACTGCACATTGAGAGGTGCTTGTAGAGGCGCCAGACTCCAAACTTTCCGTGCATAGGGGCAATGAAATAGAAGGTGCATTTCGGTTTCTTCATCTCCACATCTTGAGCAGCAGGCAGTAGTAGTTACCTTTCTTCGAAGTAGATTTGTTCCAACTGGCAGAGTGCCTCTAGCAGCTCGCCATAATAGCATGTGGATTTTTGGTGGGCACTTGATGTTCCAAATGTCTTTCTTCCAAGTGAAGCCTTGAGGGTTAGTCTCTGTTTGCTCATCAAACCGGTTTTCCATTGCCTTGTAATAGCCTGATCTTGTGGAGTAAATACCATCTTTAGTGTGCATCCAGATTGGCTTGTCCGGGGCATTTGACTTACTCGGTCTTAGCTGCCTAATCTCTGTCCAAATCGTTGGGAATAGATTCTTAAGCATTTCAACATTCCATTCCTTCGTATTCACATCAATGAGATCAGCAATCATAAGATTGGCTTGTTGAAGTGGAGCTGGTCCTGTGGTTATGCCGGGAGCTATCAGGGCAGTCCAGGGATCACGCCATACGTTGGTTGATTTACCATCCCCAATTGCAATACCCATGCCTTGTTTTAACAGGTCTCGGCCAGCCAATAAGCCTTTCCAGCCATGAGACGAAGAGGGTCTAGGGCTAACCTCCATGAAGGGTCTATTGCGGCAATATTTAGCTAAGAGCATTCTTGAGAGGAGGCTGGTTGGGTTATTGATGAGTCGCCAGCTGAGTTTAGCGAGGAGAGCTTCGTTAAAACTTTGTATCTCTCGTATGCCAAGTCCTCCTTTGTCTTTTGGTTGTGTGAGTGAGTTCCATGAAACCCATGCCATTCCTTTCTTTTCCTATTTGCTATCCCAGAAGAACCGAGTTAAGGCTGATTGAATTCTCTTGCACAAACCAATAGGTAGCTGAAAACAAGACATTGAGTAAGGAGGTATTGCTGTCAGGACTGATTTGAGCATGATCAATTTCCCTGCTGCAGAGAGTCTTTTAGAGGACCAGCTTGCTGCTTTCTTCTTAATCCGAGCAACAATAGATTCGAAGAGATCCCTCTTCTTCCTTCCAAAGAGCTCAGGCAGACCAAGGTATTTCCCAGTTCCTCCTTCTTTCGTGATTCCAAGTTGGTTTTTCACTCTGTTTCTGATTTCCTTGCTTGTTTTTGGTGAAAAGGTGATGGAGGATTTGTCCTTGTTGATAAGTTGTCCCGAGGCTTCTTCATAATTTGTGATGATTCGGTGTAGCATGGAATCAAATTAAACAACGTTGGTACTTGGTAACAATACTTTAGTAAACTTAGATATATATATATATATATATATACATATATGTTCCTAAAAGTAATTACAATTTAGTAAAAATTCGCTTAATATTTTCCACCGTATTGTTTTATAATATTAAATATACGTATAGTGCACGTGTCTTTAGTACGTCCATGCAAATGAGAGACGACGAAGACAGACGACGCCAGGAACAACCAACGGTACATGAATTGGACCACTCATTTCTGTTTATTATTATAAAGTATAAAATCAATGTCTCTTTTATTTTTAAGGTCGTCTACTGATGTTTGTGTATCTGTTTCAACACCGTAAACTAAAAGTCTTAAAACATTTGCATATAGTAAATTAGCTTTATGTTTCCAACAGAAACTAAGTTAATATTTCTTTAACAGGAAAACAAAATAATGATCCTTTTTTAAAATGAATTCCATTCTTAGTTATAGCTCCATAAATTTAATATGATAATTGAACCCACATTACATTATTGAATTAAGTTCAAAAACACTTCTGAAGAGCTTTTTCTTACTATCCATTCACCTAGAAAACCTCTTTTCTATACGAAAACACCAAATCTTTCATCTATCCGTCATCTAGCATTTTAGTTCTGTTAGCAGTCAGTCAGTCACCTAGTCATAAAAGTAAATCAATCCGTTTTTACGCGAGCCATTAAAGAACTTATAACAAGATTCAACTATAAATGAATAGAAAAAATCATTATCTTTTTTTTTGGGCAAAAGAAAAAATCATTATCTATGTTAGAAATTTCATATCGAAAATAAAATGAGATATAGTATAGTATGCAAGGGACATGAACTCATTCACTAATAACCAAATAATTTGAAATTAGATAATCATAAAAAAATAGTCCCAAAATCATTACAATTGTAAATTACATATTAAGTTTTTATATCAAATTTAAAACTCGTGATTTTGATAACTTTGTGTTTGGAATGACATTTTGGTACATTATGTAAAGTATCTGACGTTGACTAAGTATATGTCTTTTGTAGGTGTTTTTAAGAACAAATATATATACGAAGATTTTGTTGTTTATTTTCTGGTTCAACCAACACCCTTTAGAATAAATAGAATCATTAATGGACTTTTTGCTGCCTAGTTATTCAATCATTAGTTGAACAACCAATTTCTCTCCGTATAAAACAAAAGATTAAAAACCAAATGTGCCATTTAATCCTATACTAACACACATATTCGGGTTACCGTCTTTTATACTGCAGTGGAGTTTACATATATATATATATATAAATTTGTAATTGCGATTAATAGTTACATATAGTGCCATCACCACCTCATAATTTAACATCCTCATACAAAAAATAATTAATTTACACCTTTCACCTGATAATTACTAATCCAGGAAATTAGTAATATGGCGAGAAGAGCAAGTGGGTGATTCATCTTTTGTTTTAACCACAAGTCCACAATAGTCTCATATTCCCCACGACCAATCATTTATGAAAACAAACAAACATCAAATCACTCTTTTCAAAAAGATTGTGAATTCCATTCAGATCAACAAATCTATCATACAGATTTAACGCCCAACAAACTTAGCCACAGTAAACATACAAAGATTTTCAATACGGTAGTCGTATACGGGCAATCTTAACTGCGACAATGAAGAGATTACGCACACCACTGGACACCAGTATTATTGTACCATCCTCAAAATCCAAAACTTCTCCTTCTTTTTTTAGAGGTTATATAATAAAGTTGTCTAAATTATTTTTTTTCTTAAAATAATACTATTGTGGGTGTGTGTTTTTTTTAATAACTTTAATGTAATTTTGATAGAAAACATATAATTTTAGTTTACAACCGCTTCTTAAATTATGTAAAAAGTAGAAACGAATTTGAAAAGGTTGGCTTGTTTGAGTAGTTAATCGTGTAATTTAGTTTGCGTAAATGACGACAAAAACAAGCACTTAACTCGGGGGAAGTATTGGAGCATTGAGTGAATTATATTTCATACTAACAAGAATTTGTTTACCCAAAAAAAAAAAGAAAGTGAAGTAAGAAGAAGATGAGTTGTTGTTGAGGATTCGAGAGAGAAATCGAAAAATGTGGTGGGTGACACATATTAAGAATTGGGCCTGTTTGTTATCCATTAACAGAGTTGAAGAATAATACTAGTAATTCCAAAGGAAGGAGGCAAGCACGACGACCTACTACTTAAATAAGCCAGCCACCCACCCACAAAGCCCACCTTAGCCGAGCCGAATACCGTACAATCCAATTCCTTGGGGACCTGAGAATGTCCAAGTCGACACGTGTCGTTTAGTAATTAACTATTGGAAAAACATTACTCCCTCCATTTTCAATTATTTTATTAATTAAAGAAAGAAAAAAGAAAAAAGAGACTCTCTTTAGTTTTTTGTGGGTAAACGTCTTCTTCTTCTTCGTCTCTCTCTTTTTTGCTTTACTTTTCAGAAGATTAAACATTCTTCTTCTTCGAGAGAGAGAGGGACAGCTCCGATAACTGCCACTGTATCTCTATCTCTCCTTCCTTTAGATAACAACGGTTTCTTTGCTTTTTCACGGCACATGATTTTTTTTTTGATTTTTTTTGGTAGTGGACCTATTCTTCCATTGGATTTTGTATAGAAAACTTTAAAGGCTGGGGGAATCTTGCGAGCCGTTTAAAACACGGATAGCCAAATTCTGGAAATAATCGGGTTTAGTTTCTTCTTGTGCGAGCAATTGCGATAAAAGAGGCAGAGATTGCGCCTCGAATTAGGGTTTATAGATAGCAGCAGTTGTTGATAGAGAGATTGATTGGAACATACAAGTGAATGAGCTAGTCTCCCTCCAATTAGGGTTTATTGATAGATTCATGATTGGAATAAACAAGTGAATTATACTTTGGATGTACTAGTGTTTGTTTCAACTGAATAATTATGAGTTGCGGCGGCGATGAGACGCGCTCCAGTCGTAACGGATCGTCGATTGATGAGAGTTTGCTTGTGGATCCCAAACTGTTGTTCATCGGCTCCAAGATTGGTGAAGGCGCTCACGGCAAAGTCTACCAAGGAAGGTCTCTCTTTCTCTTTCTCTTTCTGCTCTTATGGTGCTCTAGTTATGGATGATTCTTACATAAAAAAAAAGATGCCTTTGTTTAGCAGGTATGGTAGCCAGATTGTTGCAATCAAAGTTCTCCACCGCGGCACCAAACCTGACGAGAAATCTTCTCTCGAGAGCCGTTTCATCCGCGAAGTCAATATGATGTCCCGCGTTCAACATGATAACCTCGTCAAGGTCCTCTTTTTTCTTTTACTCTCTCAAAGCACTTCTATACTATATAAACCGAATGAATCCTTTCGCAGTTTATTGGAGCCTGCAAAGATCCTTTAATGGTTATAGTAACTGAGCTTCTCCCTGGGATGTCCCTCCGTAAATATCTTACCAGCATCCGTCCTGAGATGCTCCATCTCCGCACTGCTCTCAGCTTTGCCCTTGACATTGCCCGTGCCTTGGACTGCTTACACGCCAACGGAATCATACACAGAGACCTCAAACCTGGTGCCTTTCTTTTAACTCTTCTATCACTGCTGTGTTTTTTGTGTTGCCCTCGCTCGCCTCCCTTGATGGACTGATGATAACCAATGACGCAGACAACTTATTACTCACCGAGAATCACAAATCCGTCAAGCTTGCTGATTTTGGGCTTGCTAGGGAAGAAACCGTCACTGAGATGATGACTGCAGAGACTGGGACATACCGTTGGATGGCTCCTGAGGTTTGTCCCCTCTGTCTGTGTTGTACATGATTTGATCCTGCTTTTTTTACATTATAAAGCCCATGCATGTGTTCATGTCATCCGTAGCTCTACAGTACAGTCACGCTGCGTCAAGGAGAGAAGAAGCATTACAACAACAAAGTTGATGTCTACAGCTTTGGGATCGTGCTATGGGAGCTTCTCACTAATCGTATGCCATTTGAGGGCATGTCCAACCTGCAAGCCGCCTACGCAGCAGCATTCAAGGTTTTCATCTTCTTCTTCCCGTGTGATTTTTGAGTTATTATTAGAAATCAACCTCTTTTCTTCTTCTTGTTGAAAACATTGCAGCAGGAGAGGCCGGGAATGCCAGAGGGGATATCTCCGAGTCTGGCGTTCATAGTGCAGTCTTGTTGGGTGGAGGACCCAAACATGAGGCCAAGCTTCAGCCAAATTATCAGACTGCTCAATGAGTTCCTCCTTACCCTCACTCCTCCGCCTCCTCAGCCTCTGCCTGAGACTGACACCAACAGGACCAACGGCAGAGCCATCACTGAGTTCTCCAGCCGCGCAAAAGGGAAATTTGCCTTCATTCGCCAGCTCTTCGCTGCTAAGAGGAACATAAACTCTTAGGTACATTGCCACTGCCACTGCCACTGCTTTGGTGAATAAATGACATTAGCAGAGAGAGAGAGAAGTAGAAAGTAAGACTTACGTAAAGTCTATAGCGTAGTACTCAGTTCGTCTTCTTGGCTAGTGATTAACAACTGGTAGCATCACATGTCATACTAATTGGTCAAATGTTAAAATTTACAAACCTGTGTTTATTAATCCTCTATCCATACTTAAAACAAAAGTGAGGAGATCAACTAACAATGTATATAGTTCTATGTTTTTTGGAAATTTTCTACAAATCATGCGGCCGCTCTGTCTATATCTGCATTACATATGGCCTAGAATATCTAATTTTAATTATTTTTATTATAACTAAAACAGTATATTAGTATAATAAATGGGTTGAAATAACTTGATTGTTATTTAAAGCAAAAACATAAATATTTTCCATTTCAATAAAACATCCAGCTAAGTAAGGTTGAGAAAAATAAATGTAACGTATCTTTGAATACAGAAACAAAAACGAAAGTTTCGATATTTGAATTTTAAAACAAAAGATGAGTAAATGCAACTTGCTTAATCTTGGTTTAATACAGATACAGAAACAACTAAGAGTGGACCTGTGTTTCCTAACAAATATATATGACATGTACATATTAGTAATGATTTAAATATAAAGAAAGTATAAATCGAAACCGACAGAAAGTTAAGAAAATACTACCAAATAAAGAGATTAATTGATAATCTATAAGTAGAGAGAAAAGGAAATATAGAATTGTAAGGATTCAAATGGGAAAGAAGAAAAGTGATGAGGCATAAATCTTGAGGATGATATATTAAGAATCAATGACATAAGGCAAAAAATAGTGTCAATAAGCCGTTTCCTTGAATGTTACTTTCTAAACTTGGGATTCTATACCATAATTGTGAAGATTTTTTAGACATTAATGATTAGCCCTATTGAACAATAAATACAAGCACTCTTGATCCTGTCTGATCTCATATTCACTCACAAACCCAAAAAAACAACACTTGTGTTCCTTTGACCATGGAACTCAACCTCTCTACGCCCACATCATGTTCCTCCAGCAGCATCTCATCATCCTCGCATGAGGTCATCCCCAGGACCAAGGGTAAATTGAAAGAGAAGGTTACGGCTGAGCCATCGAAGGAGACTCCGCGGCTAGAGTTCCGTTTCCTGTTCAACGAGAGTACAAGAAGCCACCCCGGTTTTTTGGACGAGGCAGAAGGGACGAGAAATGAGGCTAAAGCGAGGGTGTTTGCTTGCACCTTCTGCAAAAAAGAGTTCTCTACGTCTCAAGCCTTAGGAGGACATCAGAACGCTCACAAGCAAGAGCGATCATTGGCTAAAAGGCGTAAAGAGATCGAAATCAACTATCCTGGACTCTCCTTCTACAGCCAGTACCCGCCAAGTGGAGTTTCCTACAGCAGCAGTTCCTCGCAGTATGATCTCGGGGTTCGTTACAATCCTAACATTGCTAAAACTAAGCCCTATCCGTTCAACATCCTCACATATCGACTTGGATACAGAGGCCTTAATATCCCTCTGCTGTCTCACCTCTCGGTTCCAAAGACGGACGATTTGTCCAAAAACTTGATTTCAAATCTAGAGGGCAGCATTCACGACCAAGCCGAGAAAAAGGATCAACCCGAGACTGATCCTTCCAAGGATTCTGACATAGACTTGTCCCTGAAGCTATAGATTGCAAGTTTTTAGGAGGGTTATATATTATTAGTTGTTCCTTGATTCTGCATTTCTTTCTTACATTGTGTTTTTAAATCGTAATGTTAAATCTTCTATAATTTTTCAGAAAGAAAAAGAAAAAAACAAGTGACTTTGAATTCCATTATCTTCTACTTGATACACTAGTTTTGTGTTAATTAACTTCTGAATTTCAAAATTTAAAAGCGTTTTTGTGTAGATAACAGCTTATTTGATATCTTAATGATAAATAAAGACGACAATATATGGGAGATTAATCCTTTTAATATTTGAAATTCAGCAGTTAATATCATTTAGTAATTTGATTATGTTACTAGTATTAGCCAAGATGCAGAAGAAGAAAAAAGCGACGCTTATAAGCTACAACTAAAGAGCTACTCGTACTTGTTAAATGATCTAATTATTTACTCATCCTCCCCAAGACTAAATTTAGAGTTATAATTTGTGGATATATATAGAGGGAGTACATTACCTATCAATTACAAAAATCCTGAATATGAACATAGAATATTGCAATCTAAAGATGATCGGATGCAAGTGGGTCGAAGTGTTGTGGTAAATTCAGACAGATTTCGTGATGTGAGTTAAAACTTGTTGTTAGGATAGGGTTTAAAGGTTTTAAGAAAAGGTTATTGTAGTGTGAGATTTCTCTTGAAGTAGACAGCAAGAAAGTTACAGATTTTGCTCACTCAAGCATCCATGAGCTTGAAGATGGACTACACATTTGGCTAGCCTCGAGAATCTAGTTTGGCGACTCGACTTATATGATTCACAGTTCTTTATAAATTCAAATTTAAACATCTAATCTTTTCTATTTAAGGGTGCATATAATTGTATAAACAAGTTTTTTTTGGGTTGAATAAATTTTACGTTCATTAAAAAAAAAAACGTTACAATGGAACGAAAGGACAAAATGTGCTAGGTAAACAAGTTCCTCGGGATGAAAGTGTAAAGAGCAAAGTCCTCTCTTGGGATTGGAGCTTAGTAGGTGAAGGTTGCATTCAATTATCCTCAACTAATAGCATTCACTCCTCCGCCCCTCAACCACCCACCATACTCTCTTCTCTGAGGTTATATAAACCTCTTTCTCACTACTATACTAAGCAACATAGTAAGCAGAGGCAAGAGAGAGAGAGGAGAGAAAAGAGAAAGATAGAGAAATGATGAGAGTTGTGTTACCGCTATGCCTGCTTCTTGCTTCCATGTTTGCAAGAGGTTCTGAAGCAGCCGTGTCTTGCAACGCGGTACAGGCCGACCTTTACCCGTGCCTTGCGTACGTGGTGCAGGGAGGAAACATTCCGCAAAGCTGTTGCAGGGGCATCAGGATGCTCAAGCAACAGGCAAAGAGCGCATCAGACAGGCAAGTTGTGTGTCGCTGCATCAAGTCTGCGGTGGGAAGAGTGTCTTACTCGCCAACCTATCTCAAGAATGCTGCCACTTTGCCAGGCAAGTGCGGTGTCAAACTTCCATACAAGATCGACCCTTCCACCAACTGCAACAGGTAAACAACACACATGCTTTCACATTTTTTACTAACCAATTCAAAGATATTTATATATTCTCTGTTATAATAAGTCATCTATGTATACAGCATTAAATGAGAGAAAGAAGCTACGGCAAAGACCAAGAATAAAGGACATTGTGTTTCGTCTAATGTAACCGGAGTTTAGTGCTTTTCAGCTTCCTACTAATATATGTTGAACAAGCAGTGCTCCAATATATCAAATATAATCTTTAGTCTACATCTTTTTATTTTCACGCAAATTAAGTCTTGACTGATTTTATTTCTTTGGACCTTTTGGTATTTGAATCCAAACCCTACTACAAGTACAACAAATACACGACACTTAAAATAAATAAAAAAAATCCAAACCTATGAATAAACAAAAACAAACTAAAATAAAAACTGTAAGAGTCCCGGCCTCCCGGGCATTTCGGCCTCGGGGCAATATACACACATGGCCACCAAGGGTTGAATATGGGGCCTGGATCTGGACGTCAAGTATTTAAGTGGCCCTCCGGTTGTGTAATCAACCCCTTATGTCGATGAATTCACTCCTTTGTCAGAGACTCAAGTGTATTAACAGATTTGCTTCCAAAAGCAAAACAATAACCTTGTTGCGAAACCAAAAATATATGTGCTGCCGAGTGCCCGACTCCTTTTGTTTTTTTTTGGGTCAACATCAACTTATATAAACCAACAAGACTTGCACTTGTTTATCCATCACTACAAAGTACAACTTGTATAGTACGACTTAGGATCATAATTTTGCAAACAAAGAGATTCATGTGCAACTTTTAGCTTACAATCATACTTTCAGTTTCATTTTTATGACATAACAAAAAGAGGATAATGGCATATGATGTTATCATTCACTATATTCGTCATCTATCACACAAATAAGTACACAATCTAGTTCTCACCAAGACATCAAGCTCATGGATAGAAAATGAGCTAGTACCCAAGAAACGTGCGTGGAGTCACCAACCTGGTTCGCTTACATAACTTTGTAATAATAAAAAAAGCAATAATTGAAATGACGCTGACGCAGGCGTATCATTGAAAATATGAGCTTAGTGGGCGTTGTTATGATTCACCAAATAGTTTGTTGCCACTTCTGATGATTTCATCCTTAAAGATTGTTTCTTCTCAGTGCTTTGTTGTTGTATTATTCACCTTCTTCTTTTCCTTTACTTTATAAAGAAGAGAAAAAAAAAAAGCTCTTTATTCTTCACTTCTTTTTTGATATATAAGATTACATGTACAAATCCTGATCCGAGAGGGACCCAACACAGTTACATTTGAAAACTGACGCATATATATATACATACACACACACAAATGCAAGTCAATTATGTATATATATCTCTTCTCCTCTTTAGAGACAGACAAAAAATATCCCCCAAGTGTCTTATTCTCACTTGTGAATTATTTTTGTTTTTCTCCCGTAATTAATATCTACAAAATTGTTTGTTCATCCACACATATATAACCAAAATATATGCCAAATAAGAAAAAAAAGGAAGGTCCCCACTTTTGTCTTAAAAGATAACCACAAACCGCAGAGAGAAATCAAATAGACAAACGCAGTTTAACTTCAAGAGTCCTGTCCTCCACATCATCACGCGTCTCCCACACACAAATTTAAAGAAGACACAATTGACGCCGGAGACTCCTCGGATGCATCGACTGCTACTGGAATCCCACGGCGGCGGGAACGAGACGAGCGGCGGCGGCGGAGATGGGTACATGAGAGACATGAACTTCGACGCAAACATGGTTATCATACTTGCAGCTCTTCTGTGCGCTTTGATACTAGCGCTTGGGCTGAATTCGATTCTCCGATGCGCGATGCGATGCGGTTTCGGGTTATCATCCTCTGCAGCGGCAGGGGCGGTGGCCGACAGAAGTGGATTAAAGAAGAGAGAACTGAAGAAGTTTCCTGTAGCTGCGTACGGGTCGGGGGAAGTGAAGATAGCGGCGACGGAATGCGCAATCTGTTTGGGAGAATTCGCGGACGGCGAGAGAGTCAGAGTGCTGCCGCCGTGTAATCACAGCTTCCACATGTCATGCATCGACACGTGGCTTGTCTCTCACTCTTCATGTCCCAATTGTCGGCATTCACTCATCGAGGTCCACGTGGTGGGATCAGAATGATTTAATTATCGTGGTGGGGTTAGGTTGGCAGTAGTAATCATAATTAAGAGTTTAATGGCTAGATTATCAATTAATGATATGGGTACAATCTCTTTACTCTTTAGTCTTCAGTTCGTACTAGAAGTAATCAAAGATTTATTTACTACTACTCCCTATGTTTTAGTAGCGTATGTTTTAAAAGATACGAATGAGGCCGAACTACTTTGGGCCTATAGACGTTAGTAGAAAAGCCCATCTTGGTGTTTGTTAGGCTTAGGTTATGTCGCCGCCCTAATTGACAAGTGAGAGAGAGTGATGATGGTGAAGAAAAGAAGGAGAGGAGGTGATGGTGTGGAAGCTTAAAGTAAGTGTGAGAGCCAAAGGTTTCAGTTTGAAGCTCAATCTACGGAACCAGCTCTCGCTTCAACGATTGTCAATCCTCTTAAGATTCCGAAAGCAGCATCATCATCTCAAATCCAAACACTCAGATTGCGTCAGATGCCTAGGGAGTCTTCTTGCTCTCTTCCGTAGACGAAAACGGAGGGAAGTGGATACGAAGAAGAAGCTCATGGAATTGGTTTGGAATCGAGCGGTGGCAAAGAAAGCAAGAGGCGTGGGTGTTGTGATTACCCTCATACTCGTAATCATCATCAATTATCTAGTGCCATCACATTCATGGATCAACAAGTTGAGCAACAGCGAATCATTCCGATTAGATTGTTATGAATTGTTTGGTATTAAATAAAATAAAGCATTTCCCACCAACGAATTCTTCTTGTTTGTCCTCCTTTTTGGACCATTATTGTAACCTCTTTCAACATTTCAATCTCTCTAATCGGAAAGAAGAACATACTAGTCTCAGTCTCTCACCACTGCTCTCTCACTGGCCCAAAGCATCCTCGTTTCTATGGGCTACCAGGCCCAAAACTGTGCAAAATTTCTGATTGATATATTGGACCAAATTCGACCCATTTCTTGCCTGGGCGAAACAGAAAATGGCGGGAAGATGGACTTGTTTCGTAATTTGTATCATTATCTCCTTGACATCAAAGTATGGAAGTTGATGTTTTCCATACTTAATCTTATTCCTTCATCCCCAATTTACTTACTACTATTAGAGTGAGTTTGCGTGTCACTTTTGTTTTTGTTTGTGGGCAGAGTTTCTTCATGTGAAAATTAGCAACTATGTCAATCAGCACAGTCGAGACAACCTTTCATGCTGGCATCTCTGTAATCCTTCTCCTCTTTGTTCATTCTTCAACTGTTTCATATGTTTTTTGCTTAAGAGTTTCAGATGTTGTGGAAGTTGTAAATTATTTCCATTTTTATTTATCGAGTGAACCTCTCTTTTTTTATCAGATGGAGCAGCAAATGTCTTTAAAGAGACCAACCAATTCACATACAAAGACGGCTCTCATGGACTTAAGTTTAGGGATAGGTGCCTTTATATGTAGCCTCTTTCAGCCATTTCGTTTTCTCACCTATATATACCTGCCTCGGTTATTCATAAGAGGAATGGATGGTCACTTTGCAAAGTCGTCCAGCGCTTACTTAATTACAATTGTTTTGATCTTTGCACACAAATGTTGATGTTGCTCCATTAATCCATATCCACACTGCATACTTTTTCTTATTAAAATATATAAACCGAAGCCTTTGTTGAGGTGATGGAGCCGAGAAGGTGCTTTTAATTGATAGTGGACGCAAAAAAAGTGGAACAACAAAAGTTGTAATGGAGTTTAAATTGTAACGTAAATTCAGAAAAAAAAAAGTAAGGTAAGGAATATATAAACTATACATATATTGTAATGTGCTTTTAGTGTTTAACGAGGAGAATAAAGGGGAGACACGACATGAGAAAAGCGAAGACATAATGATATTAAAATGCACTAAGAATTGCTAAAGGGTGATTGTGTCTGAAATCTCTGAATCGTCTGTACGCTAAGGTAACTTTATTTTGACATACGTTTCTCCGGTCCGGACCACCATGTGTGATGAGTAATGGATGCATGGCTTATATGAATGAGAGTGTATGCACATTAGCTGACAAAAGTAAAAATTAAAAGTTGTGGGAGTAATGAAAAGGGATGAGTAAGTGTGTGGGACACTCCATAACTATACAATAATGAAAGCATTACAGAAAAAGCTCATGCTTGGACCCTTTGGGACTTTCATTTTCACAATGGTGGACTTCTCTTTTCGCTTTATGGTTTATTTCTTTATGGAAAAGAACAATCAAAAAGCCTCTGAGTAATGATTATATATGAACATATATTATTAAAATTTGTGACAGTGTGAGACTCTGAGTAATGCTTAGTGCGCCTGACTGACTTTATACCCTTTCAAATTTATGTATAGAATCATGTTTTCTATTTTGCGTCATGGTTACTGAATAGAGCTAGTAAATGTATTCAAATAAAGCTTCCAAAATAGCAAACCGAGAAACCTTAACAGAGAGGCTTCAAGGAGGTAGTCGTATGTGGAATAGAGAGTTCCTTTGACCAATCACTCTTTTTAGAGTGATCTACTTTATGAACCAACCTTCAACATTGTGATTGCTATGAAACCAAGTGTAAAAAGATTCACAACTTAACTGGTGAACTCACGAGAATAACCTTTTTTAGAAAAGACGAACACTATATTATGATAATATATGAAAACTGAAAGGAATGAAGAAATACAAGCAAGGAGGATTGATTCATCCGTAGTGGATGAATCACTCTAAGTCATGAGAGGGACACTGTATGAGCTCTAATATCTTCACTACTTCCTCCATCTCCGGCCTATTCGACGGCACTTGGGACCCACATACCAGCCCTAGTTTAATCACCGGTATTGCCTCCTCCGCCGGAAAATTCCCTCTCAACCGAGGGTCGACGCACTCCTCCACCCTCCCTTCTTCTAACCCTTCTCTCACCGTCTCACACAGCACCACTACGTCGTCCTCAGCGTATTCCACGGGCCTCTTCCCTGTCACCACCTCAAGCACCAGGATCCCAAACCCGTAAACATCGCACTTGTCGGTTATCTTGACTGTCCGGCATGCAAACTCCGGGGCTGTGTACCCCAACGCGCTCTGTACCTTGCCACTCAAGACACACCTGTCCAGCGCCGAAGCCAACAATCTGGCCAGCCCAAAGTCAGAGACTTTAGCCTCCCATGTGGCGTCTATGAGCACATTCGTTGCTTTCAGATTGTAGTGAGTGATGTTACTGCTATGCAGATAAGCAAGACCTCTTGCTATCCCTAGAATAATGCTGAAACGTTGACGCCACGTTAGGCAAAGGCTCTCATCTCCGTGGAGATGTCTGTACAAGCTTCCGCCTGAAACAAACTCGTGGATCAAGAGCTGCAACGATTGCGTCCAATAGTACCCTTTAATCTCCACCACATTCTTGTGCCTCAGCTTCCCGAGTTTTCTCATCTCTCTCTCGAACTCCTCCTGCGACTTTATTAGACCCGACACAGTCAGTTTCTTGACTGCAACAGGACGCCCATCCTGGAGGTTTGTTTTGTACACCACTCCGAACCCGCCTCGTCCCAGCTCGCAGTCCTTGTTGAGCAACGCATCAGCGCCTGTGGTGTCAAACACGTCCGCTTCGCCAGAGAACATCACCAGCTTTCCGAATTCTTGATCTTTACTTGGGGAACAGCTGAACGTTTCTCCAACCGACAGAGCGAGAGCAGCAGCTGCATTGTGACGGGAAAGACTAGATCGAGCGTGCACGTTGAGAAGAGTTACAGCCACCACTCCGATGGCAATGAAGGCGGCTGCGCCAATCGCAATGAGCGCAGATATGCTCAGAACGCTCTTCCTGATCTGCCCGGTGAGAGCAGGACCATTTGTTGGATTGGAGGAGTTGGGGTTGAGGACGATTGGTTTGGGGTGGACAGAGAGACATGAGCGGTTCACAACGGAGCCACAGAGGGATGGGTTTCCGGCGACGGTAGAGAGAGGGATGGTGTTGAAAAAACCTCCAGCTGGCAGCTCCCCTGTGATGCTGTTGTGGGAGATGTTGAAGGTCAAGAGATGCGAAAGTTTCTCTATTTCTTTTGGTAGGCTTCCCGAGAGATTGTTTCTCGACAGGTCAATGTACTCAAGGTTGCTCAAACTGCCAATGCTCCCCGGAATCGCACCGGATAGTTCATTCTCCGACAGATTTCTGCACAACCACAGATTGCTACATTAATACTGAGAGAGGCGGTTTAAAACACAGATTCAGAAAGATAACAGCCAATTGCAATTGACATTGTTGAGAACTACTTACATTGCGTTTAAAGCCGAACAGTTAGAGATCTGTGCCGGAATCTGGCCGGAGAGGCGGTTTCTTTGGAGATGAAGTTGTTTCAGCGAGACGGCTCCTCCGATCTCAGAAGGAACGGTTCCGTTGAGAAGATTACAACTCAAATCAAGAATCTCAGCGACTTTCAATCCTCCAATGCCGGAGGGTATGGAACCGAACAGAGAGTTGGTGGACATATTCAGCTGCAACAAACTTGTGAGGATCCAAATGTTAGACGGTAACTCACCGGAAAACCCGTTAGAAGACAGATCGAGGACCCGGAGACCTTGAAGAAATCCGACGATGGGCAGAATGGTGTCGTTCCCTGATCTTTTGTGGAGGCTAAATCTGGAAAGCGAGGGACTTTCAGAGTTTCCGGTGAACATCCACTTAAGCACATCTCCGGTGAATGAATTCTTGCTGACATCAATGGAGATTAGGTTGGAGCAGTTGGAGATGGTCTGCGGGAGCTCCCCAGCGAGCATGTTTGCGGATAGATTGAGTTCCTTCAAAAACTCGAGATTTCCGAGGGAGGATGGGACAGTGCCGGAGAAGTTGTTGGCGGAGAGATCAAGAGTCTCGAGAGTGGCAATGTCACCGATCCAATCAGGGATTTCTCCGATGAGAGAGTTTCCTCGCAGTCGGATGGAGCGGCAAGAGCCCAGGCTTTTCATGGAAGCCGGAAGATTCCCGGAGAAGTAGTTCTCACTCAAGTCAAGCGATTTCAGGGAAGGACATCTTCCGATGTCGGAAGGAACGTCACCGGAAAACCAGTTTCTGGATAGGTTAAAGAGACGGAGATCGTAGAGACCACCGAGGCCATCGGGGATATCTCCTTGGAGAAAATTGGCAGATAAATCAAGGGACTTTAAGCTCTTGAGGAACCAGATATCTCGTGGTAATCTCCCAGAAAGTTGATTGCTTGAGAGGTTAAGATGAATGAGAGTAGAACAGTAGCTGAGGGAGACAGGAAGAGGACCTGTGAGTTTGTTGTTGGCCAAAGAGACGGACCTCAAGGACCCGCATTGCTCGAAGAACCCGTCTGGGATCCGACCCGAGAGACTATTGTCGCTGAAATCGACGACTTGGAGGCTGCCGAGGTGAGGGAACTCGGGGTTTAGGGTTCCGGTGAGGTTGTTGTTGGAGAGGACCAAGGTGTGGAGGAACTGGAGACGGAGAAGGCCACGGCCGATGTGACCGGAGAGAGAGAAGGAGTCAAGTCGGAGCTCCGAGACCCGATTGGAGGCAGGGTCGCATGTGCAACCGACCCAGTTGCAGGGATCGTAGTCTTCGGAGTTCCAAGAAGAGAGCTTAGAGAGAGGGTCTTCGAGTCCAGACTTGAAAACGATGAGACCCAAAACGTCGTCGTTGAAAGTCGGGTCTGCCGTCGCTGAAACGGCAAGGAAGAAGAGGAAGAGGAGTGAAACGGCGTCGTTGAACAACATTTCCGGAAGAGGACTAAATCCAACAATTTTCAAAGAGTAAAAAGTAGCGAGCGAGAGGAAATAGGCAAACAAAGAAGAAAGAAGGCTACTCGGCCATGGCCATGGATGATGTAGAGCTCAAGTAAGGTTGATGCTGGCGGATAACAAAACCGACCACCTTTGTACCGGAAAAAATAGGGGGCAACTGCTGCAGAATTAACATGAGCATAAGAAACTGTTGTTGTTATTTGAGAAAAAGATAGATAGACGGAGCAAGAGGCAGAGTTTGAAAGGGTTTAGGAAAAGAGAAAGAGAAAATACAAAAGCAGGAGAGTAAAAGGGAGGAAGGTAGAGAGCATTAATGGTGGAATTAAGACAGACCCAGAATTAAAGTGTACTGGCTATTAGATTAGAATGAGCGCAGGTAAACTTACTTGCCAAAGAAAAATAAAACAGAGAAAAGGGAGAGAGATAGAGAGAGTAAAGAGAAAAGGGAAGGTCCGGAGAGGAGGAGGCTCAAGGATTCAAGTCTAGGAGACAATCTTCTCTTCTCCCCGCTTTTTATTACTATACTAACATTTTACACTTTTTCAAAAATAAATAAGTAATAAAATAAAAAGAAGAGTTTATTATGACGCTTATACAATAATGTGATCATTAAAGAATGAGATCTGAAGCAGCAAAGACAAAGAGGTTGGAGTAGAAGAGAAGTGATCTCCCCCAAAGCCTTTCTTGTCCCATGGCATGCAATGCTTCGCCATCATTTCCTTTCTTTTCTTTTATTTTATTATAGAAATAATAACTGAAATGATTTTAGTCGATCGATCTCTTAAGAAAAAGAAGAAGATGATGGTGTAGATAGAGAGCTTCCACACCTCAAGCACTACTAACTATACTCTTAGTCGTACCACACACGCATGTGTTTACTAATCTTTATGTCGATTATATATATATATATTTGATTATCCTTTTTTCTAGTACTAATCTAGTTTATAAGATTTTTATTAGAATCAATTCATTGAATGCACACAGTGGAGAAGTGGCGTAAACGGTGCTCACTGCATCTCACAATCTTCCCGTTGACTTAACCCTCACTCCTCTTTTTTGTTCGGATGAATTTTTTTAAAATATTTTCTGGGTTTTCGGTGTGAATCATACAACTAATTTAATGGAAATTAACTCCTTTATTATCACTCACTAAATTAATAGAGAAAGAGAGAAAGGAAAAAAAGAACAGGGATAATGAGTGAAATGATCATTGAGGATAAAAACATGCCTACCAAACTATCTCAAGACTCTACCTTTGTTTCATTCCCAAGCAACATGTGTTACACTACACTTACATTCATCCCTCAGAGTAAATATGTTTTGATGTTCATTTTTTTGTTTTGAATTCTAGTTACTTATACCCTTTCTTTTTTTTATTAACACCCAAATTCTTAGTAATTTTTTTTGTTCAATATACAGATATTTGAAAGGACAACTATCACTCTTGAGCTTTAATTTCAAGTTGGATGTACCGTGAATCAACAAGATATGACCATCTTTTCTCAATTAAATGGAATTGTTTTACCCATTTCTGATTATGGGTTAATGGGCCCAGCCACAAAATATGTTCAAAGCTTCGCTTGCCCAACCGTAAAACAGTTGACGTTGTCCAACAGGGAGCAAATATATCTTCCGCTTCTATTTGCTTGACGTGGCAAGATATTTTATTCTGATTTGGGCATGATCACCTAATTAATGGGCTATTTTATGCTGAATATCAGGCCCATATTTGCCTCCTTAAGTTATAAGCCTTATTTATATGCAAGCCCTTTCGATGCATTTAATTTCCATGTAGATCAGATCACTCTAGCTCTTATCATTTTTTTTTTTAGTTTTCAAATACCGAAACACTAATCAAATTTAATTTATTTACTAAGGCTTAAGCCATTTTGAAATAAATTAAATAAAATATCAAGTTTAACTATTTTGGTTTCTGTTTAAATTTGAGCAATTAACATTTGGTTTCTTTCCTTTCACACACTGTTTTCATTTCTGTTTTCTTTTTACGATTCTATTCATCAAAATCAGCTCTTATATAAAAAGAAGCATTCATTGTAAACAAGGTTTTTTTGGTGAAGATAATTTTACATTCATACACAAAAAAAATTAGCAACAAATATACATGCCTCAAACATCTAAAAAGTGATATTAGGACCATAGATTTATTATTTGGTCAAAATATTGACATTCTTATTTCATGCCTTTTGACCAGAAAAGTGAGAGCAAAGTGTGAATACCGCAGTGTGTTTATACTTAACCAACCCATCAATTCAAAACAAGAATGAGACTTTATTTTTTCCACACGGACGTTGCTTTCACTATTAGCTCTTGTTAACCTAAGCTTTTGGAGTCATCTTATCTTATGAGTACGACTAAATTTAAATATGTCTATAGTATAACTAAATATGTCTATAGTATAATTATAGGAAATTCACATTAAACATACAAGTACCAATATGAAAGTAAAGAAAAATGCATTACACGTTTATAACGAAACTCACAAGAAACTTAAGCCTAGACTCTCTCTAGTATCAGAGCTATTGAGCTTGATATTTTCTTAAGGTCATATAATATATATTATAGCTAGGTACACGTCCTTTTGCACACAGAAAAAAAAAAAAAAAAAAAAAGCTATGTACATGCATGTCCTTGCAATACATCTATATACTACCTGTGAACATTGACATGCATACCAACGCCTTGCAAAAAGAATCTTTGATGCATATTTTAGTAAGAAAGATTCGTGTCCGTTTACCTGATTAATCTCTCCAACCTAGCTAGCTAAATCTATTCTAAAATCCATGACGAGTTTAATAAGCATATACTTTAAAGTTAGTTGTATCATGAACCATGCATACATCTTGAATTAATGATTAAGGTACCAAACAGTATTCGTCATCCTAATTTTGTTTTTCTAGAATTCTTAAACAGCATCTATCTATGGGTTGGGTATACTTGATTAGGATAATATATTAACTATTGGATTTATTATATATTGCATCATATGAGATAAGCTCACAATTAACAAATTAAACAAGGGGGACCATGACATGTTAAATGTTATATTAAAAATAAAACAAATGAGATGCATTATCAATATTTGTTTTCTTTTTCATTTTGGGACACATTGAAGGAGAACTATATTCTTGGCTCATGGAAATGAGTGGTTCTAAAGAACCTTTATAATTAGTCAATAGAAAGGCCCTTTAACTCTAAAGGAGATATAGTTTTGTTCTTTTTCTTTCCTGATTATATATTTATGATTAATATTAATAAGTTAGTTAGTGGGTACTTAGGGCAGAAGGGTCAAGAAGGTCTCTTTATCTTTCCGATCATCTTCAATGGCAAGTTCATGATTGACCTGACCAACAATTTCTTGGGTCGCTACTTTTTGACCCTCGTGTTGGAATTTTTTACGAATAATTAACCGGATTTGCATGAGCGATTCCGGTCTTTCAATTTGCTTTGTATAATATCAATTTAATCACTATCTCTGATAACATACAATTTTGTTTTGCAAATTATTGTTATGCTACGAAAAACATGTTCTCCAGAACCAACAATTGTTCGTTTTTTTTTTTTTTTTGTCTCAGTTTGGTATGTATGCTCGTTCGCTCAAGCTCATAGACACGAGCATAAATTTGTCTCATGCTTAATACTACCATAAGCCACTTGCAAAAATTGATTGTTTCTCTATTGGGTACTAGGTACTGTTCAATGTAGAATAAATCCACCAAGTCTAGATCTGCTTCAGCGTCACCCACTTTTCTTATAAAAGAGTTGTATACATATATATTATTATTGATCATTACAGTCCGCTGATGGTATTAGAAAATTTTACTCAAAGGTTTGTTTATAAAAGATTCCCATATGTATAAAAAAAGAAAAGCGGGCAACAATACAGTACAACCTTCATGTGTTATTGTAGGTTAATATGAACTCAAACAAAATCTCCAAGTAGAGATTGAAACATATCATGGGTTACGCAATAACATGTAGATGTATAAGACAAAAACAAGTAACAGAAGGATATATATAGAGGTTTTAGGATTAAAGAAGCTATATATGTGTATGTTGATAGAGCTGGGGATATATATAGATATGGTCATGATGATAAGTCATGAGATGTCCATATATAAAGGGTTAAACTCGAAAGCCTCCACCGCGTGGGCAACCTCGGACGACATCCACTCGGATGGAGACCACTCTTCTGCTATCACCGGTTTCATGTATTCATCTCTGATGTGATCCTGATTCTGATGTCGACAGAGGCTAGGGGTGGAGGAGGAGAAGCTGGTGTTGGGGTGACCGAATCGGATCATGTGGGATCCCTCGTGCTCTTCGGGGTCAGAGGTGCCAATGGGGAAAGTTGCATAAGCTTGATGAAGCTGGCATGTGTGGTGGCCGAAGTAAGTGGTTGAGTACAATGGAGGATTGTGTTGGATCTTTTGAACCTGCTTCTTTGCTTCACAGTTCTGGTCCTTTGTGTAGGCACACTTGTAGTAACTCCTTTGGTACTCAGATTCTTTGATCTGCTTTTGTCCGTATTTCCTCCAGAGGAACCCGTCGTGGTAGATCGGGGTTGAGGATTCGTGTCTATGGTAGTCTGAGCTCTCTGCCATTGATGTCTTTCTGCAACAACATGAGATTCATGATGAGCATCGTTCAAGGATTCTCAAATATTTTCAATTTTTATATTCATACCTTCCCCTCTTGTGAAGTGGTTTCCTGGCGCTCTCAAGAACAGGAGAAGAGTCCTGAGGGGATGAGTTATTGGATTGATCGTCTTGGTGGTCATTAGTATCGATCAAGATGGAGAGAGAATCTGACAAACAATGGAGGACGGACTTGGCCAAATCTTCCCTTTCCATGGACGAGTCTGACTCGGTGTGGTCCATGATGAGCAGCTGGTTAGCGCACCTGTACCCGTGAAGTAGTTTCTCCATAGCCTTTTGTTGGCAAGAGTTCATCTTCTTTCTTTTTTTTTTTGGAGTAAAATATTTATAATTGCTCTATGGGTTTATTAAGTTTAGAGATGTGATCCATGTCTCTTTATATACAAATAGGTCGAGAAGAGGAGATAAGGGTGTGAGAGAGTTTGGTCAATTACTATACACTCCTTCGTTAACCTCTCTATCGGATGTACTATTATGTAACTAATTCGTATTCGGAATGTGCGGATTAATGAGTGGCCCCTCGAGATTATAAAGACAAAAAACAAACAAACAAGTAGGATCGGAGTATTACTAGTTGACTTACCCAACAACTCTACTCATTATAAAAGTTAGTTAATTAATTATGTGTAAACTCGTATCTAAGAACCATGACTTCTTGGATTTCTACTACTTATTTCATCTCATACTTGGATCTAAGAACCATGACTTCTTCGATCTCTTTTCAGTCTATAGGTTTGCAACTCCAAATAAATCAGTACTAAATACTCCTAGAATTAGGGAAAAAAACCGCATAAACAACCACATGGTGGTGGGAGAGTGGTTCTCGTTTGGTTGGAAGGATCGCCCTGTTGGTCTAGGCCAGGGATCGATCCTCTCCAGACGCAGTTTCGCTCTCTCACTCCTGTGGCCACCTGGGAATTTACCTGCGGACTTGCTCAGGCGCCCCAGACCACCAGTTTATCAGGGGGCCCTTAAGTGGAGGCTTAAAAATCCCTGTGACGCGGGCTTAGGCCCAGTGGGCTAGTCAGATCACTGTGTGGTCTGGATACTGGGTTATCAAAAAAAAAAAAAAAAAACCGCATAATTATAATTTAGAGAATATTATTGATCAAACAAGATTATTGGCCCGCGTTTCTTCCAAATCATTTGATCAAACAAGTTTCCATATATGATTTCGTCGCGTAAAAACAACTAAATAAAAAGTCGGTTTTGTAATAAAATTGAGTAAACTCTCACAACTGTGACAGTGAACTTATATAGTCATGTGGCACGGCACCTGAGAAGATGGAACGGCGAATAAACGGGCGTAGAAAAAGGAGGAGCCAGCCACTCTGAACGGCGAGAGAGAAGCTCCCCACAAGTGACGTAAGATTTGGTGACATCATCCTACCGTGACGATGTGACGTCATGGATGGTTGAATTATGGATGACAGGTAATATAATGCACTAATCCAATCTAATCTCATCAATCCAACGATGGAGATCAATTGCTGCAAAAGGTTTTCTGGTTTTGTAATATAATAAGCGTAATCCGCATGTGCTTTTATTGGATTTCTACTTATGTTTCTTTCTTATACTAAATAAATGTCTAGATCTAGTACGTAACAACAGCTAATTCAACTTTTTTTTATTTATTTCTCTCTTTCCCTTTTCTTCCTTTATTAGGGTATATATAACCATTAAATTAAGCTACATAAATCATAATTAAAGTAGCCTTTGTTTCTGCTTCAATTTCGGCGGCTCAGTTTCTTTCACCTTATTAGGTTGCGACTTTCCTCCATCACAAATATGTAACTTTTTATTATTTTTGTTTTTATTATGTAGTGTTTAATTTATCAACTGGACCTCCCTGAATTTAGTCGAATCCCGATTTGAGCATCCCATTTTTTTTTGTTAAAAATGTAAATATCAGAAAAATAAAATGTTGAGCTAATACAAAGATGCTACTTAATAGTTAATATAGAGTAATCTTGGCAAAAAAATAAATAAAAACAAGATTATAATAAAGAGAAAATGAATTTGCAATGGGTTTTGCAAGCAATCACCGAATCCAAGAGAGAATAAGCTTCCTCCATTAGCATTCCATTTTTATGTATGTTTAGATAGTAGCTGGGTTAATTAACAAGCTCCCAGCCCTCAAATCACGATGCTTGATGTAAAAAGAAAAAATCACGATGCTCTTCATGTTGGGATTATATACGGACCTTAAAATGGCTGACCACAAATAAAGCAGCATTAATCAAATAATTATTCAAAAATGTAGTCTGAGTCTGAGTAATGTATCTAATTATATGGCAGTAATATGCATGCACACTGCAGTATTGTCTCGTCTCATCCACTAGTTGGACATTAAAACGCATGTGCACTATTAACGGTGTCAGACTCCGACTGCCTTACTCTTACCCTTAGATAAACGTGCCCTAACGTTATTGCGCGTGTAATAATGCTAAGCTTTCTCACGTTATAATGTTTATTGCTTAATCCTAGCTTCTCACCAATCTTCTCACCAATCGTCGCCAAACGTAACTTTTTTTTTTGTCCTCTCAATTTTTATTAATAAATTTGTTTTGGAACAAAAAAACACAAAACCCAAACAAAGTCAGTAGACAAAATAATAGGTCCAAGAAATTCACAACCGGAGAAAAACAAGAATTCTTCAAAAACTAAACCCTAGGGAAAGGAAACTAAAGATAATTTACAGAAAAATTCAAACATACAACGAAAGAAGACGCACATTCTACTAAAAACAGAAGTAATAGGCCAAAAGCTTACGAAATACACTAGTTATAAGAGCAAAAAGACCTCTTCTTCTGTAGCACATGCAAAATAGATTTACCATGGCTGCATCCAACCAACCCGAAAAGATTACATCTGTCACCTTCTATCATCAGGGCCGGCGTTGAGGGGGTGCAAGAGGAGCAAATGTACCGGGCCACATTTTTTTTGGGTAAATTTAAGGGTCCAAATGTTTTTTTTTTAAAGAAAAAATGATAATTTTTAAGATTTTAAGATAATTTTAGTATGAAAAAGGCCCAAATATATATTTTTAGTATGAAAAAGACTAATTTTAAAGATTTTTTTAACATGAAAAAGGCCAAATTTTTTTTTTTCTATGAAGAAAGGGCCAATTTTTAAGATTTGTACCGGGACTCTAAATTAATTGAGCCGGCCCTGTCTATCATGATATGAAAGCCGATCTCTATAAAACATTTTAATGGTAAACAATTACCATTTCTTATTTTGTCAACGTGCAATAGTAGTATTTAGATGATGAAGTTAATATCAACGCTTCAATTAATAATACCTTATTCAGTAAGTTTACCAGTCAACCGTCGACGGCCGACCCCAAAAAATGTAGATATAATCAAACAAATAATACAATTGCTTTTACCAAAAAAAAAAAAAAAAAAAAAAAAATAAAAATAATACAATTGAGTTTAGTGCATAAAATCTATAAGCACGATAAAAATTGTTGTAGGTGATTTTGCCAGTTTATATTTGATGTTAACTATATATAATGTACTAGATCCTGACCCGCACGTACGTGCGGGGTTTCATATTTTAAAAGAATTTATAGCAAATTTTAATTTATTATAAATTATTTTGTTGTTTTTATGATATATATTTTAGTGTATTAGATCTAAATCTACACGTACGTGCAGAGATAATTTTATAGAAATTGTTATATATATTTTAAAAATATAAAATATTTTGGTGTGTTATTGAACTTTGTAATAGTATAGATATTATAAAGTTAGAGTAATGAACGAAATTCAGTTGCGTAAGTGCATAATTATATTTTAAGATCCGAACGAATTTAGTTGCAAAAGTTAAATGATGTTACGTTTTTATTTTCTAAGCTAATCGAAACATTTCTAACAGTCTGATTACAGATGTTAATAGGATATGAATTCAGTTGTAGTTTGGTGTAAATATAATATATACAGTGAGTTCTACAGATTAATATGTACGTTATTAAAGTTATAAATATATTTTAACAAATTTATTAATGTTTCTTTCCTTAGGTAAATTTTGCATATTTTTCATTTCATTGTTAAATCATAATTAATTCGACTTTTTGGACTAAAAATAAAAATTTGAGATACATCTATAAAAAGGATATGCTATTGCTGCATAATTTGTTTTGAATGCTAAATATATAATTAGTTCACATTATTTCGAAAACTGTGTAATATATCATGGATTTATTTAAGGAAGATCCGATTGAAAAGGAATAATAAAACATAAAATATTTCGAAATTAATATATACAATCTATTGTTTAGATATTTCCGAAACTTGCTCTAAACGAAGACCATAATGATAATTACTTTAAATTTATCATTATTTGAGTTTATTTCATAGTTATATAAATATTTGTTAGTATCTAATATCGTTTTTTAGAAATTTTGAAATAAAATTTTGTTTTATATTTCAAAATTAGTGAAAATATTATAACAAAACTGAATCTTAAATATTTGTATTTAATTTTTTTTACAAAATTTCAAATTCAAACTTAAAATTCTCCATTGATAAAACTTTTTAAATGATAGTGTCTTTAATTTTGAATTAAAAATGATATTATTTTTCTTTTTATTTTTGATATAGAATAGTCTATTAGGATTGGTTTAGATAAAATCTTAGTTGGATATCAAATCTTAGTTTTTCAATTCTCATTGGTTAACAATTTTTTAGAAATTAATTTCATATTTTCGTTCATAATTAATAAGAGAAAGAAAATGAGTTTAATTTTTTGGAAACTAATAATTATTTAAAAGAATTTTACTATTTTTTATTTTTTATTTAAATATATTAATTTTTTTATTACTATAGTACCCTTAATGAATTTATTTAAAAATACTAAAACTCAATGGCATCTTATGTAATATTTTACCCTTTATAAGGTTATTTAATATCTAGTGATTCCCATTTAATAGTATAGATGCGGGGTTTTAATAAGATTTAAAATAAATTTGTCTTGGCCATTTGAATTTGGGCTGACATGGGCTAGAAAGGGACAAGAGAAGTTGGAATTAATCACGTTTATGTATTCGAATAATACATAAATGGTGTGGATGAGGTGTGTTTTTGTCGTTTCTTGTATTCAACTTGCGGGTTAGATCTTACTTTACATTTGATGTATCATATAAATTTGTAATTGTTTCTTTAAAAAATTAATAAAAACACTAATAGAGGCGATGGCGATGATAGTTGACTGAGTTTATGTATAACAAGCGTTGGAGACAGATGGATCCATAACTCGATTCAAAACAATGAATGCCTGGTTATATATTTGTTTTTGAACGTGTCTTCTTAACGGACCCCATGCTTTCATTGTTTGAACATACTTTTGATTCCATATTCCAATTTTCTAATATAAATGATTACGTTTTAGAAAACTAAAAGGTGGAAGCTGATAGATGGCTTTAAATGGTTGGGCTAACGTAAGTAAAATACAGAGAAGAGAGAGAGATCTAACAGAAGTATGCGATTAAATAAAGATGCTAGTTGGATAAAAAATTAGTTGCCGACAAACAACAATTAAATGAAGGAAGTGTTTTATATGATTGATTGATGATGATACACGCGTGGCTAAAAACTAAAAAGAGAGCAAAGTGAAAAAAGGAAGAAAGAATGGGCCTATGGGAAAAAGCCCAATTGTAACGAGACATTACAATATCAAGAGATGGGTATTTGCGATGATCATCTCTTTCTCCAAATTCTTCTTCTTGGTCGTCGAGCATTCTTCTTGTTCCATGGGCCCATTTGCGATGCTCTCGCTGTCGCTTTCGAGATTCTTCTTCTCGACGGAGCTTTCTTCTTCTGGTTCACCTGCCTGAAATTCCCAGAAGGTCGAGAATTAAGTAAGTAAAGGGAAGAAAGTAGTAATGAACAAGGAAGGAGAGTAGAGTTAAATCAGTAATTACGAAGCTGAAGCGTCTCATCCTCTCATGCTCCTTGGCTCTCAGAGATCGGATTGGGGAAATCTTCTGATGGCCAAATCAAACGGCAATTACTACTTGCTGATCGAGGATATATAAGATCGTAACTAAAAAGAGGCTTACAGAGGAATAGGCGTGGAGCTCCTTCAATCGAAAGAGGCGATCGACCTGGATTTCAAGGCTTTTCTGTGTCTCTCCTCTCTGGAGAAGATGGCTCATCTGCACATCCATGGCTCCATCTCTCTCCTTTAGCAGCTTCTCAGTCCTCTCTCTATCCTCTCTCTGCCTCTCTAGTTTCTTCTTAAAGGCACTAAGCTCCTCCGCAAGAGAAGCATCGATTGCTGTCTCAAGATTCAGATTCTCCTTCAGCTCAGCAGCTTTGGGCTTCACCACGAAAGCATCCTCCTTTGGGGTCTCGAAGATGTTCTTCGGCTGCAGAGCTTTTCGACCTGAACATTTCATTTTTTGTTGTTGCTTGGATTGAGATGAGAGAGAGAAGAAGCAAGCAGGCAGAGCAAACTAATCAAATGGATTTTTTTTTTACTTTTTTTGGTTTTGAATTTGAATTGGGTTCGGCGCTTAACGGCTACTTTTCTTTTTTTCTTTCTTTTTGTCGTATTGCTGCTGCTTCTCTTTCTGTGTGAAAAATGCTGAAATGGCCTCTCCTTTCTATATTTTCATTTTTTCTTAATTGTGAATTTCATTATTGGTTCTTAGATCTATTTTATAGTTAGAAAGTAGTTGATGAACGAAAAAGAAAGTAGTTAATTCTCATCACAGGGACTACTATGATTATTTTGTTTTACTAACAACATTTCTTAAGTTACAAATCCCTCAAAACATTTCGATGGACCTCCATAATTGGGCTATGTTGTTGGGCCACCTGAGTCTTTCGAAACGAAGGTGTCACTCATATGACGACGTTTGGACATAAATTAAAATGAACCAACCAACCAAAAAAGAAGACAAGATAAGATGGCCTCTCTTCTCTCTCCCGCCACGGCCACCGCCACCGCCACCTCCGCCGCTTTTCATTCCTGCTCCACCGCCGGTTTCTCCACTCCCACTCACATTTCATCCCAGAACAGCAGCCGCCGGCCTTATTCTTATATGATGAGATGCAGTTTTTCTCCGCAGGACTTATCTGTTGAGTCTCTCTCTCATCTCCCTGCTTTCCATGACTTTCAGAATTCCCTCGCCACATTTTCGGATACCCAGAAATGGGGGTTCTTTTTCTCCGCCGGACTCGTCTGGTTTTACCTCACGGCGAGGCCTGGTGTTCTCATCGGCGCCATTGACGCCTACCTTCTCGCTCCGCTCCAGCTTGGCCTCGATACTCTGATTGGTAGGAGGTTGAAGAGGTCCGATTTCTTGGTCACAGAGAAACTCGGCGAAGGCTCTTTCGGCGTCGTCTATGCCGGCGTCTTACTCCCCAAGAATTCTACTGTTGTTGATGAGGCGAGGGTTAGCAAAGCAAGAGCTAAAGCTATGGAATTTACCGGCGAATTCAAGCAGCGAGTCATCCTCAAGAAGGTACCCTGAAACTGAAACAATTTTGTTTGTCAAGAAGGCAAGTAAAGACTCATCGTCTTTGATATCAACCAAACCAATGCAGGTCAAGGTGGGAGTACGAGGTGCCGAGGAATTCGGCGAGTACGAAGAGTGGTTCAACTACAGACTCTCAAGGGCCGCTCCCGAGACCTGCGCTGAGTTTCTCGGAAGCTTTGTCGCCGACAAGACCAATACTATGTTTACAAAAGGCGGCAAATGGCTTGTCTGGAGGTTCGAGGTGCTCTTCTTACCTTAGAAAAATGACTCTGCTATTTTTCTTTCTTTGTTGCGATGATGATGATGATGATGAATGTTTTCTTCAACAGGGAGACCGTGATCTCGCTGATTACATGAAAGATCGGAGCTTTCCTTCCAATCTGGAGTCCATCATGTTTGGGCGCGTTCTCCAAGGAGTAGAGTCTGTGAAACGTCGTGCATTGATCATTAAGCAGATCATGCGCCAGATCATTACATCTCTCAGGAAAATCCATGATACGGGCATTGTTCACCGGGACGTGAAGCCTGCCAACTTGGTGGTTACAAAGAAGGGCCAGATTAAGCTCATCGACTTTGGTGCTGCTGCTGATCTTCGCATTGGCAAGAATTACATCCCGGAACGCACTTTACTCGATCCTGACTACTGTCCTCCTGAGCTCTATGTCCTCCCTGAGGAAACGCCAAGTCCTCCTCCCGAGCCTATTGCCGCTTTGCTTTCCCCGATTCTCTGGCAGGTGCTTTTCATATTCTTGTATGCCAATGTAATGTTTGCCTTCTTTCACTTGAGTCTTTGCCTGATTTGGAGTGCTCATTTTTACAGTTGAACAGTCCGGATCTGTTTGATATGTATTCTGCTGGGATTGTGCTCCTGCAAATGGCGGTTCCGACCTTAAGATCTACTGCCGGTCTGAAGAATTTTAATCTGGAGATCAAGTCAGTTGAATATGATCTTAATAGATGGCGGGACAGGACTCGCACGAGGCCAGACTTGAGCATACTAGATCTGGACTCGGGCAGAGGGTGGGACCTCGTCACTAAACTCATATCCGAGAGAGGTTCTCTGAGACGTGGACGCCTTTCAGCAGCTGCTGCTCTCAGACACCCTTATTTTTTGTTGGGTGGTGATCAAGCGGCCGCTGTTCTTTCAAAGCTCACTTTCAGCAAGTGACTCTGATTTTATTCTTATGATGTAAATGTACACAATAACACAACTCCGTTCCTTAAATATATTTCTGGTATATTCTCTGCTTATTGATTCATGATCAAACGAGTTTTGTTTTGTGTGAGCGGTTTTGCATATCAAAGTAGCCGTCATCAGGTCTTATTCAGAGGCTGCAGAGGTATGTTTGTATTGATATTGCTCTGGAATCTCCCTCCAAGGTATGTTTAAACAATCATCTTCATTCTTCACATATATAATATTTATTAAACACTTGTATACACTGATCTTTGTATTCACGTAGTTGTGATTCACATTAAAGCTCGTCGTGCGTGAGGAGGGCATCAAGAGCAGTGTGATTCTTTTTCTTGCATCCCCACCTGCATCTCCAGCTACACAAGGAGTTGAAGATGGCTAGTCGCTTCGACTGCAGAGATATGATTTTTGAAGCGGTGTGAGCTCTTGTGAGGTAAACCGCATAGCCGTCATCCATGAACTCTGCCCCTTGAGGGAAGACCTGCCAGACCAGACTCCCGGCACCAGCCCCTCCTTTCCTTGTTGAGTTGAGGGTCATCTTGTACACCGTATTCAACATCATGTCACGGAAAGACGAGTTGAAACCAGGGTCATGTGCAGACACACCAAACTCTGTGAACAGAACCGGCATTCCCAAGTACATCTCTGCGTCCTCCACATGAGCTTGCATCCAAGAGCTAGTGAATTCCAGGAAAGAATTTGATACTGCCGGAGATATCCTACAGTTAACAATTATTTACTGCATTTTTCAGCTGTTCTCTGTTTTCAGATTCAGGGCAGTGTCTGTTTCTTGTTATTTTGCATCAAAAACTTACCAGGAATCTGGATAGACGTGAACCGAAGCAAAATCGATGCCAAGAACCTGATTATTTCTGATGAAGTCAGTTCCGACTTGTGCAGCGTAGGGGTTGGGATTGAATCTGGTTCTCACAGGGGCAGAGGGACCATAGAAGCCTTCAAGTCCGATCTCCACCAAATGTTTAGCGTCTAAGCTCTTCACAAACACCGCCATTTCTTGTATCCAAGACTGGAGTTTGTCACCGGAGGGATCAGAGGGGCAACGAGGCTCATTCATGAGTTCCCAGGCGAAGATGGTGGGGTCGTTCTTGTAAGTTATGTTTGTGAAGGTGTTGACTCTATTCAGCACTGTCTGCAATGCAACGACATTGAAGTTACAATTTTTCCCTGATGGGTAAAAAGTTGTGCTTTTCGGATAAATAAGCAATGAATGTTTGCTGAGATGGATGGAATAATCACCCGGACATGGGATTGGTAGAAGTTTCTGAGGGTGGGGTTGGTGAAGAAGTCGTCGTCGGAGGTGAGATTAAGGCCGGAGGCGTTGCCCCATTTAACGTACTGAGCTTTGCCGCCATAGGCGTCCCAGTTGTTGACCAATGACAGTATAAGCCTGATCTTGTACTTTCTGGCCTCGCTCACCACGAAGTCGAGGGCCTGCCCAATTGCTCAACCCTTTAAATAGAAAAGAGTCTTGAAGGAAGAAGCTTTAGGCGTAGAGATATACCTTGAAGACCTCTTCATCGTAAACAGAGGGAGATTTCTGGAGAGCTCTCCATTGGCCGTCGTTGAAAGCCCATGTCCTGCCTACTGTCATTCCAACCGCGGAGGCTTGTTGGAACACTTCCGTCACTTTGCCTCTCGTGGAATTGTCAGCTGCAAGAGTCATCATCCAGTATGTGTTGAAGCCATTCACATAGAATGGTTGTCCATTTAGGATGAATTGCATCCCTTTCCTCTGCACCATCTCCCATTCTTCTTCTCCTACTGATTCTGAGTTAACCCTGCAAAATCAGCTTCAATCTGTCATTCTTCCCTAGAAGTAAATGATTCCGAGACCAAGTTTTTGAATGATCGTAATGTTAGTACCCGTGGGACTCGCTGTCCAAGTCTGCGAGAGCTCTGTTTTGTGTCAGAATTATGAAAATCGCAGAACAGAGCACGATTCTGAATCCACGTTGGTCCTTCATTTTTCGCAGGTTATGGATGAGAACAGATTCATTTTCGTTTGGTTGCATGCTTAGGTATATATACAACTCATCTACAGAGCCAATAAAACTTGGACTTGATTTTTTTAATCGAAAACATTAACTTACAAGGCAAGGAAAACGTTCCTAGGTTTCAGCCCAAAAGCAAAGAGATAAACCTGAAGCACATGTTGGAGAGATATCAATCAGAGGACTGAAATGCTAAGTAACGTGTCACTGCTAAGCAAAGATTCGAAGCCAACCCACTAGAGTTAGCTGACATGTCAAATTCAATTTTTCTCGTGCAAGCTTCGGACCAACCCATCTTTAAAGTCATTTCACAAAGAAGGCGACTGAGTAATCTTTTTTTTCTTTCCGGATTTTCTATTTGAGCACGAAAATGTACAATGTGATCCAAAACAAACCCTCTTTACCGTGACAGCTCAATTGCCGAAAATAGAAATAGGCAACTCATGTTTTTGCATTACTTGCATATAAAAGACACGTTACTCTTTACTCTTAGCAAATTGGCATCCTTTGCGTTTTGTCTCAGCAACTGATCACTAAAGAAGTTCCATTAGGCATACACTAAAAAAAACATCTCACAAATGTTTTCGAGAGTTTTAGTTCAGTCCTACATCTCTCAGGACGCGGGAAGTTTAATTAGTATAGTAGAGAAAGCATCTTCTGGTTCAAGATTGTACAACTGACTAACAAAGTCAGAAGAAATCACTAAAAATCTTACAATGGACCTTGCCCAGCACGTGGCTCTTGAAGTTCCATATCTTCATGAGTTTATTCACAGGAGATTTGGTACGTCAATTGACGCTACTAAACCACACTGCACAAGAACAGACCCAAATGAGACCAATTTATCAGTGTCATTTTATACTTTCATATTTCCTCATCTTTCCCCTGACCTGAACGCAGCAATCAGATGGTTGCAGAGATTATTCTACTTACCATCTCACATCTGAGATTAAAAAGACCATTGTCCTCCTCCGCAAGAGATGTGTCAGGACTTTTGCAGCAGATGCAGATTACGAACGCATCTAAGACACAATGATTACATATCAGACAAGACTCCCACCACTACAAAAAAAAAATATCAACACCGGAGACTAGTTACAGAATTTACCAATGTATTTCCGGAACACAGCTTGAAAAACCTTAGAAGACACTAAACCCTTCATCTCTAGCCGCTGTTGTTTATTCAGCGATCCTTTTGTCTCCATTTGGGCAAGTAAGAATTTCATGACATGATCTGGCTTCCTATGCATCCTGAACAATGTGTATTTAAAAGTGATATATCGCTCAACAACTAGAAGTTAACGGGAAGATGAGTTACAAGTCATACGTTGTGCAGAGATCAGCAAAGTTTAAACAAAGTGTTATAGTCCCTTGTGCAAGGAGCCGAGGAGGCATCATCACTGTTCTTGGCCTCTCTGTTGAAACCTCGAGATCTTCGTCACGAAGCCTATTAAACACCATACTCAAGAGCTGCAAAGCGTAGAAAAGCTCGGATCATAATTGAGAACAAGTAGCAGCCAAGTGAAGAGAAAATCAATATACCAAAATAGCATAACTGAAGGCCTCTAATCACAGCTAAAAGTACCTCTTTGTAGCCATAGTCTGGCTCAAAGTTCCGGCCAGATTGACAGTGTGGAGCGTTATCCTCTGTTATGACAACACCAATTATAGGACAGTAGTTTCAGGCACAATATAGAGTTGGGTTTGGGTACGATTAACTGATTATAACTCTTTGGAAAGCTAATTAATTACCGGTAAAGTCTCCTCCTTTCTGGAAGAAGATGTCGTCTTCGCGTATCAGAGGCTTCCTCTTCTTCTTCTTCTTCTTGGAAGGATCAAATTTACTGACCTACATCAGCATAAGCTATAGCAAATCGGAACCCGGAGATACGGTGAGATTAAGTGGTGGAGAAGCATACCCATGAAGAATCGTTATCTAAAACCTCGAGTTCAACTTTCCAACAAGCCTGCTTTTGCTGTAAATCCATCGTCGCCGGCGGGTCGACTAGTTTCAGCGATGATCGGAGGAAGATCAAAAATGAAACCAGGGTTTGTTATTGGGCCCGAATTGGGCCTTCAGACATTGATTTTGGTGTAACGATTTTTTTTTTTTTTTTGTTGGTATCTTGGTATTGAAAAGAATATATTACAGCGTTGAATTGGTTAAAAAGTAAGAAACGTTGAGTCAAAAAAGAGAGAACGTTTTTTGGGTATAGGTAGAGATTTATACAGAGATGGTTGAAGTCAGCGAGGAGCGATGCTGGGAACAAAACCGCTGCTGAGATCGCTTCCTAAAAGGCTCGACGACTCGTATAGGTCTCTTGTCACATTCGACGACGATGTTGAGAGCACTGACGAAGACGACGCCATTTCCACTCTTGCCTCCTTATCGGGGGCTGCTTGGAGCAGTGCTTCCAGCTCCTTCACCACCTCCGCCATTCCTGGTCTCATCTCCGGTGAGTCGTGGCTACATCTCAGTGCCAAAGCCGCAAACTTTTCAACACTTTCCATCGACCACGGCTCCATTCTCTTGTCTATCAGCGACACCATCATATCCCTCTGATCCGCCGTCTTCACCTCTCGCACTATATTTTTTCCATGGGATATGGCGTGCATACCAGTCAGCAGCTCCAAGAACACAACTCCGATGCTGTAAACATCGCTCTTGTCCGTCAGCTTGTGTGTCAGGAAATATTCAGGATCCAGGTACCCCTGCAACATTCAAAAAACTAAGCAATGGATCTGTTGTGCCAATATATGCTTCAAATCATTCATTTTGATGACTCACTGGAGTCCCACGGACAACGGTTGAGACGTACTTAGGCACATCCTCTTCGTCCTCCAAAACAGGAGCAAGTCGAGACAGTCCAAAGTCTGCAACTTTGGCATTGAAGTTGGGGTCAAGGAGGATGTTACTGGCTTTGATGTCTCGATGGAAAACTGGCGGGTTGGCTTCTGTGTGAAGGTAGAGAATACCTTTCGCTGCTCCCAACGCAACACGAATCCTCATCACAAAGCTCAATGACTCCTTCCCCTTAGCTGCACCACCAAATATTCCATCAATTGAGAAAACTAAATGACACACATCCAAAAGCGCCCTATGAATCATAGTGAATTTCTACCAGACAACCAGTCGCGCAGGGTGCCATTTGACATAAATTCGTACACCAGCATCTGCACATTCAGCAACTTCATAAGCAATTATTAAAGCTATCTAACTGATAGCACCTTACTATGGCGGCTCTACCGAGTACCAAGAGAGTACCTGCTCGCCTTCTTCGTCACAATAACCAATCAGTGACACTAGATTCCGGTGATGCAACCTCGAGAGCAACTCTATTTCATTCAAGAACTCCTTTTCACCTTGCAAAGACCCTTCATCTGCTCGCTTTATTGCAGCAACAGTTTTGTCAGATAACACACCTCTGTATACCTTTCCATAGCCTCCGCGTCCAACCAAAGTTGAGCTGCTAAAATCGTCGGTGGCCTCCGCTAGTTCTTTGAAACTAAAGCCTCTTATCCCAGAATTCATCAAGGAAGCCTTCGAGGCTGACAAATACAACCAGATTCAGTTAAAGTTGGTTCTAAATCTCAGTGGGAAAGATTGGGAATAGAAGATTTGGTTACACTTACAAGACCGTCTTCTAGATATCTCTCTCTCTTGCTTGCTGTATCTTCTAAGTAACAAGGCTGCAACCACAGCGGATATCGCAACAGCAGTCACCACAGCCCCTGCAGTTATTGCTGCTAATCGTCCCCAGCCTACGCCTTTCCTTTCACTGTTGAAGTTAACTGAGGAGATAAAGAAGAGTTTCACTTATCAGTCAGTCTAGATCTACTTGTGTAAAAAACACTTATTAGGTTAAAGAGGCGCACCATATGAATAAGGCCCCTGCAGAGTGAAGTTTAGCAGTTCATACGGACCGAATAAGTCACTACCAGGAAATCTCCATGAAGCGAATATGCCTCGGATTCTGAGAACTTCACTCTTGTTAAATGTTCTTGTATAGGTTTCATTAACTTTCGGAAAAAGTTTCAAATACATCCTCAGACGAGGCCCTTTCTCCCACTGATATGAGTCGATCCAGAATTGATATGGTTCCATTTGAAGGAAATCGGCAACATACTCGCCAAATTGATCAATATATGGAGGGAAGTATGAGAAACTAGGACTTTTGAGACGATATCCAATTCTGAGAGGCGCTGCACAAAAGCATCGTAATGGGGATGCTGGACTGTATTCGTAGAAGTCAGGAGTGGGACAGGCTAGAGGAGGACAGTCCAGTGCAGAATTAGTTGAGTTGAATGGTAGTGATGTCCACTCTTTTCCTTTGGACTCACAGAATAGGTTTGCGTTTGATATGCTTCCGTTAGTGCAGATCGGATTACCATCAAGCCTGGAGAATAATTAAACTTTCTGTAATAAGAATTCAAAACAGAAACATTAAAAAGCTAGCCAAGGTACAGATACGACTACGGAGCACCTTAAAGTGACATTTTGTGGAGGAGTTAGATCTCCTTGAACATGTGACAGAGAATTATTCCTAAGATCACTGTAGCAACGAGAGAAAAGAGGAAAATTAGAGAAGTCGATGAAGTGCAAGTGAATGCAAGTGAAGTAGGGAAACAAAGATTTTACAGTAGAAGTCTAGCTTTCTTCGGAAAAGAGATATTCTTCCAAAGGGAATCAGGGACAGATCCAGATAACATATTGTTTTTCAGCAATCTGCAGAAGATGATATTTTTATTTGCCAGTCAACATTGTTACTCACTAGCTTATTCATTTTGGATATAAAGAAACATAAACTTAATAACTCACAGCATCTGAAGTAAAGGGAGATCTGAGAAGCTCTGCGGGATGGATCCGTTAAGTATGTTGTTTGATAAATTACTGTAATTAACCAGTATAAAACCCAAAGCAGTAAGGTATACGTGTAAACACAATTGAAGGTCGCCGGTTAAGAATAAAGGAACAGAATTAACAACTGTACAAAGCATACATGGTTGTCACATCCTTAGAAAGATTAGAAGAAGGTATAGGTCCTGTGAGCTCATTCAAGCTAAGATCCCTGTAGCGAACAAGAAGCACAAACAGATTCACAACATTGGAAAGAGAATCCATGCATTAAGATTGATCAGAACTTACAAGTATTTGAGATGACGTATCTTGCTAAAATCAGGAAGTGTCCCTTTCAAACTACAATTTCTAAGACTCCTGTAAGTGCAAAAAGACGAATGAACATAATTAGTTCTCTCTATATCTTTGAAATGAAACAAGGACTAAATAACAGTGTCCTGAAACTTACAGCTTCAGAATACTCGAAAAGTTTCCATAGGAAGCTGGGATATCAGATCCACTGAAGTTGTTATTATCCAGTTGCCTGCAATTGAGGACAATAACCATAAATCAAACAAATTACTTGTAGAACGAGGTAAACACACACAATAGAGAAACATACAGGATTTGCAGGTTCGGCAATGCAGAGAGTTGTGGTGGAAGATTTCCAGATAAATTATTGTTGTCTAACAGCCTGCACATTTAGTTTGACCCCTTTAACCATCATGATGTAACAAATCATGGAAGCAGTGGCAACATTGTGGCAATGACTCACACATGAAAGATGTTAGTAAGATTGGAAAGCTCAACTGGAATCTGGCCGCTCAACGAATTATTGTTGAAGTGACTGTACAAGGCCAAGAGAAAAATCTATGAGATGATATTGAAAAAGCTGCGTCTAAGTATGATATCATATCACTGTCTGGCTTGATGTTCAGACTCACATATGTTTCACTTTTTTCAAGTTGGAAAAAGACTTTGGTATTGGTCCTGTGATGTTATTCTCATCTATCTGGAACCTGTTCAAGTTCGAAAGATACCCGAGTTCGCTTGGTAAAGGCCCTGAAAGTTTGTTTCCATTCAGCAGCCTGACCACAGGTTACAGAATCAGAAGATAAAGAAAATGAACACACATGCTTATAAAAAAAATTGTTCCATCTAGAGCAACGATTATTTATCAGGTATTCAGGTAGGTCCAACTTACAAGAGTACCAGGGATGATATCTGTCCTATCTCGTTTGGAATTGAACCACTTATATTATTCCACATGAAATCTCTTCATAGATGCCACATGAAAGAAAAATTTCAGAGTCAGTAGAAACTGGAGTAACCATAATATAGGGCGGTCCAAAATAAACACTTTGCAAAGCTTTACATCTTGAAACTTACAATATTTCAAGATGAGCTAATTTTCGGAGCTCTGGTGACAAACTCCCGGAGAGATTCATATTCATCAGCAGGCTGCTTGGCAACAAAAGGAAGAATCAGGGAAGGAATCCTATTATAGGAATAGCTGGTCATGTAAGCAACTGTTCCGAGAAAAGAGAAAGAAAAAAAATAGAAAGACAACTGAACCAGCTTCTCCAAAAAGTTAAGCCTGTTAACTCCAGCATATATACAAGCAGACTAACAACGAAAGGAAGAAGGCACATAAGAAAAAAAAAAGGAAAAGAATCATACAGTTCTCGGACATGCAGGTAGTCGTCAGTACCAATCTCATTAAAGCAGATAACTCCAGTCCAATTAGATCTGCAAGGGTCTCCTCTGTTCCAGTTTCTCAAATAATCTTTAGGGTCAATTAGACTTCTCTTAACTGATCGTAAAGCAGAGACTGCGAATGGAAAAGATAGTCGAGAATCACGTAAGAAAACAAGATGACTAGAATTAAATTTGGAAGCAGTAACAAAACAAAAAGGAAGTCACACCTTCTGAAGGGTGTGTTCTTTGTGCATCGGCAAGAAGAAGGACGCAACAACAGGCAACAAGGAGGGCATGTGGATAGAGTCTTTGAGGGAACACCATGGTGCCTTTGGAAAGCGTAACAGCGTAAGAAGCAGATAGATATAGATGAAATACAACAGGGAGCGTTTCTGAGGTTCCAAATTTCAGTAAATTTAATCAATCCAAGCGCACAAGGAGCTCGTATTTAAGACAGAGTAGCTAAAATTCAAGCCCCACGCATTCAATAGCTCAAAGACAAGGTATCATTACCTCACTGTCGAGATCAGCACTATGAGAATTTTCCAAAAAGGCAAGCGGATAAGAATCCCAGAAAAAACAGCTGGGAGGGCAAATCCCTGAAAACGGCGAGAAGTCAATATATGCAGACGGCAATGCAGATCAGAATTAAATCATCGGAGAGAGAGAGAGAAGGGGGAAGAAATGACCTTGATGGGTGCTTGGTTTGATCTTGACTTGTCTGCCATAAAAAAAGCTTAACCCTTTAGTACTGGGTTGACTCTACCTGCTCCAAAAGTACAATCGTGCTTCGTGCGTGACCCTTTTTGACAAATAAACAAAGTAGAGAAAGTAGAAGAAACCCCATTTGCCAGCCGTTATCATCGGCAACCCAACATTGACGGCGTTTCCAGACGCGCTCTTGTGCTTGTAGTTGTAGGGGTCGCTTTCTACTCATGTCAACAACTTCTCAGTCTTGTTCCTCCGTTCCATCTTACACAATTTACGACGCAATTATTACAACAGAGAGATCCCCCATCCCATTGGGCATTGGCTGTAGTAAAAAACACGCATGTTATTGCATACAAGCCCATTTAGGTTATGAGGCCCATAATGTATTTAGTAGGAGGCTTGCATAGAAGCCCATTTAGAGGTGGATGGGCTCTGTCTTAAAGAAGAGACTGTCGTCGCTTCCTCTTAAGTCAACCCTTTGGATTGGATCCACAATGCAATTCGTCCACTCTCAACCGTTGATTTGATTCACAGACAAACAATTCATCTCTCTCTCTCCGCAGCTCGCCGGATCTCCTCCGTTGTCTTCTTCCTCTGGGCTCCGTTTAGCTCAATCCCTTTTTCGGAAAGACTCCGTGACTCGACTCGATCCTAGTCTAAGCGATCGCCTACGTTTTATTTTTCTTTTTGACGCTATTCTTCTTCTTCTTCATTCATTTCCCCTCTTATTCATTGGCTTTAGGGTTTCATACACGATATGAGCTAAATACGATTTGATTTTACCTAAATAAGCTTTCTTCTATTGCTTCTCGTCGTTGCAGGTACTCTTTTTTTTGTTGTTGTTGCTTTATCTTCCTTATTGAAAACGCGTTTTCTTTCCACGATTTCGACCACTGTTAGTTAATCATCTTCATCATATGTTTTTAGGGTTTTCTTAAATGGAAACGCCCGGCGGCAATCATGATTCCTTTAGGGGTTCTCCTCGCAGAAACTCCATCCTCTCTGCTTCTAACATCATCCAGGCCCCTATTTCTACCTTGTTAGAGTATTCGGGTCTCTTTCGCACTAGGCCTAATCCTAGTCAGGAGGCTGAAACGCTGGTTACTGATGATTCTTCAGGAATCTCCAATGGGGAGGTTGCCATTAGGATCATTGGCAACGGGGAGCAAGATGCTGAAACTGATAGCAATGGTCTCAGGGAACCCGGCGGCCTTGGACACACTGAACTTTTGGGTTCTGCTACTCAGGTTGATCCCATAGGAGGTGCTCCTTCAGAAGGTGCCTCTCAGGCTGCTCCTGGTGAATCTGTTGCTGGAGACGCCGCCACCCGGGATTCACCTTACCAAAGATATGATATTCAGCAGGCTGCACGCTGGATTGAGCAAATTCTTCCCTTTTCTTTGCTTCTGTTGGTTGTTTTTATCCGCCAGCATTTGCAGGGTATCATATCTCTTGTGTCTTTTCTCATGGCCACTTCACGCCTGTTTTGTTATTTATTTGACTTTTCCTGCTATCTCTCAGGCTTCTTTGTCGCTATTTGGATTGCTGCTGTCATGTTCAAGTCAAATGATATTCTTAAGAAGCAAACAGCTTTGAAGGTTTAATTTTGCTTTTACTTATTTCTTTTCCAATTCAATGTTCAAATGGGTAGTCTAAGTCTCTTATTATATTGTGATTTCAGGGTGAGAGGCATATCTCGGCATTAATTGGAATCTCTGTAGCATTTACGGCCCATGTTGTTGGTGTTTATTGGTGGTTTAGGAAAGATGACCTCTTGTATCCCTTAATCATGCTGCCTCCAAAGTCCATACCACCTTTCTGGCATGCCATTTTTATCATAGTGGTTAATGGTCTGTACTTTCTCTGCTGTATTCTTTCCCTTGTTTTAATGCGTCTCGTTTCATCAGCTAACAGTTCATCTCTTCTTTTATCTTTTCATCACAAAATATTAGCAATTCTCTCTTCATGCATTATTCCTAATATCATTCATTGTTGTATCCTGTTGGATCATTTGGTACTTACTCGACTTGTACTTGTGCCTATTTTCCTCAGATACACTTGTCCGACAGGCCTCAATGATTTTCAAGTGTTTTCTGTTGATGTACTACAAAAACAGTAGGGGTCGAAATTATCGTAAACAGGTGATGTAGAAAAAAAGTTCTTCTCTGTCCCCTTTACCTGTATTCAGTTTCAACTTTGGCAAGCGATACATAATTTGGTCATTCACTTTCTATGCAGGGTCAATTGCTAACTTTGGTTGAATATTTGATGCTTTTGTATCGCTCTTTACTGCCTACCCCTGTATGGTACCGTTTCTTCTTGAACAAGGATTATGGAAGCCTCTTCTCCTCTCTTATGACGGGATTATATCTTACATTCAAGCTCACTTCAGTTGTTGAGAAGGTAGGTGGCTTTCTAGAATTTTAGATTCCTTTCTTTTTTGTGTGGAAGCTAAGGGGAAATTGGTGATGAGATTCAGGTTCAATCCTTCTTTACGGCATTGAAGGCTTTGTCACGTAAAGAGGTGCATTACGGATCATATGCAACTACAGAGCAGGTATAATTTATTGTCTCGCAAATTCGAATCGACCTTATGCCTCTTAAGGTTTAAGCCCACATGAGCAAAGAAGTGGCTTTCTATGTGTGCAGGTAAATGCGGCAGGCGACCTGTGTGCCATCTGCCAGGAGAAGATGCACACCCCAATTCTTCTTCGCTGCAAACACATGTTTTGCGAAGATTGCGTTTCGGAGTGGTGAGGTGTTTGTGCATATAGCAATTATCTTTGTATATGAATCATGATGTTGAAAGAATGTGATTATGACTGGGCAGGTTTGAGAGAGAGAGAACGTGTCCTCTGTGCAGGGCCTTGGTCAAACCAGCAGATCTAAAATCATTCGGTGATGGATCCACCAGCCTCTTCTTCCAGATTTTCTGATTAAAACACATACAAGATTCCAAAGTAAAAAAGACCCTCAAGACTCACTTGCTTACTCGATAGTTTTCTTAGAGAGTATTTCTATACAATGCCATTCAAGCTGTGAAAGACACCACTGATGCCTTGAAGATGTTCATACTATGTCATTTGTTAATATGAAATAGCCTTTTATATTCCGTTGCAAAAAACAATCTGATTTCATCGTGAAAATCATGACAAGAAGAAATATAAGTAATAATAATGAATTCAAGAAGCTGAAACCACATTTGCACACACAGAGCTCTCTTCAGCGACCACAAAAATCTCTCTAATCATCTCTTGACTCGGAGACTGTGGGCGCTCGGCAGGTGAAGAAGTCATCAACGTGGATACTAAAGGGTAAACTTGTGCCACCTCTTCACTGCCCTCGTCTATGTACACAACATCCTGCATCGTAAGCTGGTGGTATTCGACTATCTCCCTCAAGAACCGGTTTTCCCTCGCGTACACTGAATTTTCATGAGCCAACCGTGCTTTCTCTGCCAGTAGGCTCTCTAGCTGGAGCCGAATCTGATACAACAGCGTCACACCGAGTTGTTAGATGGAATGCAACACACAAATTAGAACATGAGCTCAGTCAATTCTTTACCAAATCTTCGTCTGCAGGGTTGCTTCCTTTCTCACGGTGGTTCTCTCTCAGATGTTTGTTCTCTTCCTCAAGCTGAGCACAACGCTCTTTCGCAAATGCAAGATCTGCTTTCACAGTTTTCAGCTCACGGAGGAGTAGTTTTGCTTTAGCAGCTGTGGCCATCGCCACCTGCAGCTCACAGAAGAAACTATCAACGAACAGAGCTATCATAAATTACCAACCAAACAACCATCAAAAGACTGGACATTACATCGCGAGATGCCTTGAGTTGAGTTTCATGTTCCATATGATTTAACTGCATTGGCTGCTCTGGAGATTTCTTCCATGAGCTACTTACTCCATAAGATTGATTTTGATTCTCATCTTCACCACCAGTTCCTCTTCGTCTGGTTTGAAGTTTTCGAGTTTCCTGGATGATATCAGCTGTTTTGTTCCCAACGAGTGTTCGGCCATCCTAGAGAAACAAGGAACAGATCTAAAGCAATTCAACCAAAATAATGAAAAAGCGGAATGACAGAGAAAAAGAAACACCTCAAAGGCTTTCTCAAAAGTGTCACCGATCTGATTAAGAGAAGATGTAAGCTTATCCAGCCCTCTCCGAAGCTTGGGATTATCCATTTTCTTGAACCCTTCGTCTGATAGGTATGAAAACCGGGACTAGAAACAAAGACCAAAACCATGATGACGTCAAATCAAGAGGATGGATCATAAATGTACTTGAGATGAGCAAAACAAAACCTGAGAAGCTGTTGAGCTATCACTGGATTTATCATCTTCAATAACAGATTTTGCTTTCTGGGCTATGACTCCCCACAAGCCCTTCGGCTCGGTCGTAAAATTCTGCAGTATACATTTTCCAGAAAACATAGGATCAATGGGAGCAGAAAGATCATGATCCCCAGCTTATAATCACAACTCCTAACAAAACTTTGGATGAAAGCTATAAGACCTACATAACCTCTAAATTCGACCTCACAGCTGAATCTGATCAGAAAGTTTAGCATTACAGACAGTCAAAAGTCGTCAAAGATTGGTCACTAATGATATCCTAAGAGCGGATCATGTAAATGCAGAAACATAAAGTGACTCAGTTAAGAAAAAGGAGAAACCTTAGATCTGGGTTGGTCAAAAGCAGGGGACTCACGGAAGGATGAAGGAGATGTCAAGGATCGAGCTGGCGGTGATCTATCCTTGACGGCAGTGATGCTTTCCGGGGGAAGCCGATCAATCTCCTCCTTGAAAGTCGCAAACTTTCCGATCCCCTGCCTTCTTCTATACGCCATAATTTAGGTTCCAAGACGATTGATAAAAAAAAGAAAAAATTATATGGACAAATTGATGGATGCGGACCCACGAGGCTCGAAAGAAGCCAGAGATTATTTAGTCTTTGTTAATGTCCCTTGGACAACTCGACAGAATCTGTGATATTTTGTCCTTAAAACCAAACAGCTTTCTATGTTGAGTCTCAAATCAATGTGGAAGCATCTTCATTCCCAAACCCAGTTCTATCTACAAAAGATTTGATAAATCAATGAAAGCTCTTTGTGTGCATCATCATTAAGCTTATGTTCATAACCCAAACCTGTCATATAAACCTGTAAAAAAGGAAAAGGTCATGATGACGCTTGAAGCATCTGAAAGAGCTGCCAGCTTGTCTTTCTTTAACAAGGATCTCCATGAGAGTTGCCGAGTCCACACCACAAGAGTCCCGTCCCTTTACTTGTATGATTCTGGAACACTAGAAAACTTTGCATCTGAGGCAAATGTACGTTGTTCCACTTTGGCAATTTCATAGAATTTGAAGACCCTCTTCCTGAGCCGGAGAGTTTGGTTGCCAATATCCTTTTAGTCTAGCTCTAGAGAGATAAACGTTAGAAAAAGACTCCCCTAGGAAATTTACACAAGACCCCCCATCCGTCGTCGTTGACCCCCTTTCCGCCATAAAATCCCAACGCCTGTTTCTGCCATTTTCTTGCATCGAAACTATTCCCTTGTTTGCTTGGACAGATGACTCCTTCCTAGTATTTTTGAAGATCCGGGCGTATTTCTTCGGTAATTTTATCTCTTCATCCTTAAAAATTTGTTACCTGACATCCTTTTGTTTGTTTTTCCTTGTGAAATTCGAGCAATTGGAGATTAGCGTGGGTGAATCCGAATCCGCTCTGATCTAACCCTCCTTGGTCATGTTTGCCCCTTTTCAGACCTCAAAGTTGCTGCCTTTGGATCCGATGGAATCACAACCTCCGGGACCTTCTAATGGGGATAGCAGCAATTCAATCCCATCTTCTGCCTGTAATCTGTGCGGAAGAGTCGTCCAATCTGCTTCCGATGATTTTGAAATCTTCAGCTTATGTGTCGACTGTAAGTTTTTGTTGCTTGAAGATTTCGGCACCCCCGCACCTCCCTTGGCTCGGAGGCAGACTATTAGAAGGAGGAGGATGAGGAGGAGGACAAGGAGGAGTAGGCACGACAGCTCTGAGTCTGTCGGTGATCTTTCCACCCAACAGTTCACACACTTGATAAGCATGGCAAGACAAAGCCTTTCAACGGTTCATGCTAGTGAGGATCAACGTGATGACCAGCAGCGCACTAGCTCCCATACCACTCCAAGCGGTTCTACAAGATGGAGAATTTTCTCAGAATCTGAAAGTGATGATTTTGACAACTTTGGCGAAACCGAATCAAACGCTAGTTTTAGCCTCTACAGATTTCCCCATGCTGATAACGATGCCATTTCTTTTAGTGCTTACGGTGGAGAATCTGATGCTTCCACGGACAGGCATGCTTTCCTGGATGCGGAAATCTTTGTTCAACCAGACGACAGGAGCGACATTGACTTTGACACTGATATAGACCCGATGCATGCTGGTCTTAACCAGTGGAACTCAGACGAAGAAGACAGGGAATGGGAGGAAGGAGCGGGTCCATCTGGGGTTGCTGGAACACGGTATAGAAACTATTTGGCAAGTCCAAGTGAGAGCTACAGCTCCATGACTCGGTTTGATTCACCCGAGTTAGAGAGAGGCTTTCGTCAAAGAATTTTAGAGAGGAGGCAGGGGTTATCTCGCAACATCTTCACTGGTTTGGAGGATTTGGAGTTCTCTCCCTATGCTGCAAATGTTGCGGATTATCTTGATGAGAGAGGCTTTGAGGAACTGCTTGAGCAACTTGCTGAGTCTGACAATTCAAGAAGAGGTGCACCACCTGCATCTGTGTCATGCGTCAGGACTCTTCCAAGGGTTATCATTGGAGAGGAGCATGTAATGAAGGGCTTAGTTTGTGCAATCTGCAAGGAGCTTTTCACCCTCAGCAATGAAACCACGCAGCTTCCGTGTCTACATCTATACCATGCTCATTGTATCGTACCTTGGCTGAGTGCCCGTAACTCCTGCCCACTCTGCCGTTATGAGCTCCCAACAGATGATAAAGATTACGAGGACGGAAAGCATAATGTGCTGGATGTGAGCGAGGATAGCTCCTCTGATGACGATGGCACAGAATCGGGGGAAGAGGAATATGTAGAGAGAGGTGAGAGCGACTCTGGTGTGAACAGAGTTAGCAGAGGAAGATGGCTGTTTCTGGCTGCTGCACCAGTTGTGAGTCTGGTGGGCGTTGTGTTGGCAATGTGGCTAAGCAACCAACAGAGGAGGGATATAGCAATCTCTCATAGCCAAAGGGGGAATAGAACCAGAAGATGGCTGCCGTTTTTCTGACTGATGCCCAGATCCGTAGGTGCCTCCAGAATCTGTATTTTTTCAGACCCTTAAAAGATACTTGAGTTTCATCTGCTGTTTATCGACTTGTACTGTTTCCACACGTTAGTTTTAATTGACGTTTAACTAAAGTTGTGCTGTTTGTCGTGTGTTGCAAATAATATTCTTTGATATATCCAGAGAAAAGGGAGTGCCCATTAGTTGAAAAGAGTTATGAAACTCACATTTACAGAGGAAAGAAACAAAAAATGACTTTTGGTTGGTTCAGGCACATAGGAGATGCCACTGTATTTACACCGACGTATTGTTTAGTAGCAGAAGAATGTGTCAATAAGAAGAAGAATTCAGAAGAGTATGTTGATGTACAGTACCATCCATCCAGCCATTGAGAAGATGGCGAAAATGTGGACCCAGAATAGCACAGCAGCTGACTCCCTTCCACAGCCTCTAAGGTTGGCAACAGCTCCTGAGAGTACTGATGTAGGCATTGTGTGCTGAAGGAGTAACACAAATCGGAACATCTTATCATCAGCAGGAAGGAACCCAAGTTTGTCTGCTAGTGTCACTATTCCTAGTCCTACTGGTGGCACCAACACCAACCGTCCAAATATAATAGCTGCTGTTGTCTTGAAACCAAGTTTTGAACTTCCTGGTCCTAAAATTTACCCAAGGAACCAATAAGACCCATATGATGGATGAGGCTAAAAAAAAAGTCAGTATGAAAAGAAAGCAACCACCAAACCTACCGTTAATGAGATTTCCCCCCAGTGCCAGTAAGATACACGGTATCATCGCGTCCCTGATAGCCAAAGGTTTTACATTTATTAACTCATTAATTTGCAGCTGCTTCCCAGAAGACAAATAAAGAGTGTGCTTACCCAAGAATCATGCAGCTGTCTGTGAAGAAGAATAGAGGTGCACCATTTGTGAATATCAACTTCTTTGTGAAAGGTATTGCACCGAGTATCATGGCAAGGATCTGAAGTTAACAAAAACACGTCTAGTTTAGTTACATGGTAAAGGCAATCGCACGGTCTATTGATCATTGGATTGTCAGATAAAATAGGGGAATAGAACAGACGAGATACTTACCGAAGCAACTATTGCAGGCTGGACAATTTGCTTCAGTTTCAACTTCTCATAGAGGAAAACAAAGATCTGTGTAATCTACATCACGGAGCAAAATATAAAAATTTCGTAAGGACCAGCTTATATAAGGTAAAATACTCCTGAATTATAGAATTAAGATTCCATAATTGCATTTCCACCTTGCCTTTCCTTGAAACCACTCTTCCTCTAGGTTCGGTGCTCTGTACGGGCAAAAGATCTTGAGTCGGCGAAAAGTCCTTGGGAAAATTCTGAGTAAGCAAGGGGACTCGCTCTGGAGTAGTATCTACTGGAAGGTTTTTCAAAGCAAGATTTTCTTCTTCAGCATCAAACCCTTCTGGAGGAGGAGCAAACATCTGGTACACATATGTATAGAGGATGATAGCACCAACCTGATATAAAAATTAAACCTCATGGTTAATTGAAGTCCCTTAGAGAGAGTCAACATGAAAAATACATAGGGGAAATAATATCCATTCCCATAGACACTGATGACAAACAGTAGATTGGAAGTAAAGATCCTATATAAAATAGTTTCAATGCGGCTACTCCTCATACATCTAGCTCCTCTTCATCCAAACAGAAAAAGGCAGAAGACAAGAAACTGTATCACTGTAAAGTACGAGACAGTAGAGACATAAACTGAAGCAGCTAATGGTCTGATTCTAGTAGGTATAAATAGCTTACATAGTTACAGCATAGAGGCAGTTAAAGAGAGAAAAAGAGTACCCATTGACCAAAAGAGATATAAGCAGTGCCATCAATGCTGCATTTTTCGGAGTCACCAAAAGGGTTGGAGGTGTCCCTACATAAAGCCGCTAATAAAACAAGAGGCACATTGCCAATATTGCCTGAAACAAACAAGGCACATAAAGTGAGACTAGTGTCAGAGCACGCAAGCGAGGGTAGGGTTTAGTGTCTAAGGGAAAAAGGGTCTAACCAACTCCAATTTGTATGATTGTAAACTTGAAATAAGGGTAAGGGGGACGAATGATGGAAGCAACTATGAAACCGATTATCGAGCCAGAGATGGTGCCAAGAACGACGTTCACGGGAATGAACCACCTGAAAGATGGAGCAGCCGAAAAGAAGATGCGTTACGGACCTATGATATAAGGGAAGGACTACATAGACTAGGGACTAAAGAAGGAAACAAACCACTGAAGCATTTTTTGGAGAGTGACGGCTTGTCCAAGCTGGGAAAAGATCAAGCAGGGAAGCAAAAGCGAGAAGACCAACTGTATGAAAAGGAGACAGTTTCAAAGTTTGCATTTTTAGATATAAAATTAAAAAAAAAAGTGAGAAGAGGCTTGGAGAATTACCCCGTTCAAGAGTTTGCGGCCGGAGGGAGGCAAGATGTTAACGTACTTGGAGGCCATGAGAAGACCCAAGAAGCACATGGTGAAAACCTTGGCAATTGGCATCACAGCGATTTTGATGGTACCCAGCACTGATCCACCGGCAGCCACCGGAATATCCATGGAATCGGCTACGGCGGCAAGGATCCGGGCAATCATTCTGACAATTACTAATCCAAAGGCAAGCCAAAAGCAGCAATTTTGAGGGTGGACTTGGGTTGGAATGTGGAGGAAACACAGAGAATCGGAGTCTCTGATGATTGATTTGAGAGAAGAGAATCGAAGACTTGTCTCTCGATCTCTCTGTTTCTCTCTCGTGATTCTCGTGATTGCCTGCCACGTGCGCCGCTTCTTTCTTTCTTTGCCTTCCTTCTTACTCCTTTCCTTTTCTAAGCCCAAAAGCCCGTTCCAACTTCCCCACACACTTTTTTTTTTTTTTTTTTTTTTAATTCTGTTTTTATTACTCAAGTTTAGAACTTTTTTTTATTTAGTTTCATTTTATTTAAATACTCAAGTTTACAAGTTATACAAACACCACAACAATGTTTGTAAAAGTATTTGATCATCTAAGCGATGAAACTGTCACAGCCACAACAAGTTATACTTGTAAAAGTATTTGATCATCTAAGCGATGAAACTGTCATTTGACTAAGCCTCAAAACTATGTTTGACCTGACTTGGGACTTGGGAGGATGAGGATCACACATCTTTCATAAAATTAGAAATATATTTTTAAACGGAATTAAAAGCAAAAAGATAAAAAAAAAAAATTAAAAAGCAAATGATATAGATGATGATGATGATGCCCTTGAATTGGACACACCGAAAAATATTGGTTCCAACATGATTCTGTAGAAAGGGTATTAATAATCAAGTTTGTAGACGGGAGAGAGAGATGAGGCATTGCAGTAAGCGATAGCTGCCTTGAGGGAATCGTCCGTGTCCGTTAATGTTTCATCCTTGTTAGTAGTGCTCCCTTCGTAGTAGTATCGTAGGGGGCTCTTGTTTCGTCGTCTCTGTATAACTTGGAGGACCCACCTCTCTCCCACGTTCACTTTCTCTCTTATGACTCCCACTATACTCAAACACCCCACTTTCATCATCAACCTCGTCACGTTGCTGTATGCAGAGAAGCAACTAGACGCCGATGAGAAGATTGCTGTCGTCTGCATTTCGTTATCGGGAGATGGCGAAGAAGAGATGCTCAATCCTGTGTCTGTGGCTGGTTTGTTGATTTTTATTTCAATGAAAGATTCACCATCGTTGCTGCTATCGGACGACACTTCATTCATCCATCCCACCTCATTCTCCATCCTACTAATTACCGAGTCACTTCCCAAAACTCCATCTACCACTACTAGTTATAGATATATATGATTTGATCTCTTGCTCCTAATTTCAATCATTGATGTTTTGTATACAATAATCAAATAGATTCTAAACGATACAGCTAGCTAGCAGCTCACACCATACATGTATTCATGTGAACACATATATACACACACTTAGTGCAATTATATAGGAGAATACGTACACGATTAATGAAGATATATATTTATTTATTATATTGTCTGATCAAATGATAAAATCTCGCGATGGGATCGGGGGTTGGTGTTATAAATCAAATTGGAATATTTAATAATATATAGTTTGGACACTGATAATATCATAATGTAGCTAGCTGACCCCATTAATCATTGATCGCCTAGCTCTTGGGGAATCACATGCATATATCAATATGCATGTCACATGTTTTCTTTAATTTCTTTCTCATTATGAATAGTAATTTTCGTTCTCATTTTGGATGGAGTCAAATTTATAAAAAGAAAGAAACAGCTAATGGATTAAAGTCTTGAAATGTATCTGATTTTGTAATACGTGTTTCGGTTTTTGTTGTAAGATATTATTGGATCACGCTTGAAGATATTATTTCAAGAAAAAAAAAAGAAAGAAAAAAGACTCTTGATAAAATATTATGTTAGCTTGATGTACGATAGGTCTATATAATGAGTCCATGAGAAGGATCTGGTCTCTGTTGCCGTGCATATAGTTATCCACTCGGAAAACCAAATCTCCTTTTGGAATCGAACACCGTGAAGCCGTTGTAGTTGAACATTAGAGACTTCTTCCAAACTGTTAACACAGACGCGTCCTCTCCCGTTTCTAGTGGCTTGGGATGAACCTTTGCCATTTCCTTGATGCTATATATTCTTTATTATGCGTGTTTGAGTTGCTGTTTAATGAGAGCAAGTAGACGGCTTACTGCTTACATAGCAAGAGGTACCTGCCCTTTTATATCATCTCACCAACAACCCTAAGTGACCCTACCCTTTCAGCTCTCTCTCGGTTACTCTTTCTTGTCTTTTTCTTTCTTTCTTTGCTCTCCTCCCCACCGTGCCATGATTACGACCCCCACATGATTGGTATTTATTCTTCAAGCTGCGTTCAATTTGATAATAAACTTTATGGATATAATGGGCCTATTATCCACTAAGAAGGCCCATAGAAGAAAGAATTGTAAAGCCCAATTGGTTCCGGCAACATGGAGTGGACTCTGAATTTCCTGACTGTAAACTGTAAAGACAGAGAGAAGAGCACTCCCAGTCCCAGTGGTGCGGTGAGGAGAGCTTCGTTGTCTTCTCCGATTGCAATTAGGGTTTTAAAATCGGTTCAGGTGGTGCTCAGCTTTGAGAATTGAGAATGAGATCCTTTCCACTTCCTTCTACCTTCTGACAATGGGCAACTGCGGTACTAGAGACGAGGCTGCCGTCTTCACTCCTCAAGCTCAAGGTCTCTCTTTCTCTCTCTCTCTCCCTGTCCTCTATCTCTCTCTCTCGCCATTTCTTTTTTCCTGATCTCCCTCCGTCTTTGGTTCACCTCGCAGCCCAACAGCTCCAGAAGAAGCACTCCCGCTCCGTCTCAGATCTGAGCGATCCATCCACTCCTCGCTTCCGGGACGACTCTCGCACTCCTCTTTCGTATGCCCAAGTCATCCCCTTCACTTTGTTTGAGCTTGAGACCATCACCAAGAGCTTCCGCCCAGATTATATACTCGGAGAAGGTGGTTTCGGTACCGTCTACAAGGGTTACATTGATGACAATCTCCGCGTCGGCCTCAAGTCTCTCCCCGTTGCTGTCAAGGTCCTAAACAAGGAGGGACTCCAGGGCCACCGTGAATGGCTTACAGAGGTCAACTTCCTCGGCCAGCTCCGTCATCCCAACCTCGTCAAGCTTATTGGTTACTGCTGCGAGGACGATCACCGATTACTTGTTTATGAGTTCATGTTGCGAGGCAGTCTTGAAAATCACCTATTTCGAAGTAATCCCCGCACCCTTCTCCATTTTTATCCTGCTCTACGGCTGACAAGTCTCTGTTGATTCCTACATATACCCCTAAACAGTTTTATGTTCCTAGCTTATTCTGCTTTTTAGTCTTGTCATACTCGTCTCTAATTAACCAAGTCACCATGGGCTCTCTTCAGAAACCACAGCTCCTCTATCTTGGTCTAGAAGGATGATGATTGCTCTTGGAGCTGCCAAAGGCCTTGCTTTCCTCCACAATGCTGAAAGACCAGTTATTTATAGGGATTTCAAGACTTCCAATATACTGCTTGACTCGGTAAGAAGTTTTTCTTTTCTTTCTGCTTTGCCAAAGTTCCTCCAAGATATTGGGAATACTTTTCCACAACTAATATATCCTTGATTGGGCTGAACCTTCAGGACTACACAGCCAAGCTTTCAGATTTTGGCTTAGCTAAAGCTGGGCCCCAGGGTGACGAAACCCATGTATCAACTCGAGTTATGGGTACTTATGGCTATGCTGCCCCAGAATATGTGATGACTGGTATGACATGCATAATATAGCGAGATGTATCCCATTCAACTTATTTTCCTAGATGCATACACAATCTTGACGAGCCATCCTGCAATGTCTTTATTTTTTCACTTGGTTTGTAACGGGAGCTATGATCAACCATTTAATTAGGTCCTACCGTTTAAATCACTTTTGTGAACTGAATGTGGGTTTCTATTTCTGCTGCAAGTCAGTGCCACATACAGAAAATAAGACATTGCAGGAGCTAATTCTATCTCTCTGCTTTAGTAGTTTGCTATTAGTTAACATATAGGACTGTGGCTGTTGAGATGTTGAACCGTGCACATATATGCACTTGTATTTCACAACATTATTTCGAGCTACATAGTCTCTCTTTTTGCATGACAATAAGTGCTTAGACCATTACACAAATAAACACTAAATTGACTCTATTACTAATGAACTAGGACACCTGACGGCCAGAAGTGATGTATACAGCTTTGGAGTTGTTCTTCTAGAGATGTTGACAGGGAGAAAATCAGTGGATAAGACAAGACCTAGCAAAGAGCAGAACTTGGTTGATTGGGCTCGGCCGAAGCTGAATGACAAAAGAAAACTGCTGCAAATAATTGACCCAAGACTGGAGAACCAATACTCTGTCAGGGCAGCTCAGAAGGCATGCAGCTTGGCGTATTATTGTCTTAGCCAGAACCCGAAAGCTAGGCCATTGATGAGCGATGTGGTTGAGACTTTGGAACCTTTGCAGTGTACAGGTGATGCCCTGATCCCTGGTGCAACAACTGCAGCTGGAGCTGCATTTGCTATGGGAGGGGTGCCTGATTACAGAATGCACCGGAGGTTTGCAAAGAACGTTGGGCCAGGTGCGATTTGCAGGTCACCCAATCCAAATTATTCACCGGGTGGACCGGCAGCATGCAGAGTTCGGTGATTAGTGTCAAGTGTACATAATCGGTTTCGCTGCGTCTCCTTTTCCGTAATTTCTCTCAGAACCAAGCCAAACATCTGGTTGCTAAAAATCGTGATGCATCGTTTTTTGTTGTTGTTAAAGCTGCTGTTTATTGCCACTTTACTGTGTTGATCTGTCTAGAGTCTTGTATGATTATGAATGAGCGTGGTTCTTGTTTAATCCGCACTCTGATGCAGTGTGCTTGTAGTAGTCGACACTTATTCACTCCAAGGTGAAATTTTTTTGTGTAAGCAGTAATGGTTTTCTAACAAGTGGTCATTCCCCGGCCACGAACGTTTGGTAGTGTTGCACGTAGTAGTACTTACTGGGCGAAGAGAAGATAGCATATCAATGAACATTAGACCCCCCTCTTTTTTTTTTTTTAAGCAAAGCATCTAAGAACATTAGACCTATGGTGCTATTAATACACGTGTGATTGGAATCTTGATTGAAATAGATGTTGCCTTCGCTGTGTATGATTGGACTTGTAGGGATCTGGTTGAGTGACCCACTAAACCATCTCTCTTTTTATCCACCACACAGATCTTGGTATCGCCTAATCTTTCTAGCGACTGGGGAGAAGTATGGAGTCTAGCTTGCATAGTTTGATTTTCTTGGGTTTGCTTGCGACGATTCTGGTTACGACCCATGGCCAAGGTGAATATGTGTATACACATTGTTTCTTTTGTCAGTGGTTAAAAAATAGTAGTGATATATCGGATCTCATCTGGGGTCATGTGTAGGAGACGGGACGGGGCTAAATGCAGAAGAAATGTGGCCAGTGGAGGTGGGGATGGAGTACAGAGTATGGAGGAGAAAGCTGATGACGCCATTGGAGCTGTGCTTGGAGTGCAAATGCTGCTCCTCCACCACTTGTGCCACCATGCCTTGCTGTTTCGGCATCAATTGCCAACTTCCCAACAAGCCATTTGGCGTTTGCGCCTTTGTTCCTAAGTCATGCCATTGTAATTCTTGCTCCATTTAACTGTATTCTTTCTTCTACCAACATGATGATTGCGTATAAACTAGATTCACAGATTTTCTGTGCACTCTTCGATCCATCATCATCATAATTCATAAAACATTAAACGAAGACTGACGATAGATAGACCTCTAGTAAATAAAGGCTTAGTGGGCTTGAATAAAGGCCCATTGGGCATTGTATAAGCCTTTTTGGGTCCAAAGTATTTAGAGGAAGAGCGAATATGCGGCCTACTCGTCGTCCAACATTTTCGTCGATCATAATCAATAAGTCTTCTCTTCGCCGGCAGAGAGTAAATTTGCTTGGCTTGGCGGTGGCATGGAGCTCTGGGTTTGTGTGTGAGTGAGTAGATCGCGCAAAGAATCTGAAAATGGCGTCAACGGAAGGCCTTATGCCTATCACCCGGGCTTTTCTCGCTTCTTACTACGACAAATATCCTTTCTCTCCTCTTTCCGACGACGTTTCTCGACTTTCCTCTGACATCGCTTCTCTTATTCAGCTTCTCACCGTCCAATCTCCCCCTTCACAAGGTTTCCGATCCGATAGTATCACCAATTTCGAGCTTGTCAATTTCCTGCTTTTGAATTCACTCATAAAATGTTATGGTTCGTTTTCTAGGGGAAACTTCCCTGATTGACGAAGCAAACCGTCAGCCCCCTCACAAAATTGATGAGAATATGTGGAAAAATAGGGAGCAGATGGAGGAGATACTGTTTCTTCTGTCACCATCTCGCTGGCCTGTTCAGGTGAATCTTAGTATCGTTTTGTGTCCATGTTGCCTCTACTTCGCCTGCTTCTGGTGACTTGAATTCTCTCTTGTTTGTTGTTTGTTGTTTTGGGGTTTGTGCGCAGCTTCGGGAACCTTCCACATCCGAAGATGCTGAATTCGCTTCTATTTTGCGGACTCTCAAGGACAATTTTGATAACGCATTCACTGCTATGATTTCCTTCCAGACGAAGAATTCCGAGCGCATATTCAGCACAGGTATAATTCTACGCAGACACTGTTATTCATTGAAATAAAATAGGCCTCGCACGAGTATTATTATTATTATCTTCTCTGCAGTTATGACCTACATGCCTCAAGATTTTCGGGGGACGCTCATCAGACAGCAGAAGGAGAGGTCGGAGAGGAACAAACAGGCGGAGGTTGATGCGTTGGTTAGCTCTGGAGGGAGCATACGCGACACATACGCTCTTCTTTGGAAGCAGCAAATGGAGAGGTGAGCCTGGCTGTTTCTGATTTCTTAATTGCTGCTTTGCTTGTGGGTTTCTTCAGAGAGTCTGGATTATGCATTCATTGAATTTTATCTAGGAGGAGGCAGTTGGCTCAGCTAGGCTCTGCCACTGGTGTCTACAAAACCCTGGTCAAGTACTTGGTAGGGGTTCCACAGGTAGGCTTTCCCGTCTCTACTCTTTCTGGCAAAGATTTTTTTTGTGCCTTCTCTTCATCATCGATCGCTTCTTTATGTCTAATTCTCTTATTTTTATCCGCCAGTAGTCCTCATACTTATGCCCCTATGACATATGGCTTGTCCATTCCTGCATACTCATGCATATCGACGATTGATTTAGTTATTGATTCTTCTCTGCTCATACCTTGTAGGTGTTGTTGGATTTTATTCGACAAATAAATGATGACGATGGGTATGTACCATGGTCTCATTTAAAATAGACAATAAGGGTTTGCTTATTGAGGTAGAAGATTCAGGTTGCATAAGAAACTTTAACTGACAGAATTAATGTTCTGGTGTAAAGGCCAATGGAAGAACAGCGAGAACGTTACGGACCCCCTCTATACAGTCTCACAAAAATGGTGATGGCAATTCGCGTTTTCCTAACACTTCTGTGGGCAAGATATGATACCTTCAAACTGTAAGATAGTCCCAGAATATTTTCCTTGTTTTGGTTTATTGTTGTTAACGTAAGATTGCCTTAAATTAACACAATTCAATAATAATCGAGCTTGAAGTGCTCCATGAACTTTTCCGTTTAGAGGTAGTGAAATTTTATTATATGTGTGATGAGCAGGAGTAAAGACCAAATGAATCTCCTGTCTGAAGCTGCTATAGTCTACACATCGGAGTTTGAAAGATTCGTCACATTTATCAGGTACCATCTCTCTTTCTATGGGCTTGGTCGTGGGTTGCTTTATCTTCTATTTAGTATAGGTTGCCTAGATAACACAACATTGGGGAAAACTTCACTTTTGAAACATTCCTTGAAAAGTTAAGGACAATTACGTTTATGTTTATTTTAAGGCTTGCTCTCCATTGTTTTCTTTTATTAGTATTCCCAGTATGCAAAAGCATGCCTATTGGAGACTAATCTAATACAGTATTAGACATTCCCTCTAATTCATTATTTTTTCAGTTTTATTCGGTTTTGATTAAAGTTTATATTCACAGTTCCAACATTAATTAGGTTGGACATTCTTTAGGCATTGCTTTCTCACTATTGAAGAACATTAACATTTTACTTTTTACTTTTCCAGCGATGTATTTGCCAATTCCCCCTTCTTCATTTCAGCAGATACAGCTGGCATATTGGGCTCAAGGTTAGCTTCCATCATTCACAAGATTTTCACTTCAGTTCACGATTTCTAGCTCTAAGAGTTTGTACTTCTTAGGGATAATGAGGAGTACAAGGAGATAATCGTCCAAGCTGGGAGAACCTATGAGGTAATATGTTCTCCACAGATGTTTTTGTTTATTAATGAAACTGAAAATTTTGCCAGTATAAGAATCTTGACACTTGTTTCATCTGAAATTGCCATGTTCGAAAACGTGAAATTTGATGTTAATGACAGTAGTGTGTGGCATTCACATTTTCTGCTGGCAAACAAAAAAATAAAGCATATGATAAGCACTTTCATTTGAGTCTGGCGTAAGTATTAATGTTTGTTCTTGTTGCTTCTCTAGATCTCATTGATGGTGGAATCCGAAAATTCAGTATATTGCTTGGGATTTCTCCTTGATGCAAGGCAAGATAAGCATGGTATTGATTTTTAAACCCACGATATGTTTCCCCAGCATGCTATTGATTTTTAAACCTGCAATATGTTTCCCCAGCATGGTATTGGTTTTCTTTCCCTGTTCAGATTTTTTTTTTATAAATCACAGGGGTGTCTAGTTTGTTCTCATATGAGGTACAGTAGTTGTTTAAGAATTCATGAAACTTAGATTTTTGGTCTCTGGATTGCATGTCATGAACTTCACACTGTCTCTATCTGTTGTATATCAGATTTAAAGTTGTATCTGTTGCTGTTTTTGCAAGACTCTGGTTATCCTTGTTTTTGCACATAGTTACAGCGTATCTTGGTCTGTGATGAACCTTTGAAAGGACATGAATTGTTAATTCCTGACATGATATGGCATCTAAGCTAGGTTCTCAGCTTCTGTTGTTTGTCCTCCGTTTATAATTTTGTTGTTATTTCCCAGGATATCGGATTTAGCGTGGAGTACATAAGTGCTTCAGGGGAAAAGACTGTGAGTCTGCTCTATAGTTTTGTATTATCCCTCACTCTTTAAAATATCCATTCAATTAGTGTATTTCTGAGGGTTGATCATGAAGTTTTCTTATTTCAGTTGATATTACCTTACCGTCGGTATGAAGCTGATCAGGTCAGTGCTATGTGCATTTGTGGGGAAGCATTTGGGGTATGTTTGTTGTTGCATAGCTTTGTTTTTTAAGGTAATCGTTTTGGGGATCCACTTTGTTTATTCCTGCAGGGCAACTTCTCTACGCTAATGGCTGGAAATTACAAACTTGTTTGGGATAATTCATATTCAACTTTCTTCAAAAAGGTAGGGCGATATTTACATTTTGGGGCAGACGGAGTGAATCAGTATCCCTTTTTAAGCCCATTTTTCCGTTGCTTTCATTAATGTGGATCTTTTTATTGGGTCTTTTCTTTTCCTCTGTGAAAGACTCTTCGATATAAAGTGGATTGCATACCACCGGTAGTGGAGCCAGAGCCGGAGCCGTTAAACTGAAAGTGGAAGATGAAGGTGGATTTTACAGTCATGAACACTCATCATTTCTTTGTACAAGGATAAAACTCTGAACCCTTTGAAAGACATCAATGGAACTTTATAAATATTTGCTACCAGGAACATACTATTTTGTTTGATAAAACCAAATAAACCATGTAAAGTAGGTCATCCAACCAGACCTGTCTCTTTGACATTTTCTGATCAATTCCTCCTATAATTAAACCAAAGCAAAACACAAAAGTTAAACAATAATAACTCAAATTATGGGGTATAGAAGAAACTACGCAATCACATTTGTAGCCCTTGTGGTGGCTCTATGGGGCGTAACAAAAGCACAGCCGAGCGGGTCATGCGTGAGCACACTGACCAGTGACCACTCTCTCTCCGTGCCTCAGCTACATCACCGGAAACTCAACCACTCCCTCACAGCCTTGCTGTTCTCAGCTCGACTCTGTCATCAAATCTTCACCGCAGTGCATCTGCTCAGCCGTAAACAGTCCGATCCCCAACATCGGCCTTATCGCCGAATGCTCGTTCAGGTACCTACTCCTCTTATCACCAAACCAGTCAACACTTGATTTTTAGTTAATTGAATATATTCTCCTTGCACATCGATACACAGGAGTTGGAGGTGGTTCCAAGACCGTTCCCTCCGCTGGTTCCGGCTCGTCCAGCGGGAACTAGAGACGTCTCGCTTATGATCAATCTGACACAGCAAGTGAAATTAAATTCCCAAATACATGAACTCTCAGAATTGATTAAAGAAAAGAAGAAGTGCAGACCAAGAATAGGATTTACGGTTTAGGGTTTAGGGTTTAGGGTTTAGGGTTTAGATATCTGAAAATTCCAGATATGTCAATGAGATTTTCCTTATATTTCTCCCATCTTATTTTCGTCTTGTTTTTGTTGTTGTAGATGGTTTTTCTTATCCAAACGGAAAATTCCTTTGTTTGATTAGGATATAAATTGCGTTATACGTATATATTTATCTTCTTCTTTTTCATTTTTCTAACAAAATAAATATTTATCTTTTTGGATAATAAAAAATTCACTAGTAGAATATACAAAAAAAAAGATAGAAGCATCATTGTTTTCTCTCTTAAGTGATACAAGTTCGAATGGTAACAATGTATTTGGCTGTATAGAAAATGCGGGTTTTACAATACAGTACGGTTCAACTATGGTATGTATTGGAGAAATGTATTTGCGAGATAAGTACGGTTTTTACAAAATAAACACTGCAAAAAAAGTTGATTGGTTAAAAAAGTTGATTGAATACAAAATTCCTATTGGAATAAGAATTAAGAAATTTAAAATATGTACTATTTTCTAATTTATTTAGAGTAAATATAAGTTAGTCTCCTATATATATGGTATCAACAATAACAATTCATACACAAATCATTATATTTTTCAAAGAGCTTGGACTTCAACGACTGAAATCGTGTGCATTGTTCCGATCGGCGTTTTCCGGACGCATATTGTCGAAACAAATCTATGTAATAATTTTTTTTAAAACCCTAATAATTTCTTGACATCTTTTTATTTTTATTTTCTTCTTCTCAGAAAATCTTGTGCTTTCATTTTAGAATCAGCTACAGAATCAGACGCTTCAAAAATCTGAGGGAATCTTCCGTGCCAATATGGAGAGATCATCATCATCATCATCATCATCGTCATGTGATCAGGTAATATTGACTGGATCAGCAAATTCGCCGACGAATTAGAGTGGAATCTCAGAGGGAATTTTTTTCTACGATTTGTCTAATCTGATTCGAAATTTTGTCTTGTGGTGATGCCGATGAAATAGAAGATGTGTACCTTTTTGTGTTTGGGTTATTGAGTCTCTTCTTTCATATCATTCACTCTGGTTTGATGGGATCAGAAGAAATTAGCGAGAGTAAAATCTGTGGACCTGCACCATGTAACTTGATTATGGCACTTAGTCCGAGTAAGGTTCTGACACATGTTATCTCATTCTATGTTTACATGCTTGTTCATCTCCAGGTTTGGAATCTTGGTTTACCTTACCCAACTTTTACATTGGCCAATGACGATAAGCCCTATCTAATTACCGTCTCTGATGATCACTCTGTTAAGGTCTAATTCTGTTCACTTCTCTGTTATATAATGCATGTCTACTTGTAACTCTTATACTGTGGCGTAGGTTAACCTATTTGTTTGCCTAATGGTATCATCTGATCAGGTCAAAAATGTTGATTGGATCAGCAAACTCCCTGACGATGTATTGCTCATAATATTATCGAGACTTTCCACAGAAGAAGCCATAAGGACGAGTGTTGTGTCGAAGCGATGGGAACATGTGTGGAATCAAATGTCTCATCTCGTCTTCGACATGCGGAAGAAGATTATCAATTCCAACAACACGCTCGATGGTTCGAATCCAGTTGCTACATTGATTACTCAGGTCCCTCCTTATCAGTCAATTTCTTTTCTCTTATTAGTTTTTATCTGCTTATTCATATCTTAAATAAATCACTTTTTGGTTTGTAAAAGGTTATAAACAATCATCGTGGACATCTAGAGAGCTGCGTGATCATCCATGTCCCATATCAAGGTGGAAATGGAATGCTCAATTCTTGGATTCGATTACTGAGTTGCGTGAAACGCACGAAAGTTCTCACACTTAGATACCATTATGGTACTTGGGATCGAAAGTTCAAAACTTTTAACTTTTCCCCAGACTCCTTGTCCCATCCAAGTCTTATGTCACTCTCGCTACATTCATACTTTCTCGAAAGCTCACATCCCTTGAGAAACTGCTCGAATCTCCGGACCCTCAAACTTTTATCAATCGTCGCTCCCGAGATTGGAGTCTTTAACAGGGTACTCGCATCTTGCCCTTGTCTTGAGGTGCTTGTACTAGGCATCTGCTGCTTCAAAAAAAGTAGGGTTCCTTTGAAGATTGAGAACAAAAAATTAAAGCTCTTGCAAGTGTCTTCTCTTGAACGCATTGATGCCATTGAAGTTTCAACAACTAGTCTAGACATTCTCGCCATCATAGATATCTGCTGTCGGAGAGATGACCTTTCCCTCCAGTCCCCCCAACTCCAATTTAATAGAAACTTTTGGGTTCTAGGGCCTTACGTGCCTCACATCAGCTACAACATATCAGAGGTACATATAATGTATATATATTGTTACACGTTTCAAATAATGTATTTGGATACACTGGAAAAAGGAATTAAGGTATTTGATTGTTTTGATGTTGAGTAGGAAAAGAGCATTGGGAATGAAGAATTTGTGAACACCATATATGGTGAGTTGTTGAGACCGTTTGCAATTTTGTATGTAGCCTTGTCGGTGAGTGTAGATTTAATGAATCCGACAGAAGTTGAGAGGTTACGACAAGTCTTAGGTTTATGGACTCGTAAAATACTGGAGCTCGAGATTATATTTAAGGTATGTACGTACATTCGTTCTTCTAAGTTGAAGACTATGACTACCGAGTCTTAATTTGCTGGTATGTGCAGGATAACAATGGTCCTAGGGAAGAAAATGAGTCTTGGCATAAGAAGTTGTGGGAGGAGAATAATAAGAAAGATCCGTTCCCCAATGCTAAATTCCGCGTGGATACTGTGTGGATGTATAACTTCAGCGGCTCAGAGGAAGAGTTTGCCTTGGTGACGTGTTTGATTAGGCAAGGGACTGTGGTCGAGAAGATGATGATCAAGACGTCAACCTTTCCTGCAAGGAAGAGGTTAAAGATAGAAGCGGCAGTGGCCAAACTACAGGCACTTCAAACTAAGCTTACCATCAAATGTTTCTAATCGAATTTAATTGGTTCAAAAGTTCAAATCTTTTCAATCTAAATTTGACGAAAGTGGTTTAGGGTATATAACACATTAACACTTTTTTTTTTTTTTTTTTTTTTTTGATACGAACTTCTCAATTTTTTTTTTCTTCTGGTCAAAATAATTTGCAGATATTATTGGGTATCTAGAAACTAGATTGAAGAATGATATAAACTCACATACACATAATCTCCTATATGATTGACCAAAAAAAAAAATTCTCCTATATAATCTTCTCTCAGTACAGTGTTGTTTCATCCTTTTGGAGATGAGGGTGAGAGGAAGAATGAAAAGAGTAGCGAAGGAGAGACGATAGGCGACAAGGACTTTGAGGTTCGTACCATCAGCGGCCGTTAGCTTCAACAAGATGAACATTCCTGCCAATATAAACTGAAACGCCACCATTGCAACTATACCCTTCATTTCTCCCCATATTTCTCTAATTCGCCCCACAGTTTCTGTTTATTACTTTGATACCCACTCTTAACCATTAACTACCCGGTGCTCCTGGGCTCAGAATCAGCCTTATCATCTAGCCAATGTGTTTTTGTCTTTAATTCTATCTGAATACCTTTTTCATCGTGGTCCACTTCAATTGTAGATAGTAGTCTACTACATACCATGAACAAGTTAAGTTATATAAGAAGATGTGACATTCAAATACATGTTTATGAAACCAATGCCTAAGCAAAGGTCTTAACTCTTAAGGATTACACCTTCTTATTGAATGTGTAGAAAGAAAGAAAAAAAGAGATTATGTGTTCAATTGTATCAAAGGGAAAACATAATACGAAGTGAAGACGTAATGCAAAAAATAAGAAGAAAGTATTTATTACAATTATAATGAATGAACTACTTCCACAAGCTTTCAAGAGCGTTTCACTGCGTTTTATCCGATGTACGAACGGTAATAATGCATTGTACTATTTGAGCCAAATGACATTGCATAACATGCTTAGTGCTATTAACTTTTAATCTATACTATTAATTGGAAAGTATTAGATATAAAATAACTTTATAAAGTGTAAAATATTACAAGAAATGCCATTAGAAATATTGATTTGTAAAAGTAAACAAAAGATTTCGTTTATGGTTAAATTCGACATTTACACTTTGACAAACACGCAGATCCTGGGCATTGTTTCGGATACAAACGCATACCCAAATGATTGGATATAGGGCTAACAGATGGATCTTTGGCATTCTTTCGGATAAACACGCGGACCTTATGATTGGGTGTCGGGCTAGATGGATCTTGAGCTTTTAATAGGATACCAAATTTTGCACTGCGAGATTTTTTGTATCTGTTACATATAAAACAATTACCAAAAATATTAGTTATGATTTAAAGAGATTTCTATAATCTGTCTAACAAATTAATCTAAATACTTGCTAAGTCAATGTTTGAAGATGAATGTACAAATAAAAGATAAGAAACTTATTATTTGCACGACTGTTTTTAATTAATCTAAATACTAAAAGAAAAGATGACTAACTAATCTAAATACTTGCTAATGCCAATTTAATCAGAAAATATAAGGAACACAATCTCATTTGAAAAGAGCATATACGATTTTCTTAACTACCAATCATCGATGGCAATAATCGGTGGTCTTTCTCCCCAACCGATTTTCTGGTTCAATTACAACTATATTGGTTATAGTTTTGGTTCAAGTTTCGTAATAGCTTTTTTATTTTTGTATTTTGGGCTTCCAAAACTGGGCTTTTAGCTCTGTAAAACTTTTTCTTTCATGCTTTAAATTGAATTATCATTTAACAAAAATAAATAAAAACAAAATGGGCCTTGACCCATTCTCAAATTGGGCGGCGTAACACACACATGAACGTATATAAATACAGAGGCGTTTGCTTTTCTGGCCATTCCACATTTTTTTATATTTCTCTCAAATTTGTTCAAGAATCCCTCTGTTTCTATCCAAGAATGGACGAATTTGAAGGATTGAAGAGAGAAGTTGAGAGACTATTGGCTATGGTAGATTCGGAGAACAGTGATTGTGAGGAAAAAATAGCGATACAAGAAGAAGTTGGCGATCTTCCGAGTAGTTCTGTGGCTGTGGAGTTTCTCGAAGACGAGATCGATAGAAAGGAAGAAATCCTTCTTGCTGCGAGTTGCACGCTGCTGAAAGTAAGTTCTTCGGTTAATCTTTGATTAATATTTGACTCACTTCTATCAGATATATGTTATATATTTATTCAGATATATTCTGTTCAACAGATGATTAGCGGTTTAGGGTTTAGGGTTTAGGGTTTAGGGTTTAGGGGTTTTAGGGTTAGGGTTTAGGGTTAGGGTTGTTTAGGGTTAGGTTTAGG